TCCTGCGTTAATTAAATTCCTCAGAAATGATTCTTCTTATAATTAAAGCTGATGCTGTGAAACTGGATCGGGTTCACGATATGTTTTCCTAAAGATCCGAATCTGTAGAGTTTCCCTGCGACTAAGTACACCAACCAACCAGACCTTTCTTCTTCATGTTGCCATTTGATTTGCTGGCTGTCTACACCCGAGACTATCTACCCACGCCTTATAAGGCCTGACATCTCTGTGACCACCCTCTTTTCTACACAGTGCCACCAGCAAGCAACACCTCCTCCGCGCCAGCCGTGCGGCTGCCGCTCCCGCCAGCGACCTTGGCGTCCCTCAAGCCACGTGCCCTCACTCTGGGCACCCTCACCACCCGGCTCTCTCTACTCAACGCTTATTACCATGCTACCTACCCAGCAACAAGCTGCATTGTACATCCAATACAATATGTATACAGTGAGCACATTGTGAGTTTCCTTTCTCCATCCCATCCTGAGTGTGAACCAATATCTCATACCCCTACAAGGTTTCCAAGTCCCGGAATCATTTTCGTCATTCTTCGCTGCACCGACTCCAGTGAATTGATAATAATAATAATAAAGCATTTGACGTTGGTGCGAGGATATATAAGATACAGTATATGCGAACGTTTTTTCTTAACATCACAATTGCATCATTTTAACTAAGTGTGCCGAAGGTCTCTAACACAAGCCTTGGTTCTGGGCTCCCTTGCATATGGCCTCTACTGACTGTCTCCTACTTTTCTCAGAGTCAATAAAAGTACCTCCCCGGCGGGGAATCGAACCCCGGTCTCCCGCGTGACAGGCGGGGATACTCACCACTATACTACCGAGGAATCTATTTAGCTAGTAATGATTATCTGTAATCATGTCAATAATCCTGCGCCATTATACTTGATATACAGTATAGTATGTTAGTGATGACCTTCTAGTGTTTTGGCATGTAATGAACATGTGTGAGAGGCCTTCCTTAATATGTCATTAGCCTGTGGCAGGGCATCACTAACCTTAGCCCATAGCATATCTAATGGCATGAGATAGACCAGGTCATAGAAGCTTAATAGAGCAATACCGATTCCTCGGTAGTATAGTGGTGAGTATCCCCGCCTGTCACGCGGGAGACCGGGGTTCGATTCCCCGCCGGGGAGGTATTTTTATTGTTTCAGACCTCAGTGAACCTTTTGTGCAGAATATTTTGTATGAAAGTGTGTACTATTATATACCCAATCATCCAGGTTTGACACATTTTACATCTTGTAAGCAAGGCCGTCTTCCAGGACTCTTGACCTTTGACCTTCTCATTTCGAGTACTCGCCAGATGCCAGTCATACTTTACTTTATTTTATTCTCCTCGCCACTAATCGAACCTGTTCGCCACTTGGGCAGTCGGTCACGTCTCTTTTACGTACTGTTGGCAAGTACTGGTTCCAGAATGTTTCTGTACCTACGTCAGTATTAGTCAAGTTTGGTCTTGGATGAGTTCACACTTGGTACTGCCACAACACTTTCTGGCAGATTGTTCCAAGAGTCCTCAGCACTCACTCCGAAAGATTTTATCCTGACATTTTTCTGAATGTGTGACTTCTTCAACCTTAAGTTGTGACTTCTACAGGGGCGGACATCCGTCAGCTCTAAGTATGAACACTAGACTGAATAATGGCCTCTAAGGTGTTTTTAAAATTAAATTAAGTTAACCCTTGCCCTCCTATAGTATAAGCTAGGCAACTGTAAGATTTATAATCTCTCTGGGTACCCGAGATGCCGTAGCGCAGGCACCAGTCTGGTGACCCTACTTTGGACGTTTCCAATCAACTGACAATCTTAGCAAATCTTGGGGACCAGATGTAGTGACACAGTACAATACCTGTAATACAGTCCAGAAAAGAGAGGCACAGCTGAACATTTGCTGGCAAGTCAAGCAGACCAAAACTAGTGTCGTTGTTATGGGACTGCTGGCACCTTTAGCTACTACAGATGAATCCACATGAAATAAATTAAAAAAATTTTTTTTTAACATTTCGGAAATCGTGATTTTTTTAATTTTCAAAATTTACCCAAATTCCATCAAGGCAATTTTGTTTTCCGTAACCGAAATTATGGACTAAATTTCAGAATTCCATAAGGGTGAAATTCCATAATGGAATACCTTCATAAAACTATAAAATAAGAAAACTGAAGTGCATGGGTGTGGATGTGTGGGAAGTGAACATAAGTGAGCACTGAGCTATATAACTGCACCTCGACTCATTAGTCTGTAGTCACCACCCACCTGCTCTCCCAGAGGATGGGCTCACTCATTTTACTCTGAAATCCAATTAACCGGATTGAATATTTGACTTCTATTTGACAATTTAAATTTTATATTCGATTATTCTTTTGTTTTCTGTTCAGTTTTTTGCACCTTGCCTTGGCTGCCACATAAAATAATCTATTTATAATTACCTGTGACAACAACAACAACAACAACAACAACAACAACAGCAACAACAACAACAGCAAGCAACAACAACAACAACAACAACAACAACAACAAGCAACAACAACAACAACAACAACAACAACAACAACAGCAACAACAAAGCAACAACAGCAGCAACAACAGCAACAACAACAACAACAACAGCAACAGCAACCAACAGCAACAACAGCAACAGCAACAACAGCAAGCAACAGCAACAACCAACAACAACAACAACCAACAAGCAACAGCAACGGCACAACAACAACAGCAAGCAACCAACAACAGCAGCAGCAGCAGCAAGCAACGAACAGCAACCGGCAGCAACCGCAACCAGCAACAACCAGCAACAACTGACGACAACAGACAGCAAGCAACCAGCAGCAAGCAACAACAGCAAGCAAGCAAGCAGCAACAACCAGCAAGCAACGACAACGACAGCAACGGCAACCAACCAGCAACAACCAACCAGCAAACGACAGCAACCCAACCAGCAACCCAACTCAGCAAGCAACCAGCAACCCAGCAACAACAACCGATGGCAAACACAGCAACAACAACAGCAACAAGCAACAACAACAACAACAACAACAACAACAACAACAACAACAACAGCAAGCAACAACAACAACAACAACAACAACAACAACAACAACCCAACAACAACAACAACAACAACAACAACAACCCAACAACAACAACAACAACAACAACAACAACAACAGCAAAACTTAACATAACTAACTACTTTAACAACTTCAAACAACAACACAACAACAACAACAACAACAACAACAACAACAACAACAACAACAACAACAGCAACAACAACAACAACAAAAAGAATTTTAATAATAAAAATACAAAACAAAATAAAATAATAATAACAATAATACTACTAACAATACTGCAATAATAATAATAATAATAATAATAATAAAAATAATTAATAAAAAAAAAGATCATTAGTGAGAAACGATATACAGGTTGACATCCTCACCCAAAAAATCCTGGGGCTAGAGGTATTTCGGTTTCGTGATCTTTCGCTTTTTCAGATTTTTTTTTTATATTAGCCCACCCAGGCACAAGTCACTGACCCACATTGGGGCCTGGGAGTAGAAATATATTAATAATAATAATAATAATAATTATAGGTTTAGGTCGTGTTTCTACTTTTATCTTTTTTTCATTCTTGTATTTCTTTATTATTATTATTATTATTTTATTAATACAGTATTATTATTATTATTATTATTATTAATTTATTATATGTTCTTATTATTATTGTTATTATTATTATTTTATTTAGTGTATTTTTTATTAAAATTTTTATTTACTGTGAATAATTATTATTATTATAATTAGTATTACTATTACATTTTCGCCCCCCAGGCCCTGATGTGGGTCAAGGATCTATGCCTTGGTGAGCTAATCCCTGTTAAAAAAAAAAAAAGAAAAAAAAATGCTCTAAAAATTTTTTTTTTCGGTTTTCAGAGCTTTTTGGTTTTCGGAATTCCGGATAAAGGGTTGTCAACCTGTATACTGTATATGTTGTGTTGTCAAAGTAAGAGAAACAATTGAGACCCTGCAATTGTGTGTAAATGAGGCAGAATGTCAGATCAGCAACCTGGGACTTGGTCACACTTTGTGGTGCCATATGGCAGCAGGTTCACCATTAGACAACACATTATGCTTCCAATATCTTCTCCCAGGCGGTAGTATTCTCCCAGTTTGGTAGCTGCCTACTACCACTACCTCCACTTACCCATGGGGTAATCAGCACTGGACGGAGAACTACCATTCACTGCTCAACCGAAACACCAATGTGGTCCTTCTTCAGCATCCAGAGCTGACTCCACCTCTAGCTATCTCCCATCCCTGGATGAAGTAGCTACTGCCATCAAACAGATGAAAATAACAAAGTCACAGGGCCTGATGGAATCCCAGCCGAGAGTATAAAGCAGGAGGACCTCTGCTTACCAGCCGGCCTCCACTCTCCTGGAGAATATATGGAAAAGAGTAAATTTCAAGCCCCAAAGATGCCTCCATCTTAATATTTATAAGAACAAGGAGACCAGTCAGACTATGTAACTACTGCCAATAGCTAATTCGCAATATGGAGTTCACTAATATGGGGGAATAAGGTACAGTATTCCATTTAAGCATTGGATTTCACAAACAATAAAAATGGTATATATCAACTAGTGTATATTGTTCTGATTAACACAATCATCATGTAAATATATTTTGTATTACACTACACCTAGCATTATTCTTAAAAGTACTATCTTTTTCAAATGATGAGATATTTTTCTTGAGTCACTTTTTATATTATTTTAAATATGGTGCAAAATTATGATTTATATCCTAGTAAAAAAAAAATATAATAAACATAATCTCCCTAAATTGTAATTTCTAGACACTAACTACAGTATTGCTGTACACAATGCCTAAGACAAACACATTCTAAAAATGTTTTCTTAGTTTACAAAACTTCATTATATATACAGTATATGTACAAAAATCTATAATTCTATTGCATACACAGTACCAAACTGTGTACAGTACAAAGTTTGAAGGCTGCCAACACACAAAAATATGCTGATATTATCCTTGGTACAGTACTAAGAATTTAACAAGCATGAAGACTAAGCCAAAGTCAGTCCATCATACACTAGTCACCTCACTAAACACAGTCTTACAAGAGAATATTATTCTGGATGCAAGTTCATAAATCATATGTAAATAGGTTTAACAGCCCAATACAATAATTTATTCTCCTATACCACAGATTCAGCTGCATTACCAAACATGTAATTACCACCACCAATCAATCAATATACCACAGATTCATGATGTATTCCACAGAATTAAACAATAGCATGAGGTCAGTAATATGAAGTATAAAAGAAATATATAAATAATACATACACAATGGACAAGTGGATATGTTGAGAATGAGAGGTAAAGGCTTGGTGAATAGTGTATAATTCAGACATGGAAGGTAGGACGGAGAGGAGAACACCAAAAGGAGATGGATGAATGAGGTGAAGCATTTACTAGAAGGGAGGGGATTAGCATCGAGGAAACAACAATATGTATGAATAAACAAGGAGAATAAAGTCAAGTGATTTCTGGGGAAAGATGTTGCAAATGAAAGATGACATTGTGTGAAGAGACAGCTATAAACAAGATTTAGAGCCTTGTTGTGGAATGGGAATAATATTGAAAAACTTCTATTACAGTACAGTAATAGGAATATGAATAACAACCAATGATGTGTGTGTGTGTGTGTGTGTGAGGGGGGTGTGGGGCAATAAGAAGTGAAATGAAGACATTTTTAGAACCACAAAGCATCTCTGTCATCTTCTTCCTCTTGTTGTTGGTTATCCTCTTGATGTCTCACCTGCTGGACTGTCTCATCATCGGAGTCAGAAACAGCTAAGTCATTATTGATATTACCGCCATCATGTGGCTGTTAAAAGAGATCAGTATGAGTAATATATCTTCTATGTATTTAAAACAAAGAAGTATGTGTGTTTGTGTGTCCTAAGACGAGAATCTCGGAACCTACTTTACCGATCTGTAGTGATGATGGATGGTGTTATATGTAGTGATGATGGATGGTGTTTATATGTAGATGATGGGTGTGTGTTATATGTAGTGATGATGATGGATGGTGTTATATGTAGTGATGATGGATGTTGTTATATGTAGTGATGATGGTGGTGTTATATGTAGTGATGATGGGTGGTGATATGTAGTGATGATGGATGGTGTTATATGTAGTGATGATGGTGGTGTTATATGTAATGATGATGATGGTGTTATATGTAGTGATGATGGATGGTGTTATATGTAGTGATGATGGATGGTGTTATATGTAGTGATGATGATGTGTTATATGTAGTGATGATGTGGTGTTATATGTAATGATGATTAGACAATAAAATAATAACAGTTTAATGCTAAAAATATACTTTGCTGTACTGTGTAGTGGAACTTACATACACCAAGCATGAACTATTGATGGAAGAAGAAGTTTTGGGGACTGAACAGTGAGACAATGTGGAGCCTCCCAGAGGGTGGAGTCCTACTGCGTGGCCTAGCTTAATGAGCCACCCGGACCAAAACTTGCATGATAGGCGTCGTGTGGGGATCCCAAAAACCCAACCAACTGGACTCAGACACACCCAACCCATCTTAATCAGGTAAACCAAACAGAGGCTGGAAAAGGATGTGAAATGTTGTAAAGTCCTCAACTGAGCTCACTAACATGGTCTACCACCCAAGGATCGCTATGGGCTGCGTGAACTAGCACTCTGGCACCAAAGAATGAAACAGTGGCTGAAATCAACATGACTCTACTCAGACAGCTTTCAGGCAGTGAGACCTCATTCAAATCTGTTGATACAGTATCGACCTGACCAAGCAGTCCAGTACTCCTGTATAATTTTAATTCTTGGAGCCAGCTGAATGCTCTCTCACCACCTCACTCTCAAGATTGGAACACCTATAATGCTCTTAAGAAATCTTTGAACTCTAGCTTAAAGAGATACCGGTTTAGTATATATATATAGAGCTGTACAGTATATACCTTCCAATTAATATTTACAGTGCTATATCTTAAAATGTTACCACATATGGAAAGTTTTTAATAATTTCCCTTTCCTTTTTTTTTTACTATTACACTCATGCTAAAGTGATTTTTTCTATAGCTAAGAGTTCAGTTAGATTTATTTTACTTTTCAACTCTTTTAAAGGCAGATCTGAATGCATACATCAGATATATAAACTTTTATCTCATGCTTTGAACTTTTGGTAGTCATCAAAAATCTTCAGCATGAACATTATTTTACCCTACCATTAATTTCCTTCCATTCATATACATATCTATATTTGTTTTTATCTCACAGCAGGGTGACTCATATTGTTCACCCACAGTCATGCCACATATTACATCTTTTTATTATTGTGTACAGTACAGTATGCCCAAATGCCAATATTTCCTTGACCAAAACTCTATCATTCAACAGACTGCCTAGAAGTTCCCAAAATAAATAAGGTTACATGACTAGTGTTATGACTAAATTCTTAACTATTTTATCCAATTTCACTATCCATTTCTCTACTTTATCTTTGACACAGACTCACAATACAATAACCAAACAAACATCTCACTAAAGTTATTTTCATTACCATTTATTTTATAGCAAATATTTAAAAATCCAATAACAATACTGTACTTCAAAATATTTTTCTTGCATATCCTAACAGACTGTCTACCATTTCAAAATATCTTCATTCAAATACAGAAAAATTAAAGGTTTGTTACCTTAAACTTATCAAGCCTTACTCCATGTTCTACTATACAACTTCACATACACTCACCTGTGATGGCATCATGCCACCAAGAAACTCTACTGAAGGATCATAGCTAGCATCCACCTCCATACTGCCTTCACCAGCCAGTCCCTCTGGGTTATATTCTTCACCTCCTTCACCCTGCTAGATATAAAATAAAAAACAGAACTAAATTAAAAAAAATAAAATAAATAAATAACATTGAAATAAAAAAGTAATGACAAAAATAAGAGTCTCATCTGATAACATACCATAACCATTCTTTGAAATATTTTTCACTCACCTATAATATTTTTGCACACTAAAAAGTTTACATTTTCTCCTCAGCTTCTTTGTCCAACTCCCTCTTCTAACTAATTATAAAAGACTTTGCTCCTTCTTTCAGGAAGGTCACTGATCATTTACATGAAATTTGGACACAGAAATAGGTGGCAGTGGCCTATTCTGAAGAGAAGTGATCTTGGTATCATTAGATGCTCATGCACATGAAGATTAGTAACTAAAACATGTTTTCCTTCCGTGAAATACCAAAGAAGTAACTTAATTATTTGAAATGAGAAGAGTATATAATTAATCATCATACCCTGGGAAGACAATGACTGTACAGTACAAGTTTACCTTAAAACTGGTTAGTGACATAGTTTTCCAGGTCCTTACGTTTATTTCCACCTAATTTGGTGATGGTGATGCCTTTCATTACTAAAATATGACCTTAACTGTGCAATGATGATGATTATACCAACATGGGTATAACATAAATTCTTCTGAGCTTCCTGTAGCTGAACTAAAAACTATTGTTAGAGGAAACTTGTACTGTGTAACTGATATGCAATAAAATCTAATGAACGGACAAACAATACCACACCATAACATCCTCAAATCATAGACATTTGAGTGACTGTTGTGCATGGTTAACACACCTGATAGTATGAGTACTGGGCAGAGAGCTGCACCATAGCCTCAGCTGCACCCTGGGTCTCATCAGGTCCTTGCAGATGATGATCATACTGGTCTTCCTCAAGACCAATACCCTCAGGTATCTCCACCACTTGTTGATTTCCAAAGTCTTCTTCATCATCACTGAATTCAAGATCTGTTAAAATTGAATAAAAAATACAATTTGTTCAGAAACATTTTTCTGATTAACAATTACCATAAAAATTATTTTCTAGATCTTACATCCTTGGCTCTATGGTCAATATCTATGACAATCTTTTACGTTCATACTCATAGACAAGGCAAATTATGGCCCAAAACTTGAAATCCTCAAAATTCAAAACCAACATTAAAACTAGTTGCCATACTTTTACATTGCCATTTGGATATCATATAAGTCTAGTAACCATTAAAAATCTGTGAAAAAAGTGTAAATTACCTCAATAATCAACCACAGTAAGTACAGTAGAGTATACAGTATATAAGATCACACAAAAGCCTACAATGTGGGAACTGAGAATGATTCATGAATAATATATTTAACTTAAACAGTTAAATGTTTTCTTTTTTTATTCAGAAATGTAATGGGAACAAAAATTATATGCATATTAAAAACCCTAGACATTATGTTTGCATGGCTACCTATATACACAGTAGTGTACATGTATTTTGTTTACTTTAAAGTAGCTTGTATTTGGAAATGGCCTATAGAAAGTGATGGAAAGAAAGCTAACCTCACTACAGGTTGATAATCCCTCATCCGCAATTCCGAAAACCGAAAACCTCCTAAAACCGAAAGTTTTTACGTGGAGCATCACTCGTGTGCACGACATACCCCGAGTGACGCCGAACATGACTGGGACCTGACGCAACCCACGCCGAGCGGCGGGTGTGAGTGAGGATTTGTGTCTTAGTGTTGCTACAAGTCACACACCTGCATCTGCTGTTCTCTTATATTTTGTGTAATTTTGTTTAATTTCACTGAAAATGTCAAAAAGAGCTTCAGATACCCTATGGGTAACAGTGAGAAGAAAAGGAAGCATCTCTCATTATCGATAGTACATAAAGTGGAGTTATTACAGAAGCTTGATCGTGGTGTACCTGTGTGGCGTCTTACTAAAGAATATGGTGTGGGAACTACCACCGCACTGTATATGACTTAAAGAAACAGAAACACAAGTTGTTGAAGTTTTACACTGACAGTGATGACCATAAACTAATGAAAAACAGAAAAACATTGCATAGGGCAAAAAATGAAGATCTTGACCGTGTGCTGATTGAGTGGATTCGACAACGAAGAAGTGAACGTGTTCCACTGACTGGTTTGATGGTCATGAAACAAGCTAGAATATACCATGAAGAACTGAACATTGATGGTGAGTGAGAATATTCAGAAGGTTGGCTGCAGAAATTTAAGAAGTGTCATGGTATAAAATATCTGAAAATCTGTGGTGAAAAAGGTTCTGCTGATCACGAAGCAGCTGAAAATTACATTGACAAGTTTGCTAAAATAATATCTGATGAAAACCTTAGTCCTGAACAAATTTACAATGCTGATGAAACAGCTCTGTACTGGCGCTACGTTCCCAGAAAAACATTAACAACGGCTGATGAGAGAGCACCAACAGGTGTTAAGGATGCTAAGGACAAGTTGACCGTTCTTGGGTGTGCCAATGCTGCCGGCACACACAAGTTAAGGTTGGCAGTGATTGGAAAAGGCAACGACTGAGATGGTTGAATGGTGTACGCAATTTACCTGTACCTTATTATGTGAACAAGAAAGCATGGGTAGCCAGAAAATTATTTTCAGACTGATTCAATAACCACTTCGTACCAGCGACACGAGCTCATTGCAGGCAAGCTGGACTGGAAAAAACTGTAAAATTCTATTGTTACTTGACAACTGGTCCACACATCCCCCTGCTGAACTACTTGTGAAAATTAATGTTTTTGGCATTTACTGCCCCCCCTATGTGACATCTTTAATACAGTCTTGTGACCAAGGAATTTTACGCTCCATGAAGAGCAAGTATAAAGACTTTTTTTAACTGTATGCTTGATGCAGTCAACAGAGGCATAGGAATCCAAAGGCTCCTGAAAGAGTTCAATGTTAAGGATGCCATTTACGCAGTTGCTAATGCTTGGAACGCTGTTGATAGACCAACATTAACAAATGCTTGACACAAAATTTGGCCTACAATGATGTATGATGCAGATGAACATGCAGATGAAGACTTTGAAGGGTTTCATGTCACTAAGGAGAAGATGATATCAAACCTCCTTACATACGCCAAAGGTTTATCATCCGAAAGTGTAAAGAGGTTAGAGGAAGCTGACATTGAAGAAGTTGACAATGTTGCACCTGTTGTGCATTCGTTGAGTGATGGAAAAATTGCATGAGGATAGTAGTGATGATGATGGCATTGTGAACACAGGTGAAAAAGTCCCCATAGATGAAGCGGCGAAAATGTGTTATCAGTTAATTACTGTCCTTGAACAATGGGCATTTATCAGTGAGCAAGAGATTATGGCAGTTTACTCAATTAAAATGAGAGACTGCTAAGAAAGAAGCCAATGTTAATGAGACAGATGACACTGGAAGAAGTCTTTAAAAAATGCCATCTGTCGTAGTGCTGAGTCATCACTTGAGAGTCCTGTTCCTGGCCCATCTTCAGATGTCCGACTCTAACCTGACGATGACAACGCTGATGTACCCTCTTCTCCATGATCATCAAGCCAGATGTAATGTACCTTTACTGCATGTATATATGTATTTAGCTTAGTTTCTACAGTACTGTACATACTTGTATATGTTTGAAGTTTTACTGAATGTTTTCCTTACAAATAAACTGTCCTAGAGTATTTATGGACTACAGTATATTTATCCCACGATTTCATTTATACCTAACCCAACCTAACCATTCTGAAATCCAAAAAATTACGAAATCCGAAACACATCTGGCCCCAAGGATTTCAGATAAGGGGTTGTTAACCTTTCCATTCATGCTCCAATAATATTTTTGGAACCCTCAAAAACTTAGCAACTACTGTACAGTACAGTATTTCTTTGAAGGTAAGTTTGTTAATTTAGTAACAAACTGGCAGAGCTCTGTTATAATACTACTTCTGTACTACAGCCACTCTAAAAGCAGTACAGTATAGGATCTGAAAAGTTGTGGATAACTATCAGGTGCACTGCAATAGGAGGATGTTGAGGTTCACTACAGTGGGAGTGTGATGACATGCACTACAGTGGGAGTGTGATGACATGCACTACAGTGGGAGTGTGATGACATGCACCACAGTGGGAGTGTGATGACATGCACCACAGTGGGAGTGTGATGACATGCACCACAGTGGGAGTACCGAGGTGCAACACAGTGACACTATGTTATGTAGTAGACTGCAGTAGGAGTGTGATGAGCTGTATTACTCTAAGAAGGTGTTTAAAGGAAATAACCATCAATGAGTAGAAGCAAAACTGGCCTGATGGACTAATTTCTGCTCACATTTGCCAACCTTTGCAGATGTTACAATTTGTGGAAACTGAGTGGTATTTACTCAAGTACGTTGTTAAGGATGATAAAAATCTCCAAAGTATAATTTCTTTAGGATGTTATTTCATTTATTTCTCCTCATATCTATTTCCTTTACAACATCAGTGTTTCTCATCAAACTTCTACTAATAATTAAATACAAGTCAAGTAAAGTAAAACAATTATATAGCCAGAAAAGTAAAATTAATGAAGTTTGTTTACTCATAACGATAAAGATTATTTTCTTTTAACTGGATGACTCATGTAAATATTGCATGAAACTTATGAAATGTCTTACTAACCTTCCTCCAAGACATTCCTTTGTGACTGTTGCATCCTTCTTCTTTTAGCTGATGGCATCATGTCCTCCTCATCACCATCAACAACATTGACATGTTCATCATCTTCATCACCTGGAAATATATGTTAAAACAGATGAAAGTCATGTAATTGTGAAGGAATGAAATTAATTCTTTTATAAACATTAAACTTAGCTAAAATTGGATATAAGAGCTGCCCTATAGTTCTTCAGCTTATAATTTGTGTACAGTATATGGTATATTGTACACAGTACAGCATATTGTAGATACCTAAACTTGACTGATCTGCTGAAACTGCTGAGCTATAGTTCTGAAAGCTATATGACCGGAAGAGACTAAAACATGAACTTGTGATCCATTTTAGGTTTGAATTTTCATCCTTTACATCCACACCTGACAACCTTATAATTTATAATACTGTACATATCCTAGCAATCCTACATATGGTCTGGAAAAATTAATAAAGCCTCAATGAAAGTTATATGAATATGTCTCTATAATGGAGGCCCCTCGTAATTAAGGATGGTCGGCCCAAGGGCCTCCTGGGCTTGAATTTGTTTAAGGTGTAGAAGCTGTCGCCAACACATCAACCACACCCTAAGTTAACGAGCTGCATGACAAAGTGTCGAGGAATAGTCTGAGAAAACTGGACAACTCGCCAACTGCAATGGCTAACCATTACCCCGGAATATGATCCGCAAATCGATTAACATCCAGGTTCCCAATTACTGCTGAGTAGACAGAGGCAAATGGCATAAAGAAACTTGCCCATTGTTTCACCCTGCCCGAGGATTGAACTCGGGTCCACTTGCTTGCGAGGAGAGGACGCTGACCATTACACCACAGGTCGCCTCGTCTCTATACACTGTACAGTACAGTATGTATTTCACCAGTATCACAAAACTTAATCATGAATGTCAAAGTAACTTAGTACAGCAACAGAGCATCGGCATAGAATACTGTACTGAAAGTACAAAACAGTATCACTAACAGCTTTTTTTCTACATTTTTGGTTTTGTTCTAAAGCAACTGATCAGTCACTTAGACATCCATTAAATTACTGCACAAATAATAATATAAATTAATGTGGATGTACCTGAATAGCCCATGAGATGATCAGATGGTGAGCCCAGGTGGTGATCAGGATGATCTTGTTCAGGCTCTGCATATGTGTAGTTTGTATCATCATCTGGGCCTAGAGATGTACCTAGTGAGTCTGTTTCAGCTTGTTCTAATGCTCGCTCTTGGGCTAGTGCTATCTTCTTTTCCAAGCCATCAAGATGTGATTCATACTGAAAATGGAGGCCAAAAGACAAGGCAGATAATCTCAACCCACAATAAAAGTGAAGCAGTTTAACAGAGTGATAAATTTCTGTAGAAGCTGATGGTCATCCTACACAAGTCAGTTGTTATGTTTGCTACCACAAGCCTCACCTACAGAAATATGTTTTATTAAATACCCACTGATTTAAAATTACACTTGCTGGAAAAATTTTGTCACCACTTTACTTTTTCCCGCTTAGATAAGGAGAAGGAGGACAAACAATTGCTTATTGAAGAGCACCTTTGTGATTATACACTATTTTTCACAGACTGCAGTTGTAAATAATTATGATTTCCCATGCATCAATATGGCATGTCCCTAGTCAACCATGCTTAAGAAAACAAATAAGCCCAACTTTGACTTACAACCAAACTCAACTATTTTTTTTTAAATCATTGTGCTTTCAAACTTAAATTCCCAATTACAGTAATGTACTTTACATACTGTGTACTATTCTTTTGTTTCTGAGCCAATTATATTGTAACTTGAAGAGAGTTTAGTCAAAGCCAATAGTCCATGTCTGTTTGATGTAGGTAGTGCACCTCAGGACCAGAGAGAGGGCAAGCAGGGTTATGATAGTACACTATCATCAAATGTGCTCTGATATCTTTTACATATTTTGGATTTAAGACCCCAATAATTTTTTAAGGTGTCAAAATACAGTATATACTTTGGATCAGTGTTCCTTTATATTTTCACCCATACAATTGAATTATTCCTGAAAAGATACAGTAAGACAAACCCCAAACTATTCTAAATTAGTCCAATTTTATCTACAGTACTGGCAGGGGTCATAGCTCAAAGACTGCTACAAAATCAGGGGTTTTCACCAGTTTTTTCCTTTGTATTTCTAGAATATCTAAACACAATTTTGTTTGAGTACGTTTTGACAATCCCAATTAACAGATGCAAATAGATTTTTAATTTGAGCTTCTTTGTTAATGTTGCAGGAGGTAGTCAAATATGAGGGATTAGAAATACAGTAAAGGAACAGTGAATTATGAGACATTATGCTGAGCTTTACGATAAGTTATGAATGAAAATATGAGGTCGAGGTTATCAGTCAGTGCTTTAATTCTTATTAGAGTGCATGGTAAAACAACAAAACAAAAAATATAGTGAAATTTTGAAAGAATTGAGTGAGGGATGAAAAGAGAGACTAGCGACAGATCAGGCTGAGAACCAAGGAAATTTACCAATCATTGTAGAAAGGAAGCTAAAAGGAATGACTTCCTTTTGATAAATATGAGAGCTAGGATGATAAAACCTGTACTGGATCCATTGCTGGAAAATCTTCCAATATTGTTGAACTGTCACCACAGGGGTTTTACAGAACGTTACTAAACTTACCCAAAGTAATCTCAAACACAGCCACACAGAAACTACATCCAGAGTAATCACACGAAAAGGAGTCCTCAAGTCTCCACATCCAAATATTTATAAATCATATAAAATAAATCTCTTCTTACCTCAGCCAGGTTTTCCCTACACACTTGAAGCAGAATCTCAGCTTTCTGTGAGAAGGATGAGTCTTGGCCATTGTATCTAATGCTGTTTGTCAGGATCAAATCCATGTCATGCATAAACTCTGCTCGACTGTGATACTTATGGTCTGAGGAAAGATAAAATTACCTTCTTAAAATATATACAGTACTCGTATTTCATCAAACTGCCACTAAATACTGCCATTAACTTCTTCAGAGGAGTATCATTATCTGTACACCACATCACTTTGCACAAATAAGAGTGGAGATGCAAGGATTATGTGTTATTTAACTTAGTGTACAAAGCCGATAAATTTGCAGCAATCTAATTACCGTATAGTGAAAGTCACTATTCACTGTACATTAAATGAATTTAATCTTTTTCCAATTTAAAAGAATAAGTTATTGGTTTACTTTTGCTCATTAAGCTTCTAATACTACTGTACTGTAGTCCCAAAATTCTAATGACTACTGAATTCTTACCTCCTGCTATAGTGACAGGATACACACAAATATGAGTTATTCTGGAAATGTAATAAGATACAGTACTTACTTTTAACCTTTTTTGCAATTGTAGAAAGATCCATTGGATGCTGAATTATTTCATAGTAATCCTTGACATTTTTCTTATTTACCGGCTTCATGAATGGCCATGATTCCTGCATTGAGAATAGCTTCTGGTTCACAATGTTGTCCAAGATGTAGTCAAATGCAACCTGTTGGAAATGGTGAAAGAAAAATGGCAATGCTGATCAAAGTATACAGTGGAAATATAGATTCTAATAATAATTTTAAGAATAGGAAAAAGTACAACTTTCTTTCTCATTAATATTTTGAGTCACTAATCTCTATAATTTGGTGCCACCATAAAAACCGTATTGTACAGGTACCATAAAATGAATGCCACTGTGCTGAGATATCAACCATAAACACACAAGTCATAAGGGAATTAAAAATATTATTGCAGTAAAAAAAAAGTATGTGGTTGCTAAATAATGTGAAGAATGCAAAACACCATTTTCAGGCATGTGAAGAGAATGGATGAGACCAATTGTGGTTAAGAGATTCATGAATCTGAATATGGAGGGAAGGAGATCTAGGGATAAACCAAGAATGGCATGGGGGAGAGGTTGTAAGAAATTATCTCAGTTAAAAACCTGACAAAAGAGGCTACAAGAGACCACACAGCATCAAGAGCTGTCACCTGGTAACCATTACAAACTAATGCAAGTGTGGAAAATTACCATAAAATAATGATGATGATGATGATGACGATGATGATGAAGTCTGTATGATACTAATTAACAAAACTAGTGTTGGGTATATTCTACAACTGTAACTCTACCATGTTGGTGAAAAAGTCTGACATGATAATAACAATAACGGTAGAACAAAAAAGAAAAGGATGAGGAACTTATATTTGTGAAAGGTGTTGTAACATCAGGCTCTTAGTGTGTGCACCAAAACATAAGATATTGAGCACCCAGAAGGAATGAAGGAAAACCTCTTAATTTAATTTTAATCTCTAAAAGGGACTTCATCAGAGGCTTTTCTCTTTACTAATCTTCTTTCTAATGACAATATAATACAGAATGATCAACATATCATTAACCCTTTGGCTGTTTCATTCGCAAACATGTGAAAAATTTACATCCTTCAATGACCATAATTTTAATTTTTTTCATAATACATCAAAAAAGTTTCCCCTTAATTAAGATACTGAACTCCCCTATTGTATCACTTAGATAAGGGGAATAAATGATATGTGCTGCCACCTACTGGTAATAGCACTATGTGTGATCCAATGTTTTTCAGTACATTGTATCATACACAAAAGACATACAAAATATAAATGCCATTGTACAGTATTTATACAGTACTAGATAACTGTAAACGAACTGAATAAGTTGAACCAACTATAAACAATATATTTAGCAAAAACAATTTGTCATCTTTTATTCCCATCTATAAATATAATTGACACTATGTAATAACAGTACTGTATAGTTATAATAATATGCCCCTGTACTGTACTGTACTTAGATTGTAAACAATATGTTGTAAAGGGAACTCATATCATGCCTGTGTATTAGATATCTGATGCTTATATTGCTTTTTACACTACATGTACAGCACTGCATAGTATACTGTAATGTGCCTTTCTATTAGTACACTAAACTTTGTACAGTGTGTATGGAATATAGGATGTATTGACACTAGGCCTAATTTTGACAGTTTATAAGAACATATGTTTTTGATCAAATATGTTTACATGAAGCAATAAACATTTCATTTACATCTAGAAGTTTCAACTACTAATTGAATAAATTTTACTAAGTATATATATTGTTCTGTAATTAATTGAAATGTTTTTGGGTTATTTATGAAATTGATAAATTTTGCTGTACTCTGTATAAAGTAGTTGTCAATGAAGGTTATTGCCAGGTATGTTAACTTTATGGTTGTATATAACTAGCATTACAAAAGAACTATCTGAGAAGTAAGTGAAACAGCCAAAGGGTTAAATACTCAAGATCCAACTCAGTCCAAGTCTCAAGAACATAATCCCAGACCTGATCATCATCATCCAGCAGAGGATTAATGGCCTTCTCCAGCCTCATAAGTCGTTCTTCCTTTTCAGCAAATCGGTCAATGCATAGCTCCAACATCTTTTGTGCCGTGACAGTGAGGGTGCTCTTTACACCTACAACAAAGCAAAACATATACACATACATAAATCTGGCAGAAAATGAGCTTGAATATTAAGACTTTAGACTCTTGGAAAACTTTCACCAGTACCCAGAAATATTCCGGGGATGTGCAATTTTGCAATTTCTTTCAGGTATGAGAAAATTCGTCTCCATACTCAGAAAACTCTTAAAACTGGATCCACTATTCACCAATTATTCCGGTTAATGGGGAGATTACTGCATAACAGGAGGAGATCCTATGGAACATCAAAACTTGAACACTTTAATCACAATGTCCTTGTGTTGGATTGCATCATACCATGTAATTTATTGCAATTACTTCCCATTAAAATATTAAACAAAAGACTGCTTATTCACTATCTATCTGATAAAAATAATGAAGATCTCTATCTAAATTAAATTGGGAAATTAAACTTTTGTTTAAAATATACCAGTACAGTAAAGAGAAAACAAGTGCACTCCAATATAATTACCATTATAAAGTCTTGAGTTCTCTACTATCTGAGATATGTCAGACAGGAACTCTTCACGGCTTTGGTACTTCTTTTGACGTAAATTATCCCGGATGGTAGATAAATCCATTGGATGGTTGACAATGTTATAGTAATCAGGTACTTGCTGGAAATTACAATACACAGTGAAATAAAAATCATATAATGTGTAAAATAATAAGCTAACAATTGGAGGTACACAACAAAGTAAAAATATGCATTACAAAAACTTTATCACACAATGGGCAAGTAATTAAACAATTCTAACTTCAAGAAGTGAGCACCCATTAAGTAATGTAATATTTATTAAAAAACCTGTGCAATTAAAATAATCTTACTTCATTCAACTACTTACTCTAAAAATTACCAAAAATAAATAGTAGAATTTGCAATTTGTATCATGACATAAAGTTATGGTTCAAAAGCAGTTTGATATGAACACGACTGAGAAACAGTTAGCAGCTCCCTCTTCAAGAATGAGAGGATACACTCAGAGAGCAAATAGATACATATATGGAAGAAAATATAAATATAATAGCTAAGGGTAATACTGCACCTAGTCATGAAAAATAAAAGTGAATGTAATATGTTAAAAATTGTCACTGAAATGACATCAAAACTTGTGATAGATATTACACATACAGAGGGAACTGGTATTATAAGATGCCAAAGACAACAGATATACAGAGTTAAAAGAACACAGATTACACAACACATGAATGGAGTACACAATCAGTAAAATACTGTAATACAATAAGCTGTTTACATTACAGTATATAGTAATGCATGGGAAGTGTGAAGCAACTGTGTACATTGGGCATGCACCAAGAAAAAAGCATGTGCTGCATTGGGAGGTTAGCTGAAGGTGCAATTTTTTAATAAGATAAAAAATTCATAAATAGCTTTGCTACCTACCTTAACATTAACTGGGAAGAGGAAGGGCTGAGCATCTGACATTTCCCTCATGTCATTCAAAATTTCCTCAAATATGGTGGAAAGCGTAATGACAGGGTCTATTCGACGTCGATTGACAGATCGTTCTTTCCGTTTCAAGTAGTCACAGTGTACCACTGTGCCTGCTCGTCTTCGTTTTGCATTTTTTACCTGATCTTTAGGTACTTTGAGTACAAGCGATCTTCGTTTCAGCTCTTCTGCATGCTGTAAGGTAACATACAATGCAATAATCAAATATTCTTTTAACATGTAAAACATGTACAGTATATTTACTCTTATTAATACTGATAATAATTTTTAGACAAACTTTTTCTTCAGAGATGTAATATATTGTTTTATATTTAATTGTACACACATTACAACATTAAAGAAAGACAATAAAGTATAAAGCATGGCATCAGAAGCCCAATAATTCCTTCTGACAAACTGAAAATCAGGCTGTAAAGATGAAATCGTATGAGAGACAGTCAAGTGATATACAGTATTGATAAACAAGTTGATTGGATACCGAGTGTTTATAACTGTGAGTGGCAAAATGTATTGCCGTACAACACCACAACCTGGTAGTAATGTAATATAACTGTCATTTATATGGAGAGTACTGAAGCAACACATCAGCTGCTTGATACATTTTGTCGATCCATTTATGGTATTTGAAAGGGAGTGTTTAAAGGATGCACATAGCCAATCTAACTGATTTATAAAGTTCAAACAATAGACATTAATATTATAAAAATAAAGCCTCTTAGGCTGGGGAGAGCTTAGATTGATATCACATTGGGTTCGAGGTAAACCTCCAACGCCTCCCAAAACCAAGAATCCAAACTCACAGTAAAACCATAAAATTACAGTACCTCAGAATTCTGAATATCAGATACTGTAACCCTAAATCTTTAAAAAAAAACCAGTACAGACATTCCCCAGGTTATGGATTTCCAACTTTATGGATACAGTACAGTATTCTCTCAAGAGTCTTATTTAACATGAGTGCCAGATAATTACCCACACTGAAAGGGGGGATATTTCCTGCCATACCCCACCTGTGATCTTTATGCTATCGTCATTTTTTGAACTCATAATTTCTGGTAGATAAATGTAATTTTCTTTATATTTTTATTTAGTAACATATACACTCAATCTTACATACAGAAAGTGCATAAATAAACCCCTTATCTGGCAACCCCAGGTCCCAAGTATAGTAATTGTATACAGTATACATTATACAGTATGTATTATGTGTGTTCAATAATTACCAACGGAAGGGTCACTTCCAGCTCATGGAAAATTTGGTTTACAGATAGCCTCCAGGAACAGAACCCACCCATAACCCAAGGAATGTCTGTAATTATGAAAGGTAACAATAAAAACTTATATTACATAATGTTTATTTACCTTACCAATGTCTCTTACCTTAATAACTTTGGAGGACAACTTGATTTTGGTGCCATCTACATTTATCAGTTCTTCAGACTCTTCAATACCACCTTTTTCCATCTCCTCCTCCTGCTCTTCAGTCATAGCAACACTGATGGGTTGTGAGGCATTGGTGTTGCCAGCATACATGGGACATGCCTTATTGGTCCGCATGTGTCCCACCTGCAATAGTAAAAGGTTACTTTGTAAATACTGTACTGTATATATAAAAATGAGATCATTGAATACAGATAATGTCAGATAGTCTGACTGGGATCCAAAAGAGAAGGCAGTGAAGCTGATCAACCAATGCTTACATAAGTTGGAGATGTAGGAGTTGCAAAAACATTACTTTGTAACTGTGCATCACTAAATTGACCCTTCAGTTACCTCAAGAACTTTAACACAGAAATGCTTCATGGCTTCATGGGGGAGGAGAGGATATATGGGGAGTGCCATGTTCAGAAAGCTGAGAAATTTACAAATCTGGAGATGCTCTCAGTCTCAACAGTATTAAATTTCTGGGCTCATGCTATAACTACTTAATTTCTGCATCCTCCTGATACCCAACAATATCACAAAGGGGGTATAATTTCTCCAAGGTAACCAGACTAGAAGATCTGGTCGCTGCTCTAGGAATGTCAACCCTATAATGCCTGCTTAACACTCTCCATAGATAACTAACTAACTAACTAACTGGTTTTGCAGTATCATACTGAACCTCTAGATTTGTCCCTTAACTTCTAAACAAGGAGATATGGGTTTCCAAGTATAGCAAACATATGGGAAGGTGTATAAGAGCAGTTTCCTGATTCACTTTACTACGAGACATGTTTTCTGCATTGAGCAAGAGCTGTACTGTACTTACTTACAATTTACAAGATACTTCATCTTGAAAATACAATTAATGACAAAAAAAAGAAGCTCTGATTAATGTGATGACCTCATATAGTTTACAGTATCTGGAAATCACCCACACTAAGCTAACAACTGAAGCCCGTATATCCAATCTACACACAAGAACATCAATAACTAACCTGACCACAAGCACCACACTTCAATTTCAAGTCTGGTTTCAGCTTAGGCTTCTTGGTCTTGGGTGGAGTTACAATCCCCTTTTGTTGGCGTTCCTGGTTTCTCTTGATCCTCCTCAGCTGCTCCTGGAGACGACGACGCTCACGTTTCATCTCCTCCTTCTGAGTCTCATCTGAAGTAATGTTGCAATAATAGGATGGTTCAAATGTCAAGACTGATGAGATCTCCTATATATATATAAACAACATGGAGTTCTTTATCTGCAACTATACAAAATGTGAATTTGTATACACCAGTCTAGATTTTTTTAACAGTCAGCTACAATTCAAACTCACCTAGCTGCCCAGCAAAGCTTTTAATAAATGATTCATCTTTTGAAGTCCTGATCTTAACATAGGTGTCAATCACAGCAGTTTTTCGTACAATTTCAGTTCTAGTGTATTCCTTCCCATCTGGAGTCTTAAACGTGCGAGTGATTCTTAAAAGTCGACCTGCATTAATAAACAAAAGGATTAGAACGGAAAAATGCAAGAACAAAAATAAATAAACATATAACATACATAATACACGACTAATTCCATCCTAACATCATAATCAGACTACTGCGACAACTACATTACTAAATAACAATTCTTCTCAAAGGATTCTCATTATCTATTTGTACTCGATGGGGCAAAAAACCCTGATCTTGTGTTAAACCAAAGTATAAATCAATGATCATTACTGAATCCAATTAAACAACAACTGTATTAATTCTACACATATGAATGATTATGTTTTGTTTCAATAATCAAAAAATACTTTAAGGTCTACATCATATAATAATGTCCAGTGAAACCTCCCTGTAATGGACTTCTCTCTATATACAGTAGTTCATTATATATGGGTTTCACGTCTAATGGGCCCTCGATATAACGTACTTTCCTCTTCACATAGTCCATTAAATAGAGGTTTCACTGTACCTACATAACAAGATAGTCCACATAGTACAAGAGGAGCAGTTTAACATCACCTGGTGTTAAGAGGTTTCACTGTACCTACATAACAAGATAGTCCACATAGTACTAGAGGAGCAGTTTAACATCACCTGGTGTTAAGAGGTTTCACTGTACCTACATAACAAGATAGTCCACATAGTACAAGAGGAGCAGTTTAACATCACCTGGTGTTAAGAGGTTTCACTGTACCTACATAACAAGATAGTCCACATAGTACAAGAGGAGCAGTTTAACATCACCTGGTGTTAAGAGGTTTCACTGTACCTACATAACAAGATAGTCCACATAGTACAAGAGGAGCAGTTTAACATCACCTGGTGTTAAGAGGTTTCACTGTACCTACATAACAAGATAGTCCACATAGTACAAGAGGAGCAGTTTAACATCACCTGGTGTTAAGAGGTTTCACTGTACCTACATAACAAGATAGTCCACATAGTACAAGAGGAGCAGTTTAACATCACCTGGTGTTAAGAGGTTTCACTGTACCTACATAACAAGATAGTCCACATAGTACAGTTTAACATCACCTGGTGTTAGAGGTTTCACTGTACCTACATAACAAGATAGTTAACATCACCTGGTGTTAAGAGGTTTCACTGTACCTACATAACAAGATAGTCCACATAGTACAAGAGGAGCAGTTTAACATCACCTGGTGTTAAGAGGTTTCACTGTACCTACATAACAAGATAGTCCACATAGTACAAGAGGAGCAGTTTAACATCACCTGGTGTTAAGAGGTTTCACTGTACCTACATAACAAGATAGTCCACATAGTACAAGAGGAGCAGTTTAACATCACCTGGTGTTAAGAGGTTTCACTGTACCTACATAACAAGATAGTCCACATAGTACAAGAGGAGCAGTTTAACATCACCTGGTGTTCCAAATCCAAATTGAGAGTTTTCATCTTCATCTTTCTTTGTTCCTTTTCTTTTATCCCCATCTTTATCGTCATCGCCCATTATCATCTTCTGTAGTTCTTTTCTCTCTTGTTCTTCTTTCTCCATCGTCATCTGAAATATATTATTATGGAATGGTATAGTTTTTGTTACTGGTACTATATACAACAAGTAGCAAAAAGGAATAGGTATTAATTATGAAAAATATTTTGTGTTGTAAAATGAGAAACTTAACAAACCTCACATCCTGAGTTCCTTTAAGCATAATATACAAAGATGTGAGACAAACCGTAGCTTGTCTCAAATCCTGTCATATCTGATTAGTTACATAAGTATTTGATATTTTCTCCATTTGAATATCTTTCCATTCTCATCTTTAAAATATTACACGACACACGCAAACATCTACAGTGACAATGATTGGATTTTCTTTATATTACTGTTGGAAAGGAAATAATGTTCTAAGTTAATTAATTCTATCCCCTGGTGTAAGACATTGTTGTAAAGTTTGTAACATGATTGACTGTATTTTCTACATGTTACATTGTCAGTTTGATATATACTGTAAATTCATCAACAGAAATTTCCAATGTTAATTCCTTTAAGCTTGTACATTATGTCAAAGTAACCCATCTTAGAACTTCACACTACTAACACATTAATGTTGTATCTTAGGTAGTGGTAATGCGTAATTTATACCCAATGCCCATTGATGGTTTATGTTGAAAGAGTTCTGTAATATAGTACAATAATTAGATCTTTACTCATAAATTAAAATGTAAAAAATAAAAAAAAATTTATAAAGGAAGAATTTGCAATGAGGCAACAATATAAAAAAAAGTTTTTCCCTAACCTGAGATGAAGTCTTCTTATTTGCGAGAATATTTTCAATGTACTTCCCCTTTTCCTCCATATCTGAGTCATTGTCCTCCTCCTCTGAAGATCCCTCATCAGTGGACAACACCTCTTCAGATGCTAATACTCGATTCTGGAGATCAAATATGCGCTGACATTCTTCTTTGTATCTGTAAAAATAGTACAATAATATTAATATGAGTAAGTAGGATAAACTTCATTTTAGATTAAGTCCCTTTCAAATATGTAAAAGTGTTTATAAGACTACATGTGTATAATATTTTTTTTCCAATATCTTCTTTACACATAATAGTGTAAAACATTTATTGTACTTTTCCTCATATGTCTTAGCATCTGTCAGTACTTTACAATGATATATAATAAAATTAAAACAAACATATTAAGTCAATGTGAAAAGAAAAATTAACTGTTTTGGTTGTGATGCAACAAAAATTAACAAAAAATAAAATAGAAAATAAAATGCTAGTATTGTACATTCTAAATCACACAGGCACCTTCAGCTTCAGGTGCAACATTCTATCGGGCAAAAAGAACTGAAAACTCTTACTCTCGGGAACAATGATATCACTAACAATACATCATCTACGAGCCATCTTGGACTTTACGATGAACAATTACCTCTCTTGGTGTTCAGCTATAGAGAAGCGGTTTCCTCGAGAAAACTTATTCATTCCTTCCTCTCCAGCCTTGGCTTTCTCTGTTGACAAGGTTCGCACCACATCAATCACCTCCCATCTAGTTAGTTTTGCAATCTGTTAAAAAATGGATCAATATATTTAGTCTCTATCCTTCACTTTAAGTACAATATCATTGCCAATAATGTAAAATCTCATTTAACAATTTCTACAATTACTCCTTACACCACACTCTTAACATATGCTGTATTCTCTTTCAATTTCACAAAATTTATCCTCTATTTATCCAGAACAGTACAGTACAGTAGAGTTCTGTACAGTACAGTACCTTCCTCTCTAGTAAATGCACATTCAATATTTTCTGGATATGGCCACTCACTCCACATCTTTATACCTATTCAGTGTCCTCTTTATTTTCTAAATTACGCATTTCAAAATACAATATCCTTTACTAATTTCTTATTCTTCAACTCTCGCGGCAAACTAAGAAAGATGAGATAAAGTCATAAGGCCATTTACAAGAGCAGCAAATGGATAAGAATTAAACATTGATATTTCACCCTACAGAGTTAAAACCCAGTTACAGTGACCAAAACATTTGCAACATAAGTCTTATATTGGTTTTGCTATTAGCATGTGAAGCACTAAGAAATTATATAATTTCACTACACAGTACCTCATCTTCTGGAACCCCATACTGTCGTAGAAGGTTCTTTGCATTATTAAGGGACAGTCTTCGAAGATCAGCATCTGTTCCTGTAACTGTACGCTTTGGCTGTTGCTCCTGCTCTTCTTTATTTTGTGTTGGCTTGTTTGGGATTCGGATATAAGAGAATCCTTCACCACAACCTAAGAAAACATTGAAAAATTTGGTAAATAAAGAAATACATTTACAGACAATTAGAATAGCACAATTCTATGAAATTATCTGATCTATATTAACAAATGATATGGATACAGTATAAAAATTTAATTTTATAATAACACTTTCATGGGTGATTATACATCTTCCAGCAAGAGTAACTAGGCATTTTACTGATTGTTGACAGGTTTGTAGAGGTGTTCATACCCCAATGTAATCTTCTATCAGGTACTCAGAAAGACTTGTTTTCAATGTGCAGTGCATGATGTAACATTTTACAGCCCAAACAACAATTACAATGTGACCAAGATCTCTGATCTCTAAGCCTAAAAACATTGAAGTCTGCAATATGATGTCAAAGTAAGTGTACAGTATTCATTAACAAAAAATGAATAGTTTAAGCACTTTTGGGAAGTGCATATTTGGAGTTACTTATATTTGATCATTTTCCCATGACCCTTAAATGATTATATCACCATAATAGCAAACAACACTGTTAAAATACCATATTTACTTGTTGCTGTGTCATTCTGCTTTCAAACTTAAGTTCAGGAAGTGGACAAATTAAAATACTGCAATAGAAATTTTAAAATTTCTACCCATACAGGATTTTAACCATGTCTGCATTTGCATATAAAAGGCCAAATAAAATTTTATTTGTTTAAATACAATAAAATTGTTACTGTATTACACCACTCCCTGGCCAGTGACACTGTAGCCATAAAGTCTAACAAGGGTACAAAATAACTTCAAAATAATACTGTATTGCAAATTGTATAATATTGAGGTGATTTTCAAATCTAAAGCCAAACTGGTTGGCTTTTTATGAAGACTTCATTCTGGATCACATCATCTGAAAGCCAAATAACTAGTGACTAAAACTTCTGCAAAACATTTAAGGGAAATACCACCTCATTACAAAAATACATTCCCACAATTTTAATCACATTCTATACATGCACATAAATAATCCTATAGGTTTCACTGGTGTAGGCAAAGTGGAATGCCAGGAGACGGAGTAGACCACCGGAGAAGAATTGTTTGTATAGAAGCGTAAAAGTGATTGGTGAAATTTTCAGTAATGAATCCGTTCAACAAGCAACATGTTGTGAGGGTGAATGAGTTCATTGTACAGTAGCTTGCTGTGATGCTCTGTACATCTGTTACATCACATCATTTTGTTGGGATGAGATGGATAAACATAAATAGAATTTCTCGTACATCCTTTAACACTGAGAAGATTCAGAAAGATACCATGAAATACTGCATATGAATCATTAATTATAAATAATTCATTTTCCATGGAAGTAAACATTAAAATACTCACCTGTTGGGTCAGCTGGGCCAGTCAGTTGCAGTAGGCACTTTCCACGTACAGCCTGGATGTAGGCACGGGTAGTATGCCAAGGTGCAACCTAAAGTAAAGTAAAGTCAGTAATTGAAATCTATGCAATTGTAGTTCAATAAACATAAAGATATAAAAATTTTGTAACCCTCTTGTAAAATTCATTGTTCCCTCCTTAGGTATCAATTTGTTTTTCTACAAATTATCTATTTTAACATCAAAATGTTTGTAAAACAATTGCCATGATTAGGAAAGTGTGTCAGGGCTAACTAATATTTTTTCTAATATACTCCCAGGTAGGAAATGTTTTGGATATCAACTTTGTTAATGTGACAAAGTTGTCTATGACAATCTTACTGCCTTTTTCTCCTTCCTCCCCCACTACCTCCTAGAGAAAATACAGTAAAGGATAAAATAAGTTTCAGTGTCTTACCTTGATCTCATCATCCAGTTTTTGTGTATCATCATCATTATCATCTTCTAGTGCTGACAGGAATTTATCACCATAGCCAGCATCCTTGAGGCGCTGTTCTGCTGCAGACATACTAAAATAGGTACAACACTGCTCAGGTGACACCATGGCTCTGATCTCCTCCTCGGTTGGTAGACGAAACTCGGGCTTGATCACCCACCAATTACTGTCAACAAAATAAGCCAAGAACTGCTGATGGAAATCTTTCACATAAATTAATTCAGTCTGATATTTTGGATTCATACATGTTCCACTTGCAGTAGTCCAATAATTTGTGTAATGGGTGTTTCAAATGAAATGTGAACATTCATGACAAATACTGAAACTGGACAGAAAGGGAACTTCATAAACAAATATATTTTCAAGAAAGAGCCCTTCAGGAATTACATTTCCCGTTTTCTCCAACTACGAACAGATTCAGCAATAAATACAAGTTGAATTTGGCTCACATGTGTCAATAAAAATTTTTAGAATACAGTCTCCTCGACTTACGACGGCCATGGCCGTATAAAATATTTTTCACATTACGTATTTTCGAGTCCCGACGTTAGTGATCGCGCTGTGTACTGACAAAATTTTTGTTTGTAATTCCCTTTAAAATGGCTGGCAAGCATGAAAGTGAGAGTTCTCGTGGTGCTGAGAAGAAAAGGGACACCTATTTTAGAATTTCTATGTATTATTTTCGCCTTTTCGACTTACGACCTGGTCGTCGGGACGGAACCCCGTCGTAAGTCGAGGAGAGACTGTACTGTATTTAAGAAGACAGGAACCCTTAACTACACATAGAGAGAGCTTCAGACACGTCCGTACCTGACCCTTAACAATGTTCAGAAGCATTAGTTCCATACAAATAACAAAACACAAATACAGTGTAATTAGGAGGTGGGTGATGGAATACTTTCAACACTAAAAAGGCTGTCCATGTTTTAGAATATTAGTCTTTAATACCTTATAATTCTTTTTCCTGAACAAAAAGTCTCACCTACAAACATTACCTAATGTTATAACAAAGAAAAGGGAAATATCTAGAGCACATCTAGAAAGAAGGGCATTATTTCACCAGACACAAAACTACCTGTATTCTCATATGCCTTTTTTGTGGGGTATTGTTACATATACTGTACAGTATTGTATTTCTTTAACTATTGTACTTCAATTATATTTGACTTTTATTTCAAACTAAAAGGAATCATTATTGTTCTTTATGTCATGCCAAGGAATATGATATAAAAAAAGAAAAGACTTCATGATCCTCCCCATTTTAGATGCAATATATGTGATAAAACCCTGGCTCCTCAAATCAAGTGTACTTAAGAATAAAAAAGAAAAATACAAAAAAAGGTAACAGAAACTGACAGTTTATATATCCTTGAATTGTAACACTTCCTAAACTCTGTAATTCTCCATCACTTTACCCTCTTCAGGATCATAAGCTTAAAAAAGGAAGGTCTAAAGCTGCTTCTTAAAGGCCTCCACAGAAGTCAACTGCAGGCAACCGATTGTACAATCTGGGTATTGTACTGTACTGAAAAAGGATCAGGCAGCAAAAGAACACTTCTGTACTGTACTGCTCTAGGCTCCTCAAGGCATGAGGGATCATCATTACTGTACAAAATCATTTCAGAGCTTGTGGTCAGAAGATTTAATAGGTTGAACAAATACTTATGATCATCAAACATAACTGCCTTAAAAAATAATTAGGCAGAGTGTGAACTCTAACTGCTTTGGCCCGCCTCAGCATTGGCCACACATAGCTGACGCATGGGGTTTTACCCCATTGTGATGACTGCCTGGTCCCAATGACCAGAAGATGAATCAGAGGACTTGACCCAATTCAAAGAATGATCAACTTCCTGATCAGTCATGGTCTGGTCAATATTTCTATAGTTCCCAAAGGTAATTTTACTGTAAGAAGGTGGTCTTGGGACATTAAAACCAAAAGTGACCAAAACTTGGTCAGAGACTGCCAGATCGATCAGGTCAACTGCAACATCTAATACATGATCACAGTCAGCAGGAGACAAAACTAGGTCTAGAGTGTCCAGAAAGATGTGCTGAACACAACACATGACTGACATAATTGTTTAGATTGAGAATTTCCAAGAACTCAAAGGAAAAAGGTTTCAGAGATGGGTTGTCAACTCAAAAATTAAAGTCACCACAGATCAACAGTCACTCATTATTTGCTGAGAAGATCTCACAAAACAACCCAAATTCATGATTTGTACCTGGGTGACCCTGGTGAGACACAACACCACTTCTAATAACTTGGCAATGAAGATTTATTAATGCTTCCATAAATTCAAAGGAGGAAAAAACAATCACTACTAATCAGTCTAATGTTGAACAGGACCACAGAATAAATCAGTGCCACTACACCACCTGGAGCTCCTGCAGCAGGTCTGGGAACATAAACAAGAGAATGTGTCTTGGGAAGAATAATGCCGATGTCTGATTCATACAACCAGGTCTCAGTTACGCAGAGGATATCCATGCTGAACTCCCTCAAAACTCAATGTGACACTTTTGTTTCAGATCACACAGATATTAAGCAGACCCACTTTTAATAGGCTCATAGAGGGCACTACAGGTATTTTGAACAAGTGAATTTGGTGTTCTTAATTAAATTTACGTTGAATGCCCAGCGCGGGTCATCAGGTTCCAGTGTGACAATTTGCCTGTCACGCCACACGCTCAGCCACAGGGAAGCTTCCTGAACATAATTATCTACTTTTGTTTGTTTCATTTTCATTGTTTGTCCATTTTATCATGTTGTATCAAAGTAATATTGCTAAAAGTAGTGTAGTTGTACTGTAGTGTAGTATTACTGGAAAATAATGCTATGATTATGCTATAAATGTATTTATTTGTTGAATTATTATTATTTTATGCATTACTGCTCTACCAAACACAAAGACAGCCAGACAGACTGGCGACCGACTGCGTGTGTTGCCAAGCACATTTTATGAAAAATAATGCAAATAAAATATTCTAAATTAATTAATTATAGGAAATAAGAATTAAGATCAGTAAATATATGCATTACTGGCCATCCCAAACATAAAGGCAAGCAGAAAATGGCCGCTAAGCGAGTAGTGACCACGAGGGTCAGCTGCCAAAACAACAATGTCCCCTTATCTCCCTCGCCACTGCTGCCACAGGGAAGTTTCTAGAGGGTCAATATATAGTCTTTCTTCCTTCCTTTTTATTGTTTTATTATTTAAAAAGGTTAAAATTATTTTTGGAAAAGTCTATTTTTTTTTATTTACCTCACGTGGAAGATACAGCCAGCGGCACCCTAGCCCGGGTCAAAAGGGTTAATACTGTAATCACAATCAACAGTGACTGATAGAGATCACATACCTGTCAGCACCTGTGCGCTTGAAATCTGCACAAGGCTTGAGTCTCTTGCGGATAGAGCTCTCTGAATGGGCTGGAAAAGCTCTTTTAATTTCATCCATTTTTATCCTCCGGGGGCTATCTTTGCTCTTCCAAAACAAACGATAGATAAATACCTGAAAATAGAAGAGACTACACATGAATCTGAAGAAAAATCATGAAAATAAGTAGAAAAGGGAGATGGGGAAGTAAACTGTTCGTGAAAATATAAGTTTTTCAGATATCTTGTCAGCAAATGAACTGAAGCATCATGAACGAAATCAGAGGGTAGTGGAAAGAATGACAGTAATATGTACACTGAGGGATTTTTGGAAAGAGAGACCTGTGTTAAAGTTGGAAAAGTTAGGTATGAATTGGGGGAACTTGAGCTGACATTGCTGTATGGGAGTGATCATGGACTCTCGGGATACAATTAGCAGTGACAGATATAACGTGGTTGATGGCCATAGTCTGGGGCATACAAGATAAGGAAAATAAGTGTTACTGTAAAAATTAATAAGAGTGATAGAATAATAAACCTGTATAATTCTGAGGTGGACAGCTGATGGGAAAGGGTAAGATCAAGAAGGACACAGACACCCAGAAAGCTTCAGTGTCGGTGAATGACTGGAGAATATGGTGTAGAGTTGATCATGTGGATGTAACAGCAGGAGCAGATGACAGTAAATGAAGCAAGAGAATGTGTCTGATCTTGGTTTGGTTTTGGCTGTTTTACATAATAGCAGGAGAGGACTTGTAAGTGTTAGGTGAGTATACTTTATAGACAATATGCCAGTAGTATATATTAGGAAGACTGAGAAATGAGGTCTTACCTGCAAAAAGTCCCTTATAAAGTTGTTGGCTCTTTTGGAATTTGGTCCTGGGACTTCATACAGAGGACACTGTTGGCCAACTGTGAAGACGCCATCCAGTTCTCGAATATTATAACCATTTCGAGTTCTTATAACTAGGAAGTCTGAGAGGATATGCTGAAAATATGAAAACCATGATTTAAAATTGAAGATAATGCCATTTGAAATTTTTCTCTGGTGTGCTTTAAATCACACAGACACTATACAATTATTTTTTTTCAATAGTGCTGAAAATATTTTAACTGGTTCCTATTATACAGTACAAAAAAAGAACAAAAAGTTTTATAATAGTATATTTAATTTATCTGTACATCTTGTATCCTGACAACAACTAATACTGATATAAATCTGATTGAGAAAAATCATTACATCATAAATAGGTCTAACAATGAAATTACGAATACCCGCACTAACAAATATCTGTAACTAAAATCCCATTTTTAACATTACCTTTATTACTCTGTACTGTTTCACCCATAAAAGGTCACATTATTATGCATACAGTAAAAGCGGACCCCGCTAAGGCGGATATTGCTTAAGCCAGACAAAATTACTTGGCAAAAAATAATAAAAAAATAAAAATAAAATAAAATAGGACGAAATAGCCCTCCGATGAAATGTCCAAAAAAATTCAAGGGATCGAGGCATCAGCGCGCAGGACACAGATGCCCGAGAGTTATTAATTATTGTTTGTGGGAATATTATTTCATTCACTCTAGTAATGGTACAATGTTTCTTATTATGTTATCATAGGTAAATGCCTGGTTTATATAATTTGTTTATCACTGTGCCCGTCACCGTTTTCAAATTAGGCTAAAAGATTTGTATTTCTCATATATGCATTTCGATCGTACGCCTGGTAACGGGAGCCTGGGAGCGAGTGAGTGACCGCTAGTTGATCATCATTTGCAGTTGTAACTCTCCTCGCTCCCTGCCATATTTTACTGGTTTACTGTTATTATTAGTGTTTACTGATATAATAGTGCTTAATAGTGATTAATCATGGCATTGTAGCCAGGTTAAACTCGTCACTGTAACCACCTGGCTACTGGGTGAAGCTGTGGTGTTAAGGTTGTTTTCAAACTCGTATTTTTGGGTAGATATACGTAACTTTCTTCATTTATTTTTACTCAGTTACATGCACACACCATCCCACATACATAGTGTGAATAAAGTAAAAGAAATAATTGTCCTAAAGGCAAACACATAAAGGGAATAAACATTTCCTTGCACACGAGAGTTAGCTGGCTCAGTGAGGGAGGGGAAGACGGTCGCAGTGTGTGGGGGGGGAGGGGGGGCGTTGCTAGGGAATCAGCTTCCCGGCTGAACTTCGTTACTATGGTGAAACAGGGAGTGTATGCAAATGCCAACTGTGTTAAACTTTCATTTAGCTTTTATTTACTGATTTGGCAATACAGAATTTTTATTTTTTTTATTTTTATTTATTCCCCACATTTACTGGTATTGTATATACTGTATTATTTTAAGAAAACTATGGCTACAGGAGGAAAAAACACACCAAAATTGTTTCTAAATACTCCCTGCTGTAAAATACAGTACTGTATTTTGGGTGTTTTTTTTATCATTATTTTGTATACATTTATTACATTCACAGTAGGCTGAAGTAGCATTCATATTTTAAGCATTATTAATGAAAAATTAAACATCAACCATGGCCCATAAGAAAGTGTTTGGTGTCCTTAAGGGTGGTGATAAGGTGAAGCCTAAAATCTTATCAGTGACCTAACAGTAAGTGTACAGTAATTAATGAATATTACTTTTTAAAATTAATTTTGATTAAAGAACATGTATTTCTTTCATAAAAATTGGATATATAGGTGTTGTACTCGTTTTTTGGTTAAAATGGCCGTCTTTTGGGAAAAATTTGTTCTAAGGTGGACAACCTCCAATCCTGGACATAATGTGTCGTCCTAGGTCAGACTGAAACTCATTCTCCTATCTCAGATATTATAGAAATTAACATAAACTATTTAACTTTACTCACACAAGATAAACTCATATAGATGATGTATGATGTTTTTGTCTTGGGTTACCAAACTATATTTCATACCTGTATATTTAGTATAACCCCAAAAAATTTTATGACAATTTATCTGGACTAAAAACACCAAACTTTTTCATACATATTTTGGATTTGTTTTATACTGAAAACTCCCTATACTGAACTGACTGCTCACCAATTATTTCTGTAGAGAGAAGTAATACTGTAATAATAACTATACCAATCACCATATTACATGACCTTGTAAGTTAAAAGAAATATGTAGTACAATACAGTATAAGCACAAGAAACCCAATATAATTACCTTGTGTTCATACAGCGGTGCTCTGAACATATTATTCTCCAGTGTTTGAATACTCTGGCCTGGATGCATGGCCCCAAGGAATGGTGACGTGTGTGCGTAAGCTGTCTCACCAAAGCGGAACTCTGGGGGTCCCTTGTCATTTCCGGCTCGTCGTTTGTAATAGTTCTTAAATCTTGTTGCCATACCAACCTGCCAGATAATGACGAGTTTCCATGATTCCTCCACAATATGGCGACCAATTACAGCCACTTCTAAAAATAGTACTTTTTTTTTCATTCTTACAAGCCTTTTCTTACAATACTGCAGGATAGCCAGAATCAAGAGTAAATAGAGACTCTCCTGCATTCCTGTCATTCATTCTTTCAGATGTAACTAAAGAGCTCTGCTGTTGTGTTCCCCTACAATAACGAAGCCCTACGATATCTATCCAGCTTATCCCTGCCATTTCAAACAACCTAGCCTTAACTATTCACCTATCAGCAGCAAGTCCATCCACTAAAATCACTCACAATGCCATGTTTTCCATCCATCCATTCAGGTTGATGTTTCCCAATTGCTCTTTCACCCAGTCATTTAATCTCCTCTGTTTTTCCCTCCATCACCTACCATCCAACTCATAATAACATACTCTTTTAACTTATCTTTTACTTCCAATTCCCTCAATATGTCCATTCCACCTGAGCAAGCCTGGTCAGCTCTTTGTCCCATACTTCTTCCCCTTACACATACAGTATCTATCTAATATCAGTTTCTCTTAGTCTCTACATCATTCTCACCCAAATTATTTTTCTCAAGCACATCATTTCTGTCACTTTTAAATTGCTATCTTCTTCCTTCTCGAGCACCACACTCCCATAGTAATGTCAGCTGCCTGATTACCCTCTACAGTATATTCCAATCTTTACTTCCTTTGACACAATTCTCTCTCTCTTCATTTTATCATTTCTCTCTGCCCTCTAATCCAACACTTACTTCACTACCCAATGCTCCATCCTGTGACATATACAATCCTGGTTACCTAAAGCACTAGCTACACTTCCACCGTTCTATCTTCATTCACGTTAACATATATTTCCCCCGTCTCTCTTCTCTACAAAGGCTTGCAGTTAGCTCGAGTGATGTTCAATGCTGGATATTTACATCACATTCATTTGAGTATTCCTTTATATATAAAAGCAGATAATGTTATAAAAGTTAATGATTCATAACAATACTGGTTCATGAAAAATTCCTCTCCTAACACTTTATATAACTCTCTAATATTAGTTTTCTACACTGTACACAAAGGATACCTCCATATACTCTAGAAACATTTTAATTATAGAGTATTACACAACTCAGCTATATGGTACTACACAAACCTGAGATAACAGTGGAGGATACTCTTCACAGTACTCTAACAGGACAATGTCACCATCCTTGCCAGTCAGGTCTTCAGGGGTTCTCATGAAGAACACATCACCTCCACCTGATGCTAAACGTTCCATTTCCCTTTGCTGTAAAAAAAATAAAATATAATACACGATTAAGAAAATTAATATGCAAAATCTAACAAGACTCAGAAAGGTATATCAATGGTTAATATTAATGCATGTAACAACGATGGATATTAACTGATAACCGGCATCAAAATATTTGCATCTACCTATTTAAATACTGTATGTTAGTTTCATTAAAATTCTTGCTAATTTTTTCATATTTCAATTTTGTTCATATTAATTCAAAGTAATGTAATGATAATCACTTTATGTGATTCATTATATTTGCTCAATTTAATTCATGTAGAGTAAATAAGAACAATTATATGTACCTTTGCTTTCTTCTTTATCTCCTTAGTAAGTGGGTGTACAGCATGTGGACCCATGCTTGACAAAGCACCATGAGAATATCGTTTTAGAGGTGGCCGATGGAATAAACGAAGCTTCTTCTCTCCCATATACGTAGGAATAAAAGGTGGTTGAAGTTCAACCTATAAATAAACCATTACATTAGTCTCTCACAACCTTTAAGAATGCAACCAATAAAATTTTTTTGAGGAATATACACAGTGCATAACAAGCAACTAACATCTTCTGTAGTGTACTGCACTACATGCCTGTGTACTGTACCGTATATCTTAAAGTAGTGGTGTATCAGCACACATCATCTCAGAATCAATATAAACATGTTATTGGTAAAGATATTTCCTTTGGCACAAATTACAAAAGTAATTTTCACGTATATCTAAATTTGTCTCCTCAAAAAGAAAATGGACATTCCTTTCTACAAAAAATTTATCTATCACAATTTCTATACTTTGTGACACTGTCCCTACAAGACAAATTCCCTTCATTTGAACCAAAACACTTGAGGAGGGTAGGACGGAGATGGAAGAACCAATTGGTAGATGGAGGGGTAAGAAGAAAAACATTAAAAGTGAAGAAAATGAATGTAGAGGAAGCTGCAGGGCACTTGGATGACTGTCAAGTGTTCTGTTGAATGATCTGATGATAAAGCATAGTTTGCAACAAAGAGGAAAAAGGTGTGGGTGAGAGAATAAGAGTAATACCTCTTTAAAGCAAATTTTATGTGAGGTGCAATATTTTCAAGCTACAGATATGAGAATGGAATGAGACTGGTAGGTTCTGTGGCTTGATTGTAGTCTGCATGGCTCATACTCCCATAATTATTTCTCCTCACCTCATTTAGATAGTATCACATTTTTATAGGCCTAACTCAGACCTTAACGCAAAATATGCACGAGATCAAAATCTCACATAACTGTTGAACCTAACATGGCAGCAATACCCCACAACCCATTTGTAACACCTAACAGGTTTTACTAAATCATTATTTGTTCAATTTATTATGTTCACACAGATGGGCAGACACACTTAGACACAGGAACACAAACACACAAACAAATTCCCCCATTTTTACATCCCTCCTCCAGTGAAATGGAGGAATGGAGGGAAAAAGGAAAAACTTACAACTGGAGTAGAATGTTGAAGTAGTCCTCCACCCATGGACATCTTAATAGTCTGCTCAGAAGACTTAGGTTGGTAGTATTCATCATTAGAGATGTTGAATGGGTCTTTGTCAGGAGATTTAGGTGGGGGAGGAGGAGATTCTTCCTCTATGGTAGTAATGACACCAGCTTTTCCCAGGAGAATCTTGGATTTCTTTACATGAGGATGAGGTATCTTGACCTTCACAGGAGCATCAGCTGCAGAGATATGCTAAGCCATTATATTTATCCTAACTTATTTGAACTATTTCAAAACAACCACAAAATATTCCATCTTTTTTGAAGACATGAAGAGAACATTTCTAAATAGACAAAACTTTTAGTAACCTACAAATGAAAATTAGGGGGAAAATTTAATTTAAAACACTGTACATATTCTGCTATTCAATTAAAAATATATACAGTATACGACACTAGTGATTCTGTATACAGGGTGCCCCTGACTTACGAACATCTGATTTACGAATGCCCGCCGATACGAACGAGGTTAAACTTGAAATTTATAGTACAGTACTTTATTTATCTGATAACTTATTTTTTACTTTCATTTACTGTATTTTGTCATTCTAATTCTTCTTTTGTCTTAAATTAAGTGATTTTAGAAGTATATAAAAGGACTTTGGCTACAATGTACTGTAGTGGGATTTTAAACATTTTCTATAAGTACGGTATGCACATAGCGTGTGTTCCGACTTACGTACTAATCCGACTTAAGGACGTCCTCAGGAATGGAACCCGGTCGTAACCCAGGGACCCCCTGTACAGAAATCAAAGACAGAACTGATGCACCATAAATGAACCAGCAAATAATTTATATAACAGAAGGTAACAAAAAAGACAAAGAACACATACAACTACCTTGGGAGAGTGTTGACGGATCAACATCTTCAGGAATGCCAAGTATGATGTTCTCATCATTGGGGTCAAGCGTCAACACTGTAGGCTCGGGGATGTTATGCATATTCTCTGGGTCCCATATAATGTTGTCTTCCCAGCGTCCATATACCAATTCTTCATTTTCGACGGGGAAGATGGAGTACCAAGTGTCATCAACATTGTTTTTTCTGCCAAAATTAATGAATTATTGGTGTTCAGGAATTATATTTTACAAATTCACCGTTGTACATAATGATAATGGAATTATCATAAACAATATTCATATAAATTCACACAAAAACTGGAAATTTTCTGTGTGTGTGTGTAATAATAATAATAATAATAATAATAATAATAATAATAATAATAATAATAATAATGATAATAATAATAATAATAAACGGTTTATTAATAGAGTTGCAGCCGGTGGCTGAAAATATACAAACTTACATGTGATTTAGACATAATGATATGCGTTGAATACAATTACAGGGCTGTACAGTACATAAATCAGGAGTTGTTTATTATTTTAACAATAGATGGGATGGTGCTATTCTTATATCTATCGGTGCGGGCTCTTATGGGCTGAATTTTGTTGTAGTGGCAGACTGCACGAGGTGGGTGGGGGACTGCCGGTGGCAGGAGGTGGCGATGACGAGGATGGTGCACTAGTCCACTGCCAAACCTTGTTAGTGCTTGGTGGCGGAGGTCACTGAGGGATGGCATTTCCAGGGTGGAGAGAGCGTTGATGTAGCCGGAGTAGTCTGCGCCGAGCATGATTCTGCAGGCCCTTTTCTGTACCTTCTCAAGCCGACGTTGTTGGGTGGAGTTGAGAGAAGACGACCAGGCTGGTGATGCATACGTTAGTTTGGGGAGAATAAAGGCATTGTAGATGGTCCTCAGCTCTGGCGTGGGTGTCCCAAGTGACCTGAGTCGTCGTAGCATGTAGAGTCGGTACGAGGCTGCATTGATTGTGTTGTCCAGTTTGTGGTCTATGGTAACACCCAGGAGTTTGGCAGACTGCACTAACTGGAGAGGATGGGAACCCACTGTGACTGCTGGAGCTTGCACTGGAGTGGTGGCGGTATTGATGAACATGATTACGGTTTTGGTGTGGTTGATGGTGACCTTGTTCTCCGTGGTCCATGCCTGTAGCCTGTCCAAGGTGCCTTGTAGCGATGAGTAGTCCGGTGAGGTGTTGTCCACTGTAACCCCCACAGTGCAGTCATCCACGTACTTCCACCTGGGAGGAGTGTCCGACCTTGTGTCATTGATCAGGATTAGGAAGCACAGTGGTCCCATCTTGGTCCCCTGGGGAACACCGCAGGTGAGGTGTTGGAATGTGGAGACAGAACCCTGGTACCTCACTGCCTGACGACGCTCACTCAGGAAATCGGTGAGCCATGAGACCAGTTTGGTGGGCAGCCCTAGTGCAATGGCCTTGTTGATACCAGTGCAGTGATCAACAAGGTCAAAAGCCTTCCTGAAGTCAACAAGGGCAACGGCCAGTGATGTCTTACGTTTCTGCAGGTTTTTATGCAGGAAATCCAGGAAACTAACTAAGCAGTGTGATGTAGAGGAGGTCCTTATATTGCCAATTGCTGTGGATCAATTGACTGATAAATACGAGCAAATGTGTGTGTGTGTGTGTGCGCGTGAATGATGCTATAAGTTGGAGGTATGAGACATATTTAAGACCAACATACAGTGCTGCAACATACACCTGAATGATAATACTGTACAACAATAACATGTTTATTGCTCAGGGGGGTCAGTGATTAGGTTTATAAGGTGGTCTTCAGGGTAGCCATGTTACTTAATGTTTACTCTACAATCTGATCCAACTCCATGTGATAAATATATTAATGGAGATTCTCTTTCAGTAAAACATGTCATTTCTGAGACACAGTACAAGACTCATTAAAAATTCTGGAATAGTATCTACCATCACACTCTTTACTTCATACAGGTAAAAAATCTTGTCGCCTTTCGTGCAGCTTCACGAATCCCGAGATTCAGATTCGTGAACCTGAAGTAACAGACACTGGTGGATTATTCTGTCCACGGATGTTTCGGTTTCAGTAGGAGAGGTGACAGCACTTTTTACCGTACTTGTACCATAAAGAAGAAACAAACTATTGTACTGTACAGAAAGATTCCGTTCCTGGACCCTATCAGTAAGCTGAATTTTCTGTAAACCTTTCCATAGGTAAATATGTACTGTACCCTGTACTGAATCACAGATGGCGTCTCACGAGGGGATGCACTCAGCTGCCTTACACATAATCCTCCACAAATAGTGTTGTTACGCCGGACTAGTTACTTTCCGTAATAATAGAAACTCTTGTGCAACCGGGAGTTTTTTATAATGGGAATTATGGGAGGCATTCTGTATCCTTGAATTTCTGTAAAATTGAGTGTTCTGTAACCAAGGGAGTGTCTGTAATGGAGAAACTGAGTAACATCGGGTGTAAGTTTCCTCAAGCAGTATGTATGAGAATTGTGCTTGAGGGTAAACAATAGACAGGCTGCTGTTGTCCTGTAACATGTACATAAAATAAAGCAAAAAAATAATGTTTCTAAATCCAATACTTACTTAAGATCATTCCATTTCAATAAATTACTTCTCATTATTTTGGACAAGAAATCCTAACCTAACTTAAACTAATTTTCTTCCATTTGTTCACTCAATAAGTCAATTACTGTAATGAAATAAAATTGGCTTTTAAAACAGATTTTAAATTTAAGTTCTCTGAGAGCATGTTCAATACAAAGCTTACAACTCAATGTCAACATTAAAGCCCTTAAAAAAAATTCTAAGTAGATTTTAAATGTGAAATAGCAGAATGGCTTGTAACACCTATACTGTACTATATTATGTCCTGATCTTCAGAGATGTTAAAAATCATTTAAATATTAAAAATAAAAGTTCCACTGTAAAATATAAAACAAACTAATAATTTGGTAGTTTTAAAGAAATACTTAATAAATCCTGATGAATTCCAAATCAAACACTAGTGACAAGAATTCAAATATGGCTTACAGAAAACCTCATTATCAATATACTGAAAAACTTACGGCATCTGGCTCTTAGCTTTTGCACTTTTGGCTGAAGCAAATGGTGTAGTTACTTTGGTTGGTTGACTGAAAGCTTGGGCAGTGCGATTGTAACTGCTTGGCACCCAACCTGCAGCCATGTTCTTCCTCTTCTGATTGAGCTGCCATAAACAGCAATAGTTAATGTAAGGTCATCAGTTAAGTGAAAAGCAATTATAAATCTTAATTCATATCTTCTCAGACAATTAACTGATTTCCTATTTGCATATACAAGGGTGTATTCTTTAAAATAGTATCAGCCAACAATTAAAAATAACAGTAAATTTAAAACAAAATTGAATGTGAAAACTGATTTTGAAGTTCAAAAAGTATGAAAAGTGACCCATTAAGAGTGTCACTACAAGCACCATCAGCAATAGCAGAAAAAAAAGGCAATAACACACTTAATCATCAGAAAAATAAATACTGTACTGTATTCAATGTACTACAGTATATATACAGAATCTACTTTTATAAACAAAAAACATAGTGATGTACTGCACTGTAAACTTTCAGATACTCTGTACCTTGTGTTTAATATCATCACCACTCCATATGATATCTTCCTCCCAATTGTACTGTGTTACCATATGGAAAGAATCATCAGGAAATTCATCTTCAGCATCTGCTTCATAGCCTAACATCCTTTTGGGTTCTTCTTCTTTTAGAGGGTCAGTAAAACCTGTTCCACCTTCTAACTTGATGTCTGACTTCTCAAGAGAATTAAGTTCATCCTGGATGTGAAAAATTAACAGTGATCAGTAAAATAAAATAACAACAGTCTTAGTGTAACATTACAGTGTTTGCAAACATTTCAAGCAGTTAGTTACCTTCTTACATAATTCTTGTCAGTTTTTTGTACATAAAGAGAAAAAGTTATCTATTACCTGCCATAATTTAAATATATACTGTACCTACTCTTACTAATACTAACTATGCAGGTTGTCACATTTTTAACTGGGTACACCTTATGATAAATAACAACTTAAATTTACCAATGCTAAATATACAAATCATCACATTAACTACACCTAATGTTAAATAGCTACCTAAACTGACCCTAAATGTTATATAATATTGTATACAGGGTGATTCAGCAAAGAGTACATTAAATTGGAAGATAAAATCCTTGGATAATTCTAAACCACAATGTCTCTATGGTAGAATGTCAGATTCTGCATAGTTTCCATGTTACAATACATTTAAGATGTTGTATTAATGAGAGTGAATTTGAAGTGAGACCCCCATATTTCTTACACTACATTTGCTACTCAACATCTAATTCTTAGAAAATCCATCCTAATTTTAATTTCTAATTGACATGTATTCCAGAGGACCACAACAACCCTTGTCATGGCGACTGATCCATGAGAGAGGGCATTATAGAATTCCCTATAACCCTGCATATTATACAAGATGATTAAGGTCCATTATCATTCCAACATGTGCTCTCTTTAGTTTATTAGAAGATACTATACCTTCAATATTACAGTAAAACAAAATGTAAAATCTTTTCCATATACAGACTACAGTACCTTCATCATTGCTTATTATACACTGACATCCACACGAGCACACACATATCAATAAACACGTACAAAGAATGAAGGACTGTTAAATGAAGACCAAAACTGCCTATACACATCTAATATCCTGCTCAAAAAAAAAAAAAACATATGAGAAAAATTAACTGAAGGCAAGGGACCATTTATCCAGTGTCCCAGTATCTGGAATGCTCCAAAAAATAGCTATGTTCAGGAACAAATTAAAAAAAAAATGAGCACCAAAAGTAGTTTACAGCCTGAGCAGAGATATTTCCAACTGTTGTCCACCTGTGTGGACATTTTACACATATATTTCAATTCGTAATTTTGGGTACATATACTGTATTTATTTTTCTTTCTTCATTTTCTTTACTCAGTTACCTATGTATACATACTCAATCTTACATACAGAAAGTGAAAAAATACATACGTATATCATAAGGTATAAAGTATTTTTAATTTGTAATTTTGGTTAGATACTGTACACATAATTTTCTTCATTTTTTTTACTCAGTTACATGCACACACACAATACTACACACAGAAAATGCAGAAAGAAATAATTATCATAAGGTAAAAAGTTTTACGTATTTACAGATTTCCACTGTCAAGCCCTGTGGTGTGTGTGTGTTGATAGGTCAGAGAGGGTTTGCGGCATAGCACCACTGCTAAGGATGCTGTTGCATTGCTAAGACGAGTATCAGGGGGCGACTGTGACACAGTTTGTACATTAACTTGTAAAATTTTTTGCTCTTTTATGCTTTCCTTATTATTTTACTATTCATATGCTTTTGTTACTGCTGTTTACATGCCAACCATTTTAAGTTTTAATGTTACAGTGTTAAGTACAGTTAAAGCTACTTTTAGGGATGACTCTAGTGACCTGAACAAAGTTCTCAGAGCCAGACACAGGGAGTTTACTGTGCAATTTGTATAATTAGGGCCTGTTGCTCCAAATTCCAGAATAAACCCTATTTGGCAACCCTCAGGTCCCAATCATGCTGGATAAATGGTCCCATACCTGTACTGTATAACCTGGAGTGTGGAGATGAAGCTAATAACTCCAGTAAAGATTTTCAAGACATATTAGTTCTTACAACAATGCTCATATTCAGAACATAATATAAGATCTCAAATTCCTTGAATGGACCCTCTGGATACATTAGTAGTTCTTCATTACCTTACAAAGTGACCTCTTTATAAATATTTTAATAGACACTGAGAGACATAACTTGGTAATTCTTTATAATTTACACAAGACTTGAAATAGTCACATAAATCTATTTATTATACACCAGCTATCACATGACTTGTAATAGATATTTTTCTACACAGTAGTTTTATGTATGATGATACAGCACAGTATCTTTAACATTGTATTCAAGCACTTAATAAGGATTTAAAACTTTCCAGTGATTTTTTTGCATTTCTCTACATCCCATGTGGAATAGGGACAAAATAACAACCACTGATAAGGTTGACATTAAGTACCTCAATTATTTTACTTGATTAAAATTACATGTAAAAATATTGGTGTGGGATGAAGTAAAACTTGTTTGCCCATTAAACAAGCTTTAATCAACTCCTTTCACAAGATATCTGAATGTAACATAAGGAAACTATTACAATACAAAAATAACATAAAACAGAACATAAAATGAATGTTCCTAACACTGAAAACTACATCATTCTTCCCCCTTGGAAAAATTATGATCCATAGCGTTCAGGCGGCTTTGATACTCGAGTAGATCTTCTCAAAGCTGGCGTTGTTTGAACCGAAGATAGGCTCTGTTCCACTGATTCAGCTTGAGTAGTTACTGGGTCCATTATCTCTGTCTGGACATCATTATTATGTACAGTAAGCAGTGCCTTCGCCAATCACAGTTTCTTTCTCATCGACATGTGACACAGACCAGGTGGGGCATGGAGCCAAGTCACGAAGAGATACAGCTGATTCATGGTCATCAGGATACCGTACAAGGACGTAAGTAGGGTTAACATAGGTTAGTTTAACTTGGTCAACGAGAGGATCACTTTTGCTAAACCTGACGAATCTTTGAAGCAGTACTGGGCCAGGGGTTGTTAGCCATGAAGGTAGAGAATTTCCATGAGACGCACGTCGCTGGAATCCAAAGAATCATTCATAAAGTGTAGTATTTGTAGATGTTGACAGAAGTGATCTGATGGAGTGCAATGCTTCCAGTAGTATAGCCTCCCAGTTTTGGTCCGGCAGGTCATGTGACTGCAGGGCAAGACGAACAGCTTTCTAAATAATGGCATTGTACCTTTCAACCTGCCCGTTTCCCATGGGATGGTAAGGTGTAGCTTTGCTTGTTACTATCCCCTTGTGGGAAATATTATCTTTGAGTTCACGCGACATAAAAGATGGACCTCGATCTGAGTGAATGAAACTTACCATACCGCAGAGGGTAAATACCTGTTCAAGACATTTAATTACAGTTGAAGAGTGCATAATTGGAGAAGGAAATGCAAATGGGAAACGTGAATACTCATCAGCCACTGTGAGTACGAATGTGTTCCAAGTCAAGGAAGAGAGTAGTCCTTTAAAGTTTATTCTGAGTCGTTCCATGAGTTGTGTAGCCTTTATAAGAGTGCCATTTGGTGGACGAAAGAATTGTGGCTTTAATTCTGCACAGATCTTACAAGTTGAGCAAGTTGTTTTCACATCTACAGTAGAAAAAGGGAGATTTCTTGATCTTACAAACTGTAGCAAATGAGTAACCCCGGGATGACAAAGTCCATTATGAATATCAGCAAGAGTTGATGTTGATGTAGTAGAACAGCAGAAGGCACATGTGAGGGTATCAGGGGCCACATTATTTTTGCCTGGTCAGTATTGTATAGAGTAACTGAATGATGCCAATTCCATTCTCCATTCTTGTATTTTGTGCGATTCCTGTGATCAAGCATAAAGGCAACTGAACGCTGATCGGCAGTCAGAGTAAAATGATGTCGAGCAAGAAAGTGACTATTTACGCACTGCTTCTATGATAGTTGTGGCCTCCTTTTCAACAGGGGGATAGTGCAATTCACTACCTTGCAGGGTCCTGGACATAAAGGCTACAGGTCAGCCTCCTTGGTTCAGTACAGCAGAGATAGTTACTTCTGAGGCATAACATTCAACCACAAATGGAAGGCTTTCATCTATAGATTGAAGTGTAGTATTGTCCAGTTGTTGCTTGATGAGGCTGAAGGCTGATATGGCTGAGTCTTCTAATGGAAGAGACCTAGCATTTATCAGCGGATGTATTTTATCAGAGAAATGGGGTATCCATTTTGCATAGTAAGCAAACATTCCAAGGGCTCTGTGAAGGGAACCTAGATTTGTTGTGAAAGGAGTTGATTAAGTTGATGTGGATTGAAATAAAACTTGTTTGCCATTAAACAAGCTTTAATCAACTCCTTTCACAAGATATCTCAAAGTAACATAAGGAAACTATTACAATACAAAAATAACATAAAACAGAACATAAATGAAAACTATATCAAATATCATTTTAAGTTACAACCATTTATCAATGTGGTTTTTTTATCAGAATATTTTGTATAATTTGTAACTTTTGTGACTTGAAATGGACCCATTATGATATGTCAAGGTCCAAAACTAGGTTCACCCTTTACCTGTATGAAGTCTTCCTCTAAAACTGAGATAAGTTGAAGTCATGCTGATCTTTGGCAAGATAGTGTCTCTGTATAATATGATATGACTAACCTTGATTTTTAATTTAAAGCCATAATCAAAGTTGCCCCCGGAGAGTGGTATGTCCAGCATGTCATACCATAGCTGAGCTGGACCATAACGCCAGTCAGCCTCATGAGGTTTGTTGGGATCACGATCGTTGTTCTTATCCCCGTCACCTTTCTGGTTACCACCGGAGGAATCTTGTTCCTGAGTTTGACTGAATCGGACCTAAGAAAATATTAAAAGAATAAAAAATCTTGCTTCTGAAAGAATTATGGTACAGAAATATAAAATACTTTACTTTTTTACTTTTATCCTCTTCACATGTGTGTGTGTGTGTGTGTGTGTGTGTGTGTGTGTGTGTGTGTACAGGGGGTCCCCGGGTTATGAACGGGTTCCGTTCCTGAGGATGTTCTAAAGTTGAATTAGTACGTAAGTCGGAACACATGCTATGTGCATACCGTACTTACAGAACAATGTTTAAATCCCACTATATCATAGCCAAAGTCCTTGTATACATCTAACATCACTTAATTTAAGACAAAAAAAAGAATTAGAATGACAAAATACAGTAAATGAAAGTACAAAAAAAAGTTATCAGATAAATAAAATACTGTAAATTTCAAGTTTAACAGCATTCGTATCGGTATGCGTTCATAAATTGGGGACCCTCTGTATTGGCAATCACAAAGTAAAACATAATTCAGACACAGAAAATATTAAAGCCTTATACTGTACAGTACATACACAGTCATCAGCAGCACACATATATGGTGGAGGGTCTGGTCCAAAGTACAGTTCAAAGCCACGAGGCATATCAACTTGTGATGACATTTCTTCGCCCTGCATGTTATCATCATTTGAAGGATATCGGTTTTCATCTGATCCAGTTGGCATTTTTTTCTTCTTCTTTCTTCTCACGCCTTTCCATATTTTGGGTAAATTTGCCATCTTCCCAGGACCAAACAGTCTTGAAAATCGTAAAACCTGTTGGAGAGGAAAAATTAAACGTTAAACACTATCAAAAAGTGCCATTATTTACAGTAATACATCTGTAAGGTTTTGTTTCCATTTGGGCTAGCAGGTACAGTTCTGTTGACATATTTGAGGGATTTCACTGCAATGTAAAATATTTTCCTCGAGTAATAAATACAGTAATATCTTCGTTAGCCAGAATCTCTCTTGACGGGAACTCTCCAATAGCCGGAATTGAATTTGGGGGGGGGAAATTGTTCCCAAAGCTGGAATAAATTCAGGGTTTGGGAACGATTATCCGAGGGGCACATTATCTTGAAAATTCCGAGAAAATTTTCCCAGTACCTGTGAATTCTGGGGATGGGTAATTTTTTCCGGCTTTGAGAGATGAAATAATCATTCTGGAAAATTCCAGTACCTGGAAAAAAATTCCGGGGAGGGGGGATTTTTTCCAGCTTTGAGAGTCATTTCATTACCTGGAAATCTCTCATTCCTGGAAGTGCTCTGCACCGTTTGTTCCGGCTAATGGAGATATCACTACGTGTACAGGTATATTGTTATAGAACTTCCCTACTTAACCAGCCATTAGTTCCTGTTTGAACTTCCATTTACACCATCTTTCACCCCTAAACTTCTTCCTCCACCCATTCAAATATTGTGCCACAGGAGGAGTCTGAGCATGCCTCACGACTCAGCAAGTCAACTTACCCAAAAAGTTAAAGGCTATGCTCATGCTCACTTCTCAGCCCCTGACCCATTTTTTACCTCATGCACTGAAGGTATATAGAGCATTTGTTATGATGCAATGTGTGTATGCAATGCTTTACCACGCCATTATCGAGGGCAGGAGCCAGCAACATGTTTATATCCAAGTGCCAACTATTACATCCCATATTTCAAAACCCTCAGTATGTGCCACCACTTTTCCTGAATATAGGGCACTGTATTACTGTACAGTGCCCTATATTAAGTAATTTTATAATATAAAGTATTTCTTATGATTAATAGTAATTAATTTATAACAGCAATGATATTTAAATCCATATACGTACTGTTCACACTATGTGTGAAATATGGCATACACTTACTGGTGTAAACAGCAAGAAAAAATAATGTTACATTCATGAATTTTTTTATACTTACAGCATCGTTTCGAAAGTCAGGGAAGATTTCTCTGACATCGATATTAGCATATTTTGAGGGTAACATGGCAGCTAATGGAGTTATAAGTCTGCGTCTGTCTCCAGGTGGTGTAGTAGTGCCAGCTTCAGACGTTCGGGGGAGAGGAGGTGGAGGCATCAGTTCCGAGTCCGATTTATTGATTCCATTGTCTTCCTCCTCTGCATCATAATCTTCACCTGTTCAATGAATTTTTTGAAATTATTTTCCCACTAAAATATACATACAAATGTCCTATTCTCTAAAGCTTACTCTATTCCAAATGTAAGAAAGAGAGAAAAAAGTTAGCTTAAGAATCCTACTTTACAGCCAAAATTGGAAATTCAAGTGACCTGTAAGATTCCCTCCAACAAAACATTGTCTTGACCAGCCAAGAATGCTATATTGTATGTATTGTAAAATTGTATCCTCAATCATGACCTATAAATGCTCTGAAAAGAAGTGAGCCAATAGGTTTACTAAGAGGAATCCCTAAGGTCAATTCACTTACAGTATATTGACCTATCCAATAAACTTGTTGCCACCCCCCAAAAAACAACTGGCAACAATCTTCATATTTTTTCTGTCCATGAGAAAATCTACCAAAGAACAAGGAGGGATTCTAAAATGCACAATTCTTCGCCTTAGGCACAAAATTGGAATTTCAAATCTAATTAGTATTTGTTTTATTTCTTATAAATCATTCTTTTTTTTTGTACGATTACTGCATAATCCTGTTCTTCAAACTTTTAAACTTAAGTGTACTGTATTACAAGCTACATATACATAAAGAAGGGCTGATGCAAGTTTAATGGTGGTGAACATGTATGTATAATATGATGAACATCACTATCAGCCATTTTCTCAAGTTGTTCAGGAGTTAGGTGTACACGTTCGGTTCACCTAGTTCCTGAACGACTGTGAAAAAGACACCAGAGAAACCTATACTGTACTGTACAGCCAACCACTCACATACTACACCATACATCTTTCCAATCTGCAGCTGTCTTCTATTTCTCTATCTTCCCCACCCTATATACTCTTTTCCCCTCCGGACCATCCTATTAAAAAATATCAGACCAGAGTACAGTAATTGAGAAGCTCAAACTTTTGGAGAGGTTTTTTCTGAAGCAAGACACAGTGAACTCTCATATAGCCGAAGTACTGCAATTAGTCAGTCTAATAAAGGGAGAATTCTGGCTACCTGTGCAATTTTCTGGATTTCAATTAAGCAGCTGTCAAAGAATAAACTTGGTTTGGGCCCATTACAACCTGGTAAGGAGTTACAAGTGAACAAAGGGACTTTTGTTCTTGACTGTACACACCAAATGTACAGTACAGTACACCTAAGTATGAACAACACCTATTACACCAACTTACCATTCTCCTCAGCCAATGTGTCATCCTCCACAGCTTCAGTTATGTCCGAATAATCAACCGCTGATGGACTTTTCTCAAAAATCTCTGAGAAAAAAGAAAAATACAAACTACATTATTTAACTGCAAAAAAATGACTTCATCCATGCAAACAACAGAAGTGCAACAAGACTACAGCATTTCACGTCTCCCTTTTATATTCAGGAGACTCGTACAAAATAACCTTGTTTTAGTAAATATTCCAAAACACTTTGAAGGCCTTTAAAGGATTAGAGATTACTTTACCTTTACAATACAATACCATGTATTATACAAATTGGTTATACTGTATACAGAGACTTTGAACGAGGTAAATTACTTACCTTCTTCTTCTTCTTCATGGTCATCATCATCATCATCATCTTCATCATCATCTTCACCATCATCTGTAACTTGCCTCAGCAGAGAGCCTAAACCCAGGCGAGAAAGGGATGCCAACTGTCGTTTGCATTCACCATCGAATACATCACCCTCAAGTTGACCATGTGTGTCAATATTACCAAAAAGAAAACTTGTCAAGGAGAGTGTGTGGCTTGTGGCCCCACCTCCTTCCGAAGCTTCCTCATCATCACTGTCTACCATCCTTCAGCTGCCAGCAACAATGACATAAAAATGTGAAATTCATGATTTATTATATCCAATCATCTTTTATTCTAAAGTTATATACTGCATCAGAGGAAATACCCAGTAATGAAAACAATATTAGTTAAACCTCCAATCTTTGGGACTTCTTCTTTAACTAATTCTATGTAATTTACAGATTGAGAATACTACAGTATACAGTACAGTAGTGCCACAGCTCCATGAAGGTTTTCATTAATACATCAAGTAAATTTAAAATAATTTTTTCTTTGCTTCTCTACTGGATTTGGATATACAGTAATCTATTAAAAAAAACATCTTAGTAAACACCACGAAAAGGAAAAAAATAAATAATTAGTAAATGGAGTCATTCTAGACACTAACTAGAAATAAAAGTATATCTTTTTCTGATCTAATTTACATATCGATGATTACAGTATACAGTATGTTAAAATTTTGAACACAGTTCCCTCCATTGGATCAGTGAAGAATTTATTAGAGGGTTTTACTCAGCACATCACCACACTAAAGTGACTGTGAGGACAGAGGTCAACTGGAGTTAGTAATTCACAAAGTAGGACTGTACAAGTGGTAAGGTAGAGAAAGTATCAACTTCTTGGCCTATCTATGTTATGTTCGTGTTTTTACAGCCTAACTTTGGTGGCATCTCAGTTTACCTTCAACTGACTTTTGCCCTAATCCTGACAAGTGCCAATCACATGTCTAACTTAAACCCAACATAAAGTGACCTAGAGCAGCCACATCTTAATCCAGCACTATAACGTGTTCAAGTTTTTAGGCCCAAAATAATTTGATTTGCACAACACAAATCAAGACTTTTCACTCATCCAACCACCACAGCCTGAATGAACCCAAACTAGAGGTTTTAAGACTGCTGTACTGTAGCTATAGCATGAAACAGAAAAAATCACAATGCTGTACAGTAATACAGTAATAAAGATAACGGTATGTACTGTAATAAATTTCAACCTATTACCGGTAAATGAGATTTTGGGGGACAGAGTAGCAGTACAGTAAATCTCTCAGTCATGTCTACAGTTGATATGACACTTTTAATAAATTCAAACAAAAGATTCCCGGAAGACTGGTGATGTGTGTATCATTAAATGAGCAATGATAACCTGTTGGATTGTCATGAGTATAAATACTGTACCATAAAATTGTTCTATAGAAGATAAATGTTTTCTTACCTCATGAAAAGCCCAAAAAAGGAGAAGGAACAGGTTTTCCATAATAATGTACAGGTGAACCCCGATAACCGACGTTACATTGACAACCAATTCGCATAACCGATGATAACATATAGGGGAAATATCCCCCAAGCTTCCTTGATACCCCGGAGATCCGACGATCGGCAGACCTGGCGTGGTGCGAATTCTTGCGACCAGAGGGCTCTGTGCACTACCTCTGAATTTGTTATGTTCTTATGGGATTAATTGCTTCGATAACCGTTGATTCACTAACCAACAACTTTTCACAGTTATCGGGCTATGCCTGTACTGTATTATCTTTACAATTATTTCCGTCCTGAACACACGTACCGCCACACGCTATGACTTAGTATCCCTCACTGTTTATATCTGAGATGTTTTGTTTCATCCTCAGGAACACTTGCATAGAGGACCAACTTACCAGCTATTGCTACATTACTCTATATGATTTATAAGATATAAATTAACAAACCTAACCTACTGAGCCTCGGTTACAAAGGTAAGGAAGTTAGGTAGGCTTTGGTTGGTTCCTTTTAGCACCAATAAATCATAATAAGTGTATAATATACTGTACCAGTATTTAGTGGGATTTGGGAAGTATTGTGTAGGTGTAAAATACTGTAGTGTTCAGGATAAAATAATTTATTCCATCCCATTGTTTGGGCATTTCATGAGGCCTGATACCTAGCATTTATCTCAAATAGAAATATAATCCCTCAAGTTACTGGTTAATTTGCACAATCATCACCTAGTACAGTATTACCTATTTTTCCATAGAAATTTTACTGTTGCAATTCCTACACTATTTTTTATTAAGTTGTCTAAAGTGTTACCTTCCTTTTAATACAAAAAGAGCAATTCTAATGGAATATCATGGAAAACCTAGGTTGTGTGCCTGAACCACCAACTTGAGGGCATTCTTCCATAGAGAATAAGAGCTTTCTTACCTCATAAGGACAAAAAGTGCACGAGGTAATACATTTTGTGTGTTATAATTTTTACACTTTTTTCCAACATGAATCTATGGACATGATGACACTGTCCATCTGCAACATTTATTTCAGACACAGTATCTTTCTTATATTTTTTAAGATAGTTGTAGTATTCTAGGTAAGGTTAGGCTAGTTTGGTTAAATTTGAGAATATAGTAGCAGCACCTGGTACAGTACTTCCATAATGTTAGGAGTTGCCAAGAATTTCTGGTGGAAATATACTCATAAAATAAACCAACTTTACCTACATTAACTTACATAACCTAAGTTAACTGTTATCACCTATAAAAGAACCCTGTCTACAAAAGGTGCACCCATAACATATATTGGAGCTTCAGAGCTTAAAAAATAGTAATTACATATCATTATGAGGTAAGAAAGCTGTTAATTATCTTCTATAGAGGAACGTCCTCAAGTCGACAGGGAAATTATTCAGTTTTAATGCCAACTCGATTTCGACACAAAAACATATATTTTTTTATTTATTTATTATATTTTTTTTTCAAATCAGACCTCCATGTCCTCGGGGTAATCAACACATCCTAAGCTTACCAAACCTATCTTAGACCTAGCGCCATCACATGAAAACAGCAGAATAAAGCCTATTTGTGTCTAAAACGAGTCGGCAGTAATAATGAATAATTACCATCAATAGTTTAGGAGCACCTCGTCAAGTACTGTAATAACAAAAACTATTCATAATATCACCCAAGACGTATAGTACATCACCACAAACTGTTACGTTCGGCTAATATGGAAGACTTCACAGCCGAAGAGTTCTTTGTTTTGATGTTTATATTCTTACTATATCTTCATCAGTGAGTTCTGATATAATAATAATTTTTATGAAAACTGCTTCATTTAATAGATAATTAGGTGACTAGGCATGTACTTTGTCTTTCTTGGAGTGATGTAGCAGTACTGAGCCTATCATGCCAGTCAAAAAAATGTAAATTATACCATATAATAGTAAGTTCTTTCTGTTTATTAAGCCTGGGGTCTGGAGGGTTGAGTCTCATGGCTAGGAAGTTAGGTAAAGTTAGGTAGGTTTCTTTGGTTAGGTTAGGTTAGGTAAAGTTAGGTAGGTTTCTTTGGTTAGGTTAGGTTAGGTTAGGTTAGGTTAGGTTAGGTTTAGTTTAGAAATAACCACTTTTTAACACATTTTGCCAAACTACGACAGTGAAATTACCGCGTTTTTAATATTCGTTTTCTATATAAATTAATCAGTGGCTGTGAACCCATTACCTTACTATCAACCATTCTATCTTTACTCATCCACTAACTTACAAAGAAAGCATTAAAGCAAATATTTACCCAAATGAATTCCTATAAGTAAAATCATCAATAAATAAGTACCATAACTAAGAAAATATAACTCAGGTATGACTTATAATGATAACTATACTGATGTCTAAAATATAAAAATTATCAGATCTAAACCAGAGACTTACTGGGATATAAACCAACGGCCAAACACCAAATAAAAACTAATTACGTAAAAAATCAAACAAATATTACATTATACTTAAGTGTAAGATATATCTGGGGTCTCTTGTTTTATTATATGGTTAGGTTAGGTTATTTCCTCCTCCTCTTGTATCACTTCATTACTAAATCTACCTTCAGCATCGTTACCAGATGAGAGATAAAATGCTAACTATTATTATTCTTTATTATTATTATTATTATTATTATTATTATATTTATTATCACACTAAATAATTTATTATCATTATTATTAGTAATAGTGGTAATAGTATTTTTATTATTATTGTTATTATTTGCTAATTTGTTCTAAGGTATTTGGTGTTTGGTGTCTGGCTACATTAGCTCCATATTGACGCATGCGCATATATGATCACGAATTATTCATTTATAACAACTGTCAAGATAAATTAGACATGCACAACCATTTTATTTGTATTTTATTAATTAGTAATAAAATAAAATAAATTAAATACTATGATAAGTTATTATTTTATGATATTTATACTTCTGGTTATATTCAGAGTTGCCAACTTAGCGACTTTGTAGCTAGATCTAGAGCTTTTTGTTTTTTTCTAGCGACATTTTAGAGCGATTTGCGACTCTAGAGATATCCACAGAAATCTAGCGACTTTCTGGATACTTTTGGACTGTCCATGAAAACTCAGTTTTCCTAATTTCGAGCCATAATATATAGCAACGGGGTTACAGGGACAATACATTTGAACGGGTTGAACTCATAAAACAACTTGGTCAACTCTTACCTGACAACATTCGTGTGCTGCAGTCTATTTCTTTTCTGAGTGCCGATGAATGCTTGAAGCCTATTAAATCAGATATACTTGGTTTGGCACACTTATTTACAGAAGATTCCAGCACCCTTACCAAGATTGATTTCCAGTGGAAAAAACTGCATCACACAATCTGGACAGAAACATCTAACACCCTAAAATTGTGGTCAGATGTGGCAAATTACAGAGCTGCGACAGGTGAAAACCCTTCCATGATCTGGCTGAAATTGCACTCGCTGCCTTATCTCTTCCTCATTCAAACGCAGATGTAGAGCGCACATTTAGTAATATGAACTTTGTGAAATCAAAATTGCGCAACAAAATGAAACTATCGACATTAAAGGCAATTCTTACAATAAAGTATGGGTTAAAAAGACAGAACACCTGTTATGAAGTTCCTAGTGATATTTTAAGAAAGATAGGGACTGTGGAGGCATACAGTTACAAGAGAACCTGAACCAAGCACTTCACATGCTTCCACCTCTACAGTTGTTCACACTACCAAGAGGACTGGGATGCAATTACTATTGAATAATAGGTAAGTGTGCACATTAATGATTACCTTAACGATTACCTTAACGATTACCTTAAAGATTACCTTAAAGATTACCTTAAAGATTACCTTAACGATTACCTTAATGATTACCTTAACGATTACCTTAAAGATTACCTTAAAGATTACCTTAAAGATTACCTTAACGATTACCTTAACGATTACCTTAACGATTACCTTAACGATTACCTTAACGTGGGAGGGGGAGGATGTGTGGGAGGGGGAGGGAGAGAGTGGGAGAGAGGATGTGTGGGAGAGATACCGAGAGAGAGTGAGTGAGAGAGAGAGAGAGAGAGAGAGAGAGAGAGCTAACTTGTCTCCTGTTTTCCTCATTGCATCTCTCTTTAACCTCAGCATCACGTCACCCCCCCCCCTCTCTCTCTCTCTCTCTTCCCCTCACTGCTTCTCTCTTACTCGTCGCATATAACTCTTCCTCTTTCTTCTTCTTCTCCTCCATCTCTTCTCTTATCTTCTTCTTCCTTCTCTCACTCTCTCTCTCTCTTATGTCACCGGCCGGGGCTGAGAGCTGCTCCAGTGTATGCCTGCACCTGAGGGTCTCCCTGTGACGTTTTTACACCTGCCTCTGTCTCACCTGTGACTCTCTACACCTGCCTCTGTCTCACCTGTGGCTCTCTACACCTGCCTCTGTCTCACCTGTGGCTCTCTACACCTGCCTCTGTCTCACCTGTGGCTTTCTACACCCGTCTCTGTCTCAACTGTGGCTCATAATTTACTGGTATGTGAACATCTGTAAGTAGAACCTCTCCGTCGTGTGGTGACAGTCAGGTGTTTATTAACAGTTTACCTGACTACTACCGAATAATAGCTAGCGACTTTCCATGGAAGATTTAGCGACATTTAGCTACTTTTAGGTACCAGCCTAGCGACATTTGAAGATCCGAGTTGGCAACGCTGATGACCCACTGTGACGTGTAGTGGCCGGGTCGTCTCTTTAACTCAGTACTGTGGCACCAACCTCCTTTATATCATCATGTCATCTCAGGTGATTTATATTTCGTTGTTTAGTTTGTAATTTATCAAGTCTAAACTGTAAATAAATATCGTGGTACTGATGGATTAAGTTGTCATGTTTTAGGGATAAAACAAGAACACTGTTGAATTATACTCTATAGTGTTAGGGGAGTTTATGTCTGTGTTATCAGTATGGGTACAAGTGATAATGATCTATACGGGTTAATTTATCATTGAGAGTTGTTTTACAGATATGTAGATTAAATATTTAGTAATGACCAAACACTGAACTTTTTACGGTAAAGGTAGAAGAGACAGCATCAGAAATAACATAGGGAATTGAACTAAAATTTCTGGTGAATGTACAGAACCTATTAGAACCTGACCTGACCTAACCTGACCTAACCTAACCTGACCTAACCTAACCTGACCTGACCTAACCTGACCTGACCTAACCTTGGTAAAGTTTTAGTTTTGGTTGTCCGGGAAACTTTAGGAATTTAACTATTGGAATCGGTAGTTTAGACAATTCGGGGACACTTCTAATTTGATGTTTCCTTTCCAAATGACCTGATATAACCTGCAGACCTCCCGCACTTCAGCATATGTAAGGGAAACATATAGAAGAAAAGGGGTGTTTTTTTTTACAAGTTGAACATAATATCTCATAATATGTTTGGGTCATGTTATAAGTGCTGTAGGCCTCGTCATTTCCAACAAGTTTCCCGAGTAATGTTTCTGTTGCAAATGATTGGCTTTCATGAAAATGGTTATGTTGGTTGCTTCCATATGAGCTCTGTTGGGTGGTCCTGGGAGTGGAGCCGGGGGATTCCACCCCCTATGATTAGGTAATATATATATTCTGAACAATGGCAGTTAAGGTAGGTGAGGTTAGGTTAGCACAAACTGATTTTGGGATAAAACCTAATTTTTTCCGATGGATTTTAGTGTGATTCATTCGAATTTTATAATAATCTTTTGGCAAAACTTGGCTTGGATTTTCAAATTTTCAATTTACTTGTTAAAACCGGGAAATCCGAGGCGCCTTTGGTCATTTATTTAGCATATCACTCGTTTTTGCTCTACCCTCACCGAAATACCCCGATTTCCCACGGGTCCCCTCAGATTGTCATACTCAAAAACGAGTCATTTGCGAGAGAAATGAAGGTCGGAAGCATTCAAAACACATCAAAAACCATCGTAAAATGTAAGCTTTGTGTTTCACAACCATTATGGGCAACTAGTAAAAATTTACCAAGAAAAGTCTTAGAATTGTCTAAACTACTGATTCTATTAGTTAAATTCCTAAGTTCCCTGGATGACAGAAAATAATACCCTAACCTTACCTAACCTACCTTACCTCACCCAACTTCCTAACATGTACATTGCTGTTTTGATTTTCTTAATATCATACAAACATTATCTCTAGAAAAAATGAACAAATTCAATCCAATACAAATCGGGTAATGAACGAATTTGACCTTCCTTTCTGGCACAAGTCAATAGTTTCTGAGATAACCCCCCCCCCCTATCTCAGAATCTAGAAATTTGCTAAAAATAATCAAGGTAAAAAACTGTTTACAATACATTGAAAACCATCGGAGAACAGTTTTGAATCTAACCTAACCTAACTGGGAGCTCCACAGTCGTTCAGTGTTCGGAGTGTGTATCGCCACATACAGACAAACATGCTACATACATACATAATAAAAAAAATTTAAATACCTCGCTTAAATGTAATTTATGCCAGAAATGCCATTGAAGAAAAGTGTCTTGAAATTGTCAAAATTACTGATTGCAACTATAAATTTCCCGAGGTTCATTTAGTGGTAACAAGTCGTAATAAACTTGTCCAATGAGATGCCATTCATTTCTTAACGTGTCAACAAAGACCGCAGACGCTCCCATTTAGCAGATGATTTGAACCAAAACCTGGTCGCCCACGGGAGATCTCACAGCGCCATAATTAGGGTAAGTATTTTATTTCTTTGTCTACGAGAATGTAAATATAAAATTACTGCCATACTGTATGATCAGCGACTACAGTGTTTTACCCTGTTATTTCCTTCCTCTTTCATCCCCTGCCCACTAACAATTTTTGATTGAAGGATAGCTTTAAAAAATATAAGCAATGTTTTTGCTTTGATTTTATTGCTCAGTATCATCCAAGTGTGAACTCCTGAAAATTTGGTGCAATTCTATAAAGTTTCTGGTGCTAACCATCTCCACCTTGACCAACACTGGTGCTGGTACACAGATACATTCTGGAGCTAGTACATGCCCAGTACTTGCCAACAATGTGTAACAGACCTGACCGACCACCCAATGGCAAAGAGAATAAAAGTAAAAGTTTATAAATAAAGGTTATATTTGTTTAAAACAGGAAAAATACATAAAAGCCTTTGAGAACCCAACGCAACTTTTCCTGACCTATATTATAACCTATTTCAACAAAATTCTTACATTATTTATCCGATGGATAAGCAATCACTGTTTCTGTGAACCTGGTTTCATGCATTGCAGATCGTGTCACAGCTCAAGGTGAGGTATGTAAATTTTGGGAACAACCTCCCAGAAAGTGTTGTGACAGCACTGAGTATGAGCTTTTTCAAGACCAGACTTGACCAATGCTGCCACAGGTACAGATACATTTAGGAGCCAGTACTGTACTTGCCAACAGTGCGTAACAGACGTGACTGACCACTCGAGCGGCTAACGAGCCGTTCAGTGACGAAGAGGATAAAAGTGTTTACATTTAGTAGATCTCATCTGAACACGACCAGGATAAAACCATGATCTACATCGACCCCAATGTTAACGATACTTTTCTGCGGTAACTGTATAGTATATTGAGAAATAGGATAATAGCTTCTGAGACTTACATCGGCACATGGGAGAGGCCTACCTGCCTTGCTGGTAGTAATTTTTTGTCATACGACAGGTATATGCCTTGCCTTCATTATAAAGCCTTTTTGCAACATTATTCTTCCACGTGTGAGGCCTGCACAGACATTTACGGCCCCGTGATGGCCCAGCCTCGGGTTCACTAGCCCCACTTTCGCTCACAACAGGTGCTGGGTCAACCACATATGACACACTTTGTGATAGGGGAAACCTTGTTGAAACTTGCTGTGGTGGTAACTTGATTTTGGGCTCAGAAGCGCTTGTACCCTTACTATGGTGGTGGCCTTATATGTATTGTATTTTGATGTTACAGGTACACGAATTCTCGGTTGAAATGACTTGTGAAGGCTGTTCTGGTGCTGCAAAACGAGTACTCGACAAACTTGGTGGTAAGTAAAGTATTTTATTATCCAACACAAAGGATTTACAAAGTGATTTAGATAAAGGATATCATCACTTTTTATCACTTATCATTTTCCACATTTCATTTTATAATATTATTTCAGTTTATTAAAGCAATTCTTAGTAAAAATTTGCATGAGCCCTGCATAAGTGGTACAGTGTGTACTGTACTGTATATTTGTACGACAGTAAAGAAAATACCCTCTAAATATTCTCAAGTGAAATCTTCACCTGAACAATGTTTGCATTACGAATTTTACAGATCTGAAATAACATTGGAACACACACACACACACCCTTCACTCTATCTTTCCTTTGTAACTTGGGTCAGTCTTTGCTCTTGCAGGTATCCCTCAGCTTACTAATGCCTGATTATCAAAAATTTTTACTGCTTTAATATATATTTTTTTAACAGAAGCAAAATTCAGATTTAAGGAATAACAATCATATTTGGAAATCCTTTTTTTTTTTACTATTTGAATATTAATATTCACTTTAACAGATATCAGTCACACTTTGAAAAAATACCTTTAAAGAGTGCATACTATCAACTGTTGCGCAGTTTCTGTCGATTGCTCCATGATTTTCGCTGTTTTCTCCAATTTTGTTGTGTTAGCGAGGTAAGAAGAATGTTTCCAAGAAGCGTTCTGGTTATAGAATTGCCGGTGGTGAACGTAAAAGAGGTTTGCAAGAACGCAGCTACTGCATTTTAGCCCGCGCCGTCTTAGCGACCGCCTGGGCTGCTATTGTATGCTTTTTTGGGTGGTGCTGCCACCTGTCGAGCCAAGGGAATGACCTCTACCTCTACTGGGGGTCCTAAGCGGCCAAATACGGAAAAGGAGAAGCGGGACTATCATAAGGGAGTTAAGTTTGCTAAGTACTAGATGCTGGATAACCAGCTTGTGATTAAGTTACTTGAGGAAGGCCTAAAAACTAGTGAAATAAGAAAGATTACTGGTTTTCCGGAAAGCACAATCGGGTCAATAAAGGCAGAATTTGTGTAATTTGGAGGTTATAAATGGGAAAATCAGAGGTTGACGTAGAGTGGCCATTCTATACAGCTCCTCCCCGACTTATGACCTACTCGACTTACGACCGCCTCAGTCGTACCAAAATTTTGTCAAATTACGTATTTTCGAGTCCCAACGTCGGTGATTACGCTGTGTGCTGACAAAATTTTCGTTTGTAATTCACTTTAAAATGGCTGGCAAGCTTAAAAGTGAGAGTTTTATGGTGCCGAGAAGAAAGAGACACCCATTTTAGATTTTCTATGTACTTGTATTATTTAAGCATTTTCGACTTACAACCTGGATTTGGGTCCCTAACCCCGTCATAAGTCGGGGAGGAGCTGTATTGTTATTTTTCCCATTACAGTACAACTGGAAAAGGACATACTGTATAAGGTTATGTATTTTAAAAACAGCACCTGGGGAGCCTAGATGTCATGAAAGACCGCTTTCTTCTTGTTCAGTGTTACTGAACTCTTAATTGACTCCTGGTGAAAATTTCTGAAAGGAAGTCAAGTTTATATGGTTGCTTAGCCATGCACTATTAAGAGCAATAAGATTTTGGGAAACTCCTTGATCCCACCATCCAGTTTCAAACTTTTTCCATATTTGTGGTTCTGACACTTGAAAGTGGAAATTAAATATCAATCCTTCATAAATTGTATTTATTTTTAGTACTGTAATGGTCTGAATATGAATCTAATGTATGTTAATATTTACAGATAAAGTTTCAAATGTGGATATTGATCTTCCAAACAAGAAGGTAACTGTTACCAGTGTTCTGTCAGCAGAGGAGCTCACTGAGACATTGAAGAAGACTGGCAAGGAAGTGACACTGATTGGGTCAAAGAGTGCTTGAGGAGGGATGTCCTGTCGAGTAGTAGGTGTTCGTGATAATCACCTGATCAAATCGTTATTAGATGGGATTTCATATTTTTGTCATTTGTAAGAAAATTTCCTTCTTGTTTAATTAATGTGTTCACTGTACCAGTAAAATATGTGTCACCAAAAGTTCACTAATGAGTAGTTATTTGTTTATAATAATGGCTGCTAGTGCTAAAATTATTAATGTCATCGGATGTACAATATTCATGTTCTCTGCTTTACAAGCTATTTCATATGTTTTTTGAGTGTGATCCATGTACTGTATAAGCTGATAACCACATAGGAAAAAAGAAAAGACAAAGTTCCCAAGTGTTTTAGTGCACTTCACATCTTCAGGGGTGAGAAGTCTATAGTTGCCCCTGAAGATGTGAATTAAATGAAAGCGCTTAGGAACTTTTTCTTTTTTTCCTGTATGTATACTGTATATCTTGCAGTCTTGTTTCACCAGCAAGCAGAAGTTGTAACATTTTTTTTTATTACAGTACATGTATTTATATACAGTATGTATACAGTACCTGTACTGTATCTACAGTATCTTGGTAATTTTCTTACTAAATTCCATTTAACCAATTTTTTTTTGGTGTACTGTATTTGTGTCTTTACCCACTATATCCCCTGAAATACAGTACAGTACAGTATATGATAGTAGCCATTGAATGCATTCTTGTAGCTAATTTTTCATGATTATTATTTAAATCGGTTTAATTTGTGCAACATTACTGTATTCCCAATTGTGCAACATGTTTTAGCTGTTGAAGAACAACTTAAAGAAATATTCCAAAAGATATTGTTTACATGTAAACTCATCAGAATTTCTAAATGTTACATTACCTTCCAAAGGAAATCATTGGTGCCATTACCTTCCAAAGGAAATCATGTGAAAAGTAGGCTACTATGGTACATGTACAGTATATTAAAAAAAATGGTAGCAAGGAGCAACATACATACACAAGTCAGAACCTGCCTGTGGGATTTATGATGAGATCCCAATGTGAATACTCAAGTGCAGCTTCCTTAACGTACCGGGTATGCATATTTGTACAATAACTAAACTAGTAAAATTTGGAGTGAAGGCACCACCCAGTCACTGTACAGCAGCATGAAATGGGTGAGGTGGCCCTGATGGAAAATTTTAGTCATGTGTTCAGGTGGATTAATGTAATGTGAATTAGGAAAGATCTTTGGAAATGTAATCTGGTTTAATTTTTTGAGTGACTTCTTACATAGATTATAATATGACAATAACTTCGAAAGAAATTGGGAACTCCTAGTAAAAGCAACAACCTTCTATACGGTAGCTAATTAATATACCTTCACAATATGATAAGCCTCAAGGTTGCTTTCATGAGATGTTTGAATATGAAAAGGTGAGTAATCAAGACATTTTATAAAACTGTTGTCTTACTGATGTAGCTGGGTTTGCATTTGATTGGAACCTCTACAGTGATGAATAATCTGGTTGTAAAGGTTTGGTTTGAGACCCATAGATGAAGGCTTTATATGTATTTTAAGACGGATTTATAATTTGTATTGAAAACATTTGTTTCCTTGTAATGGTTTATGAAAGCATTGTAGTGTCATTGTTAGCTGTAATTTGGGCATTCATTATTGTAGAACTTTTTTCAAAAATCTCAACATTATTCAAATTTATAATACATTGAGAAATTAAGCTTTATATTGAATTTCACCCACATCCTGCTGTACATTATAGCCCTTACTAAAGCATTTAATTCATAATGTCTATGTTAATCAATTACCACAACATTTTAATAGACAGATTTTTAATGTTCTCTGAAAAATTTTTGCCTTACCAAATCATTGTATTATATTTTGTGGGTACATCATCATATGGTTAAGATACACTTTCTTTGGTTAGCATGACTTCATATTTAGCTGTTAATGGAATAGAGAAAAAGTTGAAAGGAGATAAATGTAATAAAGTACTATAGTGCTGGAACACATACTCTCACTCTCTCCCTCTGTGCACTGTGCCTTACCTGCATCACTTGTCATTCTTAAACAAACACAATTTTGCACAAATAAAAGTAAAACAAAAAATAAGAAGTTTATCATAATCTGTTAATTCCAAATGACCTTCATTATATCAGCAGTCCTCTATTATATAATGTGGTAGTTGCTGAAAGTGGACAGTACATCTTGAGAAGCTATTCCTATTATATACTGTATACGCAGTGCTGATATTTGGAATCTAGATTAAAGGTCGTCAGGTCGGTATGTAGATTGTTACGAGCTTTTGTTCCTGGTCTAGACACCTTACCAGGAACCAGGCAGTAACAGACCCCAGACATGAATACCTGTATGTTGTTCACATAAATTTAGCATATTGCTCCTTCACTACTCAGCATTACTCGGGTATTTTAGATTACTATAGGAAAGGAGTAGTAAAGGCAATGTTGGAATGTACAATCCGGAACTATATATTGGCAAGAAACGCCAACAATAATCAAGTACTGGACTTGTATTAACAATTGCCACAGTTCTACCATATACAAAGGTGCAAATAATACAAACTTGCATTACATTCTAGGCCAGAGTACTATAATTTGCTGTCAACCACAACTGGTTCTGCAGACCAGCTCCACTCACTCGTGCTGTCCAGGAATGCTCCCTCGTGTGCTGCTCCATTACAACTTTTCAAGATCTGAACAACACAGATACGGAGCTCCCTGGAATGCCTAACCAAGAGCCCAAGTTAATGGACCATCCAATGGATCTGTGATTCAAAGTCAAGAACATCGAATCGAGAGATCGAGTAATGTGGGTGGAGCAGTGGTTGGGCAGCAACCAAACACGGGTCGTTGGTCAGGCACCAGTCAGGTTCTCCTATATCCAGCTTCATATGAAAAATGAGAACTGCCATTGACTAAATGATCAAAAGTGAAATGGTAAATATATTTGCTTAAAAGCAAAAATGTTCCAGAGATTGATGTGAAAAGAAAAATGATTGGGATGCCATAGAAAAGTACACTATTTGAAATGGCATTGTGAAGTAAGGAAAAAGGCATTTAGTTCCTGTATATTAACAAAGCCAGATGTATGGAATATTTCAAGTGATAACAATTGGAAGATCAAAGGAGAAGATTTACAGTAAGAGAAAAGGACAAGTCTGTGAGCTGTGGAGAAGACCAAGTACATTAGTATTCCAGCCTGAATTTAACTTGAGTGAGTGACAGGAAATTGAGAGAAGGGGCCAATGTTACACTCTTAGGTGTGCTTACCAAAAGTGGAAAAACTTAAGAGGAATATCAAACTGAAGGGAAACCTGCCAGCTACTGAATATTAAGAATTGGGGTTTAATACCAATCCAGTTACTCGCATCTGATCGGGAAAGAGCTTGTATAGTTGTGTGCAAAAAAAAAGGAATCTTGTGAACACCAAGGAAAAGAAACTATTTAACGCTTCAGCCTTATCCTGGTAAGAATATGCATAACTACCATCTTCAAACCTCAGGTCCGATAGACCTACCTTTGTTTTTAATTTTGACATTGCATCGCAGTAAAACTCCTTTGAGTTTGACTTGACCTCCCTCGCAATTCACCAATGGAACTCACTCTCAGCCTTTCTTCTCTCTGAGTTTGCTTGGTTCCTAGATCTGGCATACATCCTTCTGTCCTGCTAATCATTTGTCCTAACCCACGTCTCAAATTTCTGAGTTTTCTTCTTAACTTTGTCGACTGCCGTATGGTTCATGTGTAGCAGTCTTCTTGTATTCCTTGAGGCACTGGGTTTGGTCTTAGGTATATATTTATTGATCAGATGGTTCACTTGACTGATTATAATAGTCAGCATAGTGTCTGGGTTCATATACATTAGTGAGTCAGGTCAGTGGACACCCCATCATTCCGTCGTAATTACCCGGTACCCTTGTAATAATTTAACCTTGGCCTGGTTTTGTCATGAGCCAACTAACAATTAAATCTGAAGGGTAACTTTGTGTGGTGACTGGTGCCAATGGGGGCTAGGTGTTCCAGCTTGGCCTCCGTACCCTCCTGATCAAATGGGTCATCTTGCTAGTTATGATATTCAGCGTAATGTCTTCGTTCTTGTGCCTTAATGAGTCGGGCCAGTGGATACCCCTCTTCTCTTCCCTCATCCCATTGTAATTTCCCTTTGTAATATTTGCACCTTGGCCTGGCCTTATCTTGAACTAGGTAACAGTTAAATCTGAATGACAACACTATATGGTGACTGGTGCCAACTAGGGCAAGGTGTTCCAGTTTGGCCACCATACCCTCCTCGTTTGTTATGATGAGGTCAAGTGGCTTGGGTGTTTGCTCCCCTCTGTAATGTGTCGGGTCTCTAACATGTTGGAACAGAAAATTATCTCTCAGAGTTTCTACAAAAAGAGTAGCAGGGTTATTCAAGTCATTCAGGGTGGACTCGTTTCTGCAGTCGATGTCGCCATAGTTAAAGTCCCCCATGATAAGGAGGTGTCTAGGGTTGAACATAGCCGCGTTGTCCATTAAGGCTCTTAAGTTCCTTTGATTTAGTGGGCCACAGTTTGGGGATCTGTAGATACACCCGACAATAAGTAAGTCCCCCTCCATTACATTTAATTTAACACCACTTAGACTCTTCAAAAACATCCTCTCTCTAGTGGCGAAGAGGATAAAAAGGTCTTGCCTAGCATAGATAACCACACCCCTCTTGCAAGTTTCTTGAGAAAGGTTCGTAAATGAGTCATATCAAGCAATACTGAAATCACATTCCTCTGGGTCGATTCTCCTGTTCTTGTACAACAGTTTTACAACTCCTACAATATCGGGTTGGTGTACCTTCAGTTGTGTTTCAAACTCCTCTCTCTTATCAAGGAACGTGTCAGTATTAGTGTACATGACATTCAAGCCAGACTTTGTTCTCGGTAATGCGTCTGCCCTTAGTAGTAACTCCGGCCCCCCTCCATTCTCAGAAGCTGCAGCATTTGCTAAGCACATTGTAAGCTAGAGTAATGGAGAGGGGAGCAAATGAAGCCTAGTGGGCACTTCAGAAGAGCAAAGGTGTAGCAGTCCAAAGATATTCCCAGGACCAAAATGAGGGAACACTATGAGAGAGAAATTAATTCAGACATTTGGAGTACTGTACAGTATATGAAACAGGAACAAAAATGGTAAATAGGAAATTGAGGAAAAGATTACATGTACAAGGAAGATGCTGTGAAGACAGGTGAATAAAAAGAAACTGGCTGAAAGGTGCAAGAACTTGCTTTAAGGGGAACCTCTCTTACACCTATATACTGTAAATATAAAGAAGTAAATTTTCATAGCAAAGGTAAGTGATAATGAGTACAGCATAGTAAAATTTACCTGGATTATTATAAGGATTTAATAGACTGTACGCTCAGCTGTAGGTGCAATATGGAACAGTACTTGTCACAGTTGGAAACGCAAAACTTTACATATTGAACTCTTGTGGATTTATTGTCATTTAATCAGCCATTTCAACCCCTTATAAGGACTCTAAATGGATTTAAGATTATAGCTCTCCTTGGGTTATCCTTTCATTTACTTGGTTGAATCATCTTACCGTTTATCATTATTGGTATTCCTGCACTATCTAAAAGCATACTGAGTAAATTTAAACGTGTATGGCGAGTTTTTCCAAACAAATATATAAATATATGTCTACCTACCTATTTTTATAAATGAGACCGTTTGATACGTGTAACTCATAATTACAGCATTTACTTTACTTGCCCACTAAGAAGATATCGCTAACTTGTATATATATATATATATTTTTTTAGGAGGGTAGTTTCCCAGGACTCCTAGTATTTTTATATATCTCCATACACTAGTAGACAATGGGCACCCTTTCTACTTTCCCTCCCTCCTCCAGTAGTTGAGTCACCGGTCTACTACCCTCTCCTCCACACCCCTCACCCCCTTCCCCCACCAAGTTCATCACACGTGGCTCCTTCACCTATCGAGGTGGTTATATAAATACATACTTAATTATGATCTTTTAACCCAACAGTCAGTCTGCTTTCAATTAGGACGTAATCCAAATACAGGATAAGTGAAGAATGAAGAAATATGTGCATTCGGAATAGTAACCATAATTATCATGATAATTATTCCTAGTTTTAAGGCGTTTGTGTCTTTATTAGCTATTCAATGCATCATCAGAATATACTACACAATAAAAACGGCTTCAATTTGGTCTTGTGTACTAGAAAGGCAGGAAATTTAATCACCCATAGCCACTTGGCGTAAACGTCAACGTGAACACAGTTAAATATCATGTTCTTCGCGGCAAGGCAATGTTGCACATCTTGTACCTGATGCTAAAAGTTAATCCATAAAAAGTCTGATTTAAAGCAATATTAAGTTAATTATACAGTAATTTAACATTTAATAAACATATGATTATATAGGAGCAATGCATAATTTAATTTATTTGATAATATATACATACTAGTGGAGACTTGGCACTAATGGAGGTAGAAGCATCATGATGGCGGGGAGGAAGTGATGTCAGCGGCGGCCCTCTGGTGGTGGCGACTGACATCACTGACACGTCGCCTTCAGTGTCCGTGATTTGAGGCAGTGCGTAGACCTGCGGCCACTCAGTCGTGCACTCTTCCTCAGCTGACTTCACCAGGCAGTCATCATGGGGAGTAAGTTGATGTTTTATTCTATTTCTAACATAATTTAGCCGTTGTATTAGTATGGTTTTTGCTTTAGATGTAATTTTTATAGTTAATTTACCTTTATTCGTTCTGTTATTGTTGCTACTGCCGGGTATCCAAAGTGTTATCCAGCTATGTAGTGATGTAATTACGGGAAAAGAAGGAATAGTTTGTAGTTTTTATCACCTCTATATAGTAGTGATTTTGAGTTATTTACAGTCCATATAAGCTTCTTGTTATAGGGACCACGGCAGGTGAAAGTTGGTGGTGGAGGCAGTCACTCCTCCAGGTGCCACAATTGTTTGAATGAGGCTGATGAGTGCCTGAGGGCATGTATGTAGTTCTAAATGTTTGTAAAGCAAAATTTAAAACAGTAAATGGACCACATTAGTGTTCTTTGAAATAGGCTTATTGGACTAGTCAAAATATTAAAACAGATGGTTGTTAGCATGCAAGCTGGTGCCCCATAAATGTGTACAGTAGATGGATGAAGACCATACCATAGCCCTTGGCTCTACCATAGGTATGGAAGCGAGAGGGTAATTATTTAAAACTTCACAGCAGCTGATTTTTCATAGAATGCTAATTTTAAAATGCCATATTTCCTTAATTATCTTTCCTATTTTACAGTAATTTTTGAATGGGTACTAGTTAGTAATGGAACTTCAGTTTCAATGGAAATAAGATTGTAATTTACTTTTATCCTCTTCACCATTGATCAGCTCGTTAGCCGCTTGGGTGATCGGTCACGTCTGTTACGCACTGTTGGCAAGTACTGGGCATGCACCGGCTCCTGAATGTACCTGGACCTGCTCCAGTGTTGGTCAAGTCTGGTCTTGAAAGAGCTCACACTGGCAGGTTGTTCCACAAATTCACAACTCTCGCTCCGAAAAAGTTTGCCATCACAGTTTTCTGGACTTGTGGCTTGTTCAACCTTTACTTGACTTAATGGTTTACCATTGTACACCCATAATACCTTCACTTTTTATGTACAGCTAAAAAAAAGTATCTTTAGATTTTCCGTCGCTACAGTTTGAGACGCAAGATGAAATGTTTTGATATGATCCCCAGTACATCATAAGTTGGTAGGCATATCAGCAGCAGCTAGAGATAGGGGAGGGGGTCGTCCTTGTATGGCTGACTAAATATGCAATATAACAAGAAATCCAGTAAGCTATTTTATTGTATGTCTCGTGCTTGGTAGAAGCAAGGCATATGTAAACAAGCCACTGACTTAGGATTGCATAAACTGAAATACAGTATACAGTAGTACATTAAAGGTAAGTGTTTTGGCTCATCATAACCGAGACCTCAAAATGGACATTTCACTATTACGTCGTCGTACTGACGGAGTTTCATTATACCGAGTTTCACAATGTGCCTACTCGGGTTCACGATATGTCTGATTTATGAAGTGACTTGGCAGATAGTACTGAACTTGATATAAGAATGAACAGCTACACCAATACAGTAAATTGGTCTTCATGTGATATGCTAAGTTACCGACATGTTAATTGCATTGTTTTAACACCGAAATAAATTTCCAAATAAAGTTTCAGTGTGGCACCAGTTATTTCATGGTACCCAACCAGTCATGATACTGTAGGTTTGCCCACCCCTGTTTGCCATGCTATCTCAGTGCTGCGTACAGTATAGCTACCCTTGTTGCGAAGGGCAATGATGGCACCGCGCCTCTTGCGTGTCTCCCTGATAATTCCTCGATCCATTCTATGGAAGATCCTGTTGATGACTGGCATGGTGTTGGTGTCCATTTACGACATCCACTCAGCCATGTAATACGTGATCTGAAGCCTCGGAGGATTCACATCGTTCAAAAACACGTACAGTACTGTATACTCATTCATGCTCAATGGTCATGGAAGTAGACCTTCCAGTCGTTCAGAAACAAGTCGAGTAACATTGCTCGGAAAGCCTCAAATCACATTGACCACATGGCTAACGATACTGTTGTGGGGGTTTATACTGTACTGTACATTGTATACCTGTACACTCTTGGTACATGCTGAATCAGTGTGAACTTGCATGATGATTTTACTGACTATTTAAATGAATGTCTAATCCTCATTTGTTTGGGAACAAGGAAAAAATAGTTAAAGAATACTGGGCAATACTTGATGAGAATGGTCTGGTTGTGGTGTGTTTCTCAAAGGGAGAAAGTTTTCATCTACTTGAGTTCAGTATTTGCATCCATGGTTCTTGTCTGCCAATTCATCAAAGGCAAGAGGAACATACTGAAGACCATGTTCTACTTGCCATTCTGTAAATGGCATTTTCTTTTTTGTTGTATATTTTAACTTGTTTTCCATTCGTTTTGGCCACTGACAATGTCCCGTCAATGTAATTTTCTGTGAGATTTATTGCATACATACAAATTCTGTACCAGTACTTGAGCAACCATTTCAGATGTGTAAATGCTTGCACCATACAGTATACGATACATTATATAATTGATGACATAGATGAACCAGGCTGTTTGAAATATGTTAGGTTGGTTTGGGTTTACAAATTTTAATTGAGCTTATAAATGGAATTGATTTGTGTAATTGTAAAAGAGAATAGAGCCTTAGCTGTACAAGAGGCCATTGGCTTGTTACAAATACTGTACAAATGCTTTTGCAAGGGTTACTTGTACCATATTTGTTGGAAAGTTTAATTTTTTTTTATATCTATCGTAGTCTTGTAGTATTACACTGCCTTCAAGAAGTAAGATAACTTCTCTAGGTACCATATAAGGTTTTCTTTAAGGTACTAAGGAGATGAACTTAGTTTTAAATTTATTGGAGCTTTAACATTTTTTATTATTTTACAGTAAAATTCTTGGAGGTGATAAAACCGTTTTGTGCGGTGCTGCCGGAGATACAAAAGCCTGAACGTAGGATTCAGTTCAGAGAAAAGGTGCTATGGACTGCTATCACTCTGTTCATCTTCCTTGTTTGCTGTCAGGTGAGTACAGTACTGTTGACTCGGTACAACTTTGAATATGACTCGATTCTTTTAATATCTTGCCCTGTTTGTGATTAACCTTTTACCATGTGATAATTGGATGCCGGGAGTGCATTAGTTATGCATGACCTCATTGGAAACTTCTCAAGATCTTTGGTGACGTTGAATAGCTTAATATTTTAAAAATGCTACTTTTGGATTAATATTTATCCTGACAGGTGAAAATAGATCAATCAATCACCATCCCCATTACATACAGCCTTACTTTACCAAGTACTACAGGTATTGCCCGGTAAAGTTGCGAGTAAGAGAGCCAGGGTGGTGTCAATTCATCTTTGGTTGACTGTACAAGCCAAACCAATTGTAAACTTGTCTGATGGTTATACTGAATGATAGTACAGTATAAAGGGATGGGTGATAAGCATGAATAAGTTAGGCACAGTACAGTATATTGTACCTTTCCCTTCAAAAAGTTATCAAGGTCAGTGGAGGGATCCTATACAGGCCATTGGCTTCCTTCTCTCGGCCTGGTAAGTGGGTGGCCATTAGGTAAATAGGTATGTAAAAAGTAAATACCTAGGATGGTTTATAGTAGTAGTCCATAAGACTGAGAGAAAGGAAGTGATGTATAGTGTGTTTGTATGAATGAGTGGAAAGTATCAAGAGAAAAGAATGTTTTTGTTATGTTTTTGAGTCTGAAAAAAGCTAATGATAGTTGAGAGAAAAGCTATAAGGGAAGTATTGACCATGTACTGTGTTATACAAATGGGAAAAATTTTGCCTGTAGTCCCAAGTTATTGTGTGAAGGAATGTGAAGTGTGTTAGTACTGTACAAGTGTTGGGGAAAAGGGAACGGGTTTTCTAGTGAAAGTAGTATTACAAAAATGATCTGTAATTTCACTGTCTTAGTTCATTATTTTCATGGATTGGGTAGGTGAAAGCGATATTGAGGGAGAGCACAGTCGATTTAATGGAATAAAGTTTGGGATGCAAATGAAAGGCGATTCAGCTGCTGTTTGCTGGTGATACTATTATTGAGAGGACTACAAAAGTTCATATGTTATTGAAATTGAATTCTGTACAATAGTATTTCCAGTCCATTTTATATAGTTGTGTACAAAAGAGCTGATTTATATGTATTAGCATGAGGGGTATGCTGCCAATGTGAGGCCATAGATCTATCCACACTTTTTATTGGTCTACACCTACATGCCGAACATGTTGCTAGAGAGTGTGACCATATATCTGACCTACATCTCTTGTTCATGTTTGTGTACGAGGCGTACTGCCAGAGTTTAGGCATTTACATTTAATGTTATTCACATATGCTTGAGAGGCATTCAAGTACATTGGTACTTTGTGTATTTAATTCTGTATATAGGAATTTATTTAGCTATTGGGTACAAAATATTAAGGCTTGATATATTGGCTATTTTGCCATCAGATAGTGATGTGCCATTACACACATTATGCTTGGATCTGTCCTGTTTAGAAGTGTACAGTATGTATTTGTTTTAGAGCATGAGGAAAAGGTGAATATGTCCTTGAACCAAAGAGGGTAAACTGAATCCAAAGAATATAAAACTGAGAGAAGCATGGACCAGGGTTGAAGAGTTGCTTAGTAGGAACAGAATAAAGATAAAGGGGAATGTAAGATTGGTAAGAATTGTTCACATCAGAAGTACAGTAGATGGGTGGAGAGGGGGGAAGATCAAAGGAGGTGGGTTAGGAAGATTAGATATTGCTCAGGGTTATGTAAAGTGTTGGGTAATCCTGATGGAGATATTGGGCTTTTGTTATAGAAGGGGAACACCATAACATATATGACAGCAGTTGAAGTGAATGATGGTAATGTGTATTTGTCTAGTTAGTCCTATGTTGTATAATGAAATGTTTTAGGTAGTCATTTTTTATTTAATGAACTGTTTTACATTTCTTCTCAGATTCCCTTGTTTGGGATCATGAGCTCAGACTCGGCAGATCCCTTCTACTGGATCCGTGTAATCCTGGCTAGTAACAGAGGCACACTCATGGAACTTGGTATTTCTCCCATTGTCACCTCCAGTCTTATCATGCAGCTGTTAGCTGGTGCTAAAATTATTGAGGTGGGTACTATAGTGATAATTTGTAGTACTGTACAGTACAGGTAAAACCTTTATAACTTCAGTAGAAGTCCACTTAGGGCTTAAAGAACAGATTAAAAGTGATAAATATTTCTTGGTGTCCACAAATACTATTCTGGGACCTGTATATGAATTAAGCAGTACAGGAGTTTAATAACTTAATTTAGTCTGGTGGACAAGATGTGTGTAACTGAATTTAAAGATTGTAGAATGTTCTTAAAGTGTTAAAACAATATCTCGTATTTAATTTGTATTGGTTATAATGTACGGTATATTATTTAATCATCAGGTGGGTGACACGCCAAAGGACAGAGCTCTTTTCAATGGTGCTCAGAAGCTATTTGGTATGATGATAACAATTGGACAAGCAATTGTGTATGTTATGACAGGCATGTATGGTGACCCATCTGACCTGGGTGCTGGAGTTTGTCTTCTTATCATCATCCAACTCTTCGTTGCTGGCCTGATTGTATTGTTGCTTGATGAGCTCCTGCAGAAGGTATTATTCTTAAGCTTTTATTTTTTCTTAAGAAATGCTGAAATCTTGGAAAATTTCTAAACATATTTTCAGGAAGTATAATACTTTATATTAAATAACATTGGTATTTTAGGGCTATGGCCTTGGGTCTGGTATCTCCCTGTTCATCGCCACAAACATCTGCGAGACCATTGTATGGAAAGCCTTCTCCCCAGCCACAGTTAACACAGGCCGTGGCACAGAATTTGAAGGTGCTGTCATTGCTCTCTTCCATCTGCTGGCTACTAGACAGGACAAGGTTTGTACTATTACTGTACTACATTTTGGAATACAGTAATTTTTCTAAAAAAAAATGCTTGATTTGTTGGGCAAAATATTACATATACAATTGCTTTCACCCTCAGGTCTCTAGCCTTAAATTTTTGTTGTAGTTAATATTTTTACTTTTAAGTTCAATTTAGAAGTCTTGGAGTACAGTTCTGTATACTGTATTTACATTGGATATACAGTACTGTACTTACCTACAGGCTGATCCTGATATATAAATTTTCAGGCAATTGTTTTTAGCCTTTCCTTTGTTATATGAATAAAAACTCCGTTGTGAAGTTTTTTTTCTCCCCACTTGTACTACATACAGTACCTTTCTAAATGGTCACTGATGTTATTCTAGTGTTGCACTTCCCTAACTTGTGTGTTGCCTGTTAAGTGTTGATTTGTATTAATTTTCTTTCCTTTCCTTTGTCAAACAGGTACGAGCTCTAAGGGAAGCTTTCTACCGCCAGAATCTGCCCAATTTGACCAACCTTTTGGCTACTGTCCTTATCTTTGGAATAGTTATATATTTCCAGGTTAGTTTTCTATGTCATTGTGTTAGAATAAAATTGTCAAATTCGTTTTCAGTATGTGGTTTCTTGAATCTTAATCCGAGAAGGTTGGTTTAAGGGAACATGAAATGTTGATGGGCTTCAGATGTAAATATAAGTCTTTGTTGACGTGACAAATGTTAGAAATGTGAATGATACTGTAATAAAAACTTGTTTAATGGTAGAAAAGGAGGGTGAGGATATCTGTTGACAAGTGGAATAGGGTTGATGTTGAGGGCTGATGACCATTTGTATTAACTGAAAGTGGACAGTAATGAAGAATGATGTTTCATCTTTGGTTTAAATAGGTATTTAAAGGGCATAAAATTTTAAATGTCAATATTCAGTGAGACTGGGAACTGATACTTCACAGTTCCCAGTCTTATTAAATGTCAACAATGGTGCTTGTGATTTTACTCCCATTAGATATACAGTATGATTACAGGAGCTTAGATTAGATGTAGGAATTACCAAGCAATGGAGTATTGTCATTAAAATGCTGTGCCTTTATGAAGATGGTATGCAATTAAGAGTGAGTGTGTTGGTGAGATAAGCTGGAAGGGGAAGAACATAGTTATAGGACGGGGTGTACACTTCTGTACCCACTTAATTGGAAAAAAATATTGTACATGTTAAGTACTGCTATGGCCAATTTTTTTTATTTTTTTTTAATATTTTAATCTTGATAAAGTTGCACTTGCTGAAATATAATTACAGAATTCCTTATTTATGTGGATAGTTTCTAATGCTAAACTTCTGTTTGTTAGGGCTTCAGAGTGGACCTTCCTATCAAGTCTGCTCGTTACCGTGGCCAGTACTCATCATACCCCATCAAGCTGTTCTACACCTCCAATATTCCCATCATTCTCCAGTCTGCGCTTGTATCAAACCTCTACATTATATCTCAGGTTTGTAAATTGCCATTAAAGTCGTGCATTGTATATCTTTTGATTATACAGGGTAGGTGTATCCCTCATTTAACGATGGGGTTGCCTTCCTGAGAGAACCTAATGTTAGCGAAATTGCAAAATGTGGGATAGCAGCGAAGCATGAAGGGTAAACAAGTGCAAATGGCAGGGTGATAATACCGGGTACAGTACTGTACTCCTTCCTTTAAATGAGTTCGATAAATGGTTTTGAAATTAAAGGATTGATATATTAACACCAAACTTCTATATAAACGATGTGGTTCAGAGTTAAATGATTGAGCAAAAGGTGAGGCTAATTAAAACAAATTTGAAGTTGCATACATCAAAAATGAAAACAAATTCTATAATAAACAATAAAATTGATATATAGCATATCATAAAATACAGTGGCACATATTTTATGTACAAAGAATAGCTCCTTCCACACACCACCATCCTCTGGGCGACACGACACAGTTCAGCTGGGTAGTCACAGTTGACTAGGACTTGTGTGCCTTGATTTCACATTGGGGGAGGGAGCACACCTAGGCTGGCAAGTCAGCGACGCAGTTACAGCCCACTGCCTCCACACATAAATTAATTTCCCACTCTACACACCCATGCTCTTCATTAGTCTTTTTATATTGCAATTTCTTTATTTCTAAGCCACATAATTGTTTTGTAATGGTTATTCCATGACTTTAATAGTTTCATTGCATGTAACAATGGCAACAGGCCATCTCATAGGCTACCTCATCCCAGAGTGTCAAGCTATCACTTCACTGAATTTTGACCAAACCTTAAGTAAAGGTGTCAATATTATATAAAATTATTAGATATCAACATTAACCATTGTGTGCAGGGCCCCCCCTTCCCGCTTCAATTACCTTTTTGTGCTAGTGCAGGATGATTGGGTTCAAGGGTAAACATTATGCCGTTTCCATTTCCCTTGGACACCTTCTTCTTGTTTCCATTTACTTACCTTTTCAAGTGTGTTTTACAGGTTATTAATGTAAACTTTTCTTTTTGCAGATGTTAGCTGTAAAGTTTCATGGAAACTTCTTTGTTGGTCTCCTTGGTGTGTGGGCAGACACTGGCTCTGGTGGCCCTGGACGTGCTTCCTACCCAGTTGGTGGCCTCTGTTATTACATGTCCCCACCTGAGTCATTTGGCCACATTTTGGAAGATCCCATCCATGCTATGATCTACATTGCTTTCATGCTGGGCTCCTGTGCATTCTTCTCAAAGACCTGGATTGAAGTGTCTGGTTCATCTGCAAAGGATGTACGTAACTAGCAAATTACGATAATATCTTTAGCTTAATTTTGAAAATAAGACATTTCTGAAGCGGTTATTCTTGAGTTAATTAATATTTACAATTAGTTAACAGCCACTTCCTTGTATCTAAAGGTTAAGGATATTGTTGCAGATAATAATGGAGGAGTGCTTGGGAACTGTTGCGATATGGAGAAAAGTTATCAAACCTATTCTGAAGAGCAAATATGAAAGGAAAGCATAGGCTAGAGGGTATTGTTCAGAGGAAGTGATTTAGGTTGTTGGAGGGACAAGATAGAAGATTCAAAAGCTGTTTGTTGTCTCAGTTAATAAGAAACAGCGGGTGTCATTTTAGTATACAGGGGACCCCCTCCAAGTTCATTTATTTTTACTTCTCGGTTATTTGCGGATGACACCCTGGATGTTCCCAAGAATGTCTGTGGGTAGTTTTAAAATTGTCATAATTTTTGCGGTTGGGACAGGGAGCCATTTATTCTAGAGACAGTAATTTCCTTTACCTTTATTGTAATTATGTGTACACACACACACAAAACACGTACAAATAAATAATAATTGGTAAATCCTCTTGCAAATAATCGGAAACAAATTTATTAAAAATGTTTGAGTACCCTCAAGTCTGTGCTCTATTAATAAAGTACTGTAATAGTGAATGGATTTGCGGGTAGACTCATTTTTAATTTGTTTGATCGAGTATTTTCCCATTATTTGTATGTATCTAGACACACACACATACAATACTACAGGCATACATTTCTTTGTACACAAGTTAAAAAATGTGTAGCCTCCTACCCCCCCCCCGGTCCGCAAATGTTCTTAGCGGATTTGGCGATTCGCAGTTGTGTGGTGCCCTTACATTACAGAACTTGTCTTTTCTCATATGTAAGAGTTCAATGGGGTAAAATCAGAAGGGGATATTATAATACTGTTCTTGAAATTTGATTAGAGTTAAGAGGAAATGCTCAGGTAAATTGTAAAGCTTTTAAGGCAGTTAGTTATTGGAAAGATTGAATTAGTTTGGTTCAGAAGAGGTAAAATTTGGTATTGTGCTTTGATTATACAAAATAAGTTCAGAAGATTGTTAATTAGCAAAGAAGGAGGATTCTAAATTAAAGAGACTGTCATTGTAAAGGGAGAATTATCCCGATTATGTAGATGGTTTTAGTGAGTACAGTGAGTTCTGCTATAACGTGTGTTTTGACAACACGAATTGGCTCTAACGCGATTTATGAATAGAGGAACGATATTTGTAAAACTCGAACGCTTGTTTGCTGTAACGTGATTTTTGCTTACTACTACTCCAATTTTGTGGTATTAACTGTGAATATGGTAAAGAAGAATATCTCCAAGAAGCGTTCTGGTGATCGCATTCCCGGTGATGATCGTAAAAGGCTATAACACTTGAAGAGAAATAACCCTTCTCCCCCATCAATTTATATTCATATTTTTTTCAAGGTAAAGTGTTACATTTACTGTATGATTTCATTATTAGATATGAATGTAACATTTATTTAGACTGTGCTATCCTTTGTGTCAGTCTAACTACTAAATTTTTTTCGATTTCGAGTAATCTGCACCTGACCCTGTTTTCTCCATAAGCCCTGTTATTTCTATTGCACGAATTTCTATAACACAATGTTTTGCAAGAACACAACTATTGCGTTATAGCAGAACTGACTGTAACTCATTTTCAAAGCTGAATGATTACTTTTATAACCTTTATGTAAGTTTGGGAATTATACTCTGTATATTGCTTTAAATTTCCTGAAAATCTATATTTTGTATTTGCTTCTTCTAAGCAGTATATCTGTGAAACATCGTTTTTAATTTTGAAAACGGTGGCTGGTTACCAGTAATAATTTGTATAAATTTAGGTTTTTCCCCCTCCAGAAATGCCTTGAAAGTGTAGTAACAAAACTTAAGTGACTAGCAAAAAAAATCATAATTTTACTGTTTTGCCAGGTTGCCAAGCAGCTCAAGGAGCAACAAATGGTAATGCGTGGTCACCGTGAGAAGTCCATGATCCACGAGCTGAACCGTTACATTCCTACAGCAGCAGCTTTTGGTGGTCTTTGCATTGGTGCACTTTCAGTTTTGGCAGATTTCCTCGGTGCTATTGGATCCGGCACAGGTTGGTATTGCTATAAATTAGAAATACTGTACTGTACATCCTTGACAATTACTTAGCATATCGTCGCAATGAACCATATACTATATACTAAATTGAAGCAGTTTCCCATTTAGTAAATTTTTTAATGTTTTGCATTTAAAATATTTGTTACTATAAGCTTGATATGATAGATTTTATAGTAAACAATTAAATTATTGTTTGGCATGATTTTTATTACAGGTATCCTGCTTGCAGTAACAATCATCTACCAGTACTTTGAAATATTTGTAAAGGAGCAGAGTGAAATGGGTGGCATGAGTACATTACTCTTCTAAGCCACTACCTCAGGAATAGCATACTGTATTTAAAGAATTTGTGTACATGTCTAGGTTGAGAAATGAAAGGTGTCCACGGCAGACAGTGGTGGGAAATTACTAGCAGTGATGACCAGTTTTGCACGGCTGGTTGTGGTTTGATATGTCATGATGTAATAAAAGGATTGTGTGATGTTCCTTGTGTCACCTTTGGTTGTAATTTTTATTGCTTAAGGTGTCAAGGTTTTTTTTTATATAGTAGTTGGTGTATTTATTTTTAATTCCTATCGTGGACTAAAGGTACAATAACATGGAATTTGTGTCTGTTCATTTCTAGGATTTCCGTTATTGTTTTGTAAAGTTTACTCGAAGAAATATTTTTTTCATAGACAATGGGTGAATAAGAACCAGCTGTGTTGACAGCACTGGAAGAATCCTAGTATAGTGTTGGAATAGCCAGTGGCATGGTGCAGGAGTGTGCTGTTGCCAGTCGGCTTTATTCTGTGATTGGATGAGTGGTGTCAGTGGATTATTGTATGCAAGGTTTATGTGCAAATGTTTATACTTTTTACAAGTAGTAATAAGGATGTAATAATTCAGAAACAATAAAAAAAAAGAATATTTGAATATATTTTTAAATTGCCTATAATAGGTTACCATTTGTTTCTTAAATTTGGAAAAATATCTTTAAAGCACAATTTAGTGTGGATTGTTAATGTAGCTTATTTGTTAGTCAATCAATTTATGAATCTTAAAACGATCAACTTTGTTGGGAAGATTTGGTTCTGCCCTTTTTCCTATTACGCCATTGACGACTTACATGTGCAACCAGTTTCATCCCTTGACTGTTTTTAATCATCTTTGGTATCAAGGTAGATGTATAACCTGACTAACCTTTGAAAATGGGGGACAGTTACTGTGTATGTGCACTGTGGGATGATGTTCTTTGGCAGCAAAATACATGGTTTGGGATGTCTTTCTAAAAATTTTGTGGGGGTGTTTGACCATAGAGTAACTCGCTAGGAAAGTTGTTAATAATTTGGTCAGTGGAACAAAATGTAATTGCCGATTAAAATATCATTTTACATTTTCAGGTACAGTACTGTACTGCATCTAGCTCAAGGTGTCTGGATAAATTAATCTGATGGGAGCTAATTAGTAAAGTCCTCCCAGAGCAGATCTTTTGTTCTCTTCGGTGCTCCGAATATCTCCCATGCACAGCCCATCAGTCAAACCTGAGGTGTTCTGGTTTCCACTAACTAATCTCTTTAAGTTGGCAGACAAGCAGGTAACTGTAAAAGAATATTTTGATTGCTACTCCTAACACAAGCCTTAACCCACAAATTATTTGCTATGGCAACCATAATTAATGCTGCCTTTTAAAACCTCGGATCAAACCTTATGTACAGGCGGCAAAAAATTATTCTGCACCCCTGGGTGTGATGGCTCTCGCAACGAACCCTGCGACACCGACGCCATGTATTAGTAAGGTTGGTATCTCGGTGATTCATTGTAAAACTAATGTTCTGTTATTCTTTTTATAATGTCTAGTAACCAGAGAAATTATCAGGAATGCATATAAAACCCATAGCACTTAAACCAGATAATGTCACATCATTATATACTATACTGTAGTATTATGTTTAATCGCCCACATACAGTAGGAATGGTAGGCACTCTAGAAACTGGGGTGCTGTAAAGGAATTTCGCATACTATGAGATACAACGAAATTGTGTAAATACTCGTGATTATAACCACTATCTGAGAAAGTGATGAAGTGGCATAGTACAAGACCTCGACCAGAAAAAACAATACAAAACATTTAACAAGTTATGCAATATAACTCATAGGTAACCGAGGGTTGATTATTTTATAAATATACAGGGTAGTTATGATAACTGCTCTATTCGCATCTTGTAACACATTGTGCATGCAGACACACTGAAACAACTTGTGGTAAAGACTATCTATAGAGTAACTGGTAACTCAGGAAGCCAGGGCTACCTACATCCACTTTGAGTCGAGTGTTTTCAGAATTCGTGGTTAAATTTTAAGTTTTGACAAGAACCATTTATTCTTATGTGATAGGTGTCCACGTTTTTTTTTTTTAAGGGAATTATCTCACCCGGGCACAGGTCAAACGAGCCACAACTGGGCCGGGGGGGGGCGAAAAAAAAAGAAAGTTAATAATAAAGAAAAAGGTTATACTGTGTTAATCTCTAATGAAATAACACGGTTATTTTTAATCTATACAAAAACCCTACATCATAGCTGCCTTACTCTGCTACACAGGCTGGAACTTGAGAAAGAGATTTGGTTTATCAGTCTCTTGACCACATTGTATTTCTAAATGCCCTGTTAACCGTCTGGTACTCCTTGGCCATGGCCGGAAATGTCATCCCCTTGCAGTCTTTCAGTACTGACTGTGTTGGTAACAGGAACGGTTTTTCCATTTTTAATGACCATTAGGTGGAGCAATCCAGACCCAAATTGAACCCTTAGAGATGGATCTGCCAACCCACAAGGCTAGTGGGAGGAACTTGGGTAGTTAGTAAGGCCTGTTCACTGCTCTCACATATCTGGTCTGATAAACAGCTGGGCAGAGGGGTTGTCAGCACAGGAGTGCTTAACACAATTTGTGTTGAAAGACCACTAGTCGGTTAATAGTAAGATGCTGGGATATCCCACTGATTATCACCATGTTCCAGGCATAGATATACTGTAATTGATATTCCACCTGGTAACTCCTGCCGGTATGTAACTAGTTGTGGTATGTAAGGTCATCCTATGTTAGTCACCAATGAACTGGATAATTGGTAATCCACTACAAATAATGTAATTGTATGGTGGTGGCTGTAGATGGTTTATCCTCAGTCACACATGTAACTCTAGTAGTGTCAGTTGGAGTTACTTGTAATTTTTGTTTGTAGTTGTTTCCGAGTACAGTACTTAATGTTCACACAGCACTATATGGTTTTCTTATTTATTTACCCAAATATAAACACACTTATAGTGATGAATTAACCCATGATGGGCAACTGTCACTGAACGAAAGAATATAGGAGGTAATTTACAATTGTGAGATACGGGTTCAGTCCACCAAGGGCTGGGCACTTGACCTGTGCAAATCAGAGATGCGTGGAGGACATGTGAGAAGAAAGTGTTGAGCTATGCTAAGTTGCCATTTATCTAGTTAATTCGGGTAATGTAAGCTCATATTTAAAAGTACAGTAATACTGTATGTGTTGACTGCATGGCGTGCAGCAGTCAAGTGGGTTTAGTGTTCTGTTCTGATGGTTGTAGGTTCATGCCTACAAGCTGTGAACATTTGCATAAATTTACAGATGGGGAAGTGAAAGTGGCCAAGTGCACCTGGCATGGGCCTAGGGGACAAAAGAACCTAGAGTAAAAAGAAATTAAAATATAAAAAAAGTTTACCATATATTAATTTACACCATGAAGATGCCAGAAAACCAGCTTTTTGAAGTGAGTCATTGTATGAGTATGGAAACACAGAAGAAAGCAGAGCATTCCACAGTTTGGCTGTGTGAGGAAAGAAGGATGTACTATAACGGGTTATTCTAGTGTAACCGACATCCACAGAGGAACGGTGGACACCGGGGAAATTTTGTAAAAGGGGGAGAGTGAAGCAACATTGTGGCGAAGAAAAAGGGAAGAAAGTTTATCAACTAAGGGAGGAGAGTTAATAAAACGAAATGCCTTTGATTCTAACAGCTGGACAGAAGAAGAGCCACCCCAGATATGAGAGCAGTGCACGAAGTAGGACAAATGAATCCCTTATAAACTTGAAGCAACTGCTCAGGAGTGAAGTAGCTATAGCATCTGTATAGCATTCCCAGCTTTTGGGAGGCAGCCTTAGCAATGTTGTGGACGTGTGGCTTCCATGACGTATTAGAGGAAATGGTGAGGCCTAGCATATCTATTTTAGAATTTGGCAGAATGATTGCATCCTGAAATGTAATTGGTAGATCATGTAATTTGGAAAGTGTAATTGGTAAATGCTGAGTTTTATTACTATTGAATTTAACCAAGTTTCTACCTCCCCATTTGGAGATGCTGCACAGATCTGCATTGATAGACGAAATGATATCAGCTCTAGAAACCGATCTAGTTTGAGAATTAGGGGGAAGGGAAAAATGAAGAAGAGTGAAGAGTAGAATCATCAGTGTAAGAATGGATAGAATTAATCGTAGTGTGAAGTAAATCATTGATAAAAGGAAGGGAGAGAGTACTGTAGGTGAAAGAACAGAACCCTGTAGGACACCACTATTGGTAGAGAAAGAGCAAGAGATCGATCCCTCGACAACAACTGCCATGGATCGGCTTTCAAGGAGGCTAGAAATTAGAGAACGTGGGGGAGAAAAACCATAAGAGAAGTTTAGAAAGCAAAACTTGTGCCATACCCCGTCAAATGCTTTGGAGATGTCAAGGGTCATGACAAAAGTTTCCCCATAATCCCTAAGAGAGGGTATGTAACAATGACAACATGAAAATTATTCAAATTTATATAATATATTGTACATAGTACTGTAGTACAACTCCCCCCCCCGTCTTCCATTTGCATGTGCACCGAAGCAAGTTTCTCTCTTCTTAGTGATATGACAACTGATGACACTACATTCCCTGATAATTTTTATTCACACAATCTTTAAGACATATTGAAAAGTTTAAATACTAGTTTCTCATGTTAAAGATGAACTCTCCTCCCATGATATTAACTACGACTTTGAAAATGCCACCTTTGCCAAAGATGGTTGGGATATTCTGAGCTCCGAAGATAAGAGTCAAGCACTGCCCTGACAGTGATAGCAAAGACAGGCTGGAAGAAAAAATGTTGCTCAATGGTACCAGTGTATCTAAAATGGTAAACACAACCTTCAGAGCAGTTAAATGAAAAAAGCTGTTACCCTCATCATTGGGAGCTGAAATGGTGGAGGAGTTTGTCTTGTGGGTGGTGGTGACAGAGTCTGTTAGCATTCTTGCACATTCCTGTCAGTTTTCATAGCTGTACCTGTTGCTGAAATCCTCTTATCACCACTGGTATTCACTGGCATACTGCTGTTTTCTGTTCTAGAGATTCTGATACTATTTTCTGTAAAGCTGTTGGATGGAATGCAATTTCTCCTTCGTTATTTATAACTGATATGTGGCTGAGGTTGACAGCACTTGCAAGTCCAAGTCCTTCAAAAGAGATTTTGTTCGTAGTATCATCATAAGTAGTGGTTCTTGTTGAAGTAGCACTTTCTACCATTGAACCTCCAATTGGCATAATAGGCTCTGAGGAGCTGTTTCTGAAACTTAACAGTCTTGCTGCTTCCCCAGCTAGTGAATCGTCAGTGGATGTTATTATTGAAGTATTCGTAATTAATTTGTCAGTCACTGTAACATCTGTTGTAGAGGTGATTGGTTCAGCGTTGGAGGTTGATGCTAAAAGGCTCACTGACTGTTGGATCTTCTTTTGTAAGAGTGGCTGTTTCACTGTTAGATGCTGGAGCTGCCAAGTTGAGGGAAGCAGCCCCCACTCCACCAGGTGCTGCATCAACAGCACTGCCTTTTTGCTGCATAAATCAAGACAGAGTTAGGAAATTTCTGCCAATGTGATATAACAATTTAGAAGTATAAATATATCTGCTGCTAAGTTACTTCTCTATCAACACAGAAAACTCATGTCACCCTCAGATTCACAGCCCGTTTAAGTCCTCGACTACGGGTAAGTGATTTGATGGGGGAAGAGGAGGGAAATCAGATCAGTGTTATAGCTTAGAGACGTTTCCGATTTCAAAATGCTAACTCTTTCCACCTGGTTAGTTGTAAGAACCTACCTTCTGGTGACTGGAGGTGGTGAACGACCTGGCCAACGTCCACACTGATGCACACATTGTACACCTGGAATTGGGGTGCCACAGGTCAATGAAGTCAGGAAAAAAGCTTTTCAAGGCTTATGAAATTGATCAGTCAGAGAAAAGTTAACATTTAAATGAGATTGACAAAGACTGAAAATTTTGAGAGTACAACACTGGGTGATACCATGTTCTGTTGACTGAACATCACAGGTAAAAGGTAAGTAACATGCGGGAAGACACTGTACACACTTCAATGATTGATGGGGTGAAGCAAATGAGATTTCAAGTTTATAAGACCCCAGTTATTGAGGAAATGCTCCAGTCCTACAGTCAATCAAGACAGAGATATGCGTATCTGAGGGATCAGTGAAAGTGGGTCCCATAGGCATGACTGCCCATTAAGGTCAGTGTAGGTGCAGCACACTGTATACTAAGCAGCATGGCCGGTACTGCACTCGACTGCCTACACTTTCCCAAGTTGTAAACTTTGGTGCCCATTTACAGCTGGGTGAATGGGAAGTGCCCGGGAATTGACCCTCCATCCCCTGGAATAGGAGGCCAGCACTGTATCCACTTGACCGCCATACTCCTAAAGGAACTGAAGAAAGCCGCCAAAAAATGTCAGTGAAATTGAAAATAAGCAGTACAGTTGTATCGGCTACGGGAATGGAGCAGCAGAGATTGGGGTCAGAAGTACCGATAGCTACTGTACACTGTTACGCAAGGAAGATTACCCCTGTAGAGAAACTGAAAATACCAACAAGTGGAACCTGCTTATTAAATTCAATGCACTAAGAGCCAAGTAGAAACAAGAAGAGGAAAGGTGCTGAAAAAGAAAAAGAATTCATTGAAAAGAAGGTGGAGTTGGAGTAGAATCCACACGTGTGGATTTGTATCTATTAATTAATGGAATGTTTAACCAAAGATGTACCAGTAAATGACTGTTATTAAAAAAAATAATCTCATTTCACAGTTATCTCCTCTACGCAGATAATTTAGCTTTGTGTACGATTTACTTATTGAAGAAAAACACGTAATTTAAAAAAAAATCGTGTGGATTTTTACAGTTGTAATATGAGAGGTTAAAATTATCTAATATGTGGGTTGAAAAGACTGCTATAGTATTGGGATAGGTGGATTAAGTAACTTTCTCTTGAGTTTTTTATTATTTGGCCAGAGAAAGTTATGTTTATTAAGGAAAAATGTGGGGGAACTTGGAAGATTGATACCTGTAGTAAGTAGTGCGGTACAACCATACGTCACTGTCGTCTTTATCTTGAACCAAGCTTGTTAAACCTGTTCCTCCACACCCCACGTATTTGCCCCTCCACAACACACACACCTGCTCCTCCACAACACACACCTGCTCCTCCACAACACACACACCTGCTCCTCCACAACACACACCTGCTCCTCCACAACACACACCACCTGCTCCTCCTCACAACACCTGCTCCTCCCCAACACACACACCTGCTCTTCACAACACACACTGCTCCTCCACAACACACACCTGCTCCTCCCACCTGCTCCTCCACACACACACACCTGCTCCTCCACAACACACACACACCCTGCTCCTCCACAACACACACCTGCTCCTTCACAACACACCTGCTCCTTCACAACACACACACCTGCTCCTTCACAACACACCTGCTCCTACACAACACACACACCTGCTCCTCTACAACACACCTGCTCCTTCACAACATATACACTTGCTTCCCTACAACATATAACACTTCTCGAAAACATATCCACTTGTCCACAACATACAGTCTGTACACCTACTCTTCCATACTATATATATATCTGGTTGGCCACACGATACCCATACACACGTGTTCCTCTACCACCTACAGTAGCCACAGAAACTACTGTATATACTTCGCTAAGTGGTTCGTCGTTGCTAATAGTACACACGGTCCATATATACAGGTAACTCCCAATAAGATGGAATGTTTCTTATTTCAATTAATGGGTCATGTACTGTACCAAGAAATCTTTTTATTCCGTCAATTTAGTAGCGTGCTTGTTGTATACTATCACCGTAACTTATGGTTGAATGTTATCTTATGCAATTTTGGTATAACTGCAGTTTCAGACAATATGGATCTCGAGTTGAGCTATGTGTTTTTCCGATGGTTTAACAATTTTAAGATATATATATTTTTTTCTTTGACGTTTCCCTCGCAAATTAATGAACTATACCGTGGAGCCTTAGGAGGTTAGGTAAGATAATATTAGGTTATTTGCGACGGAAACATCATAGAAGAAAAGTGTCTTAAAACTGTCTAAACCATCGGAAAAAACACATTGCTTAACTACTAGGGCGTATTGTCCGAAACTGCAGTCTTAACGCAATTTTGGTTATTCTACTTGTCTTCACCTTTAGTAGGAAATGAAACACTGCAGAGATTAATTAGCTGAAAATTTGTCAATACTTGCCAGAGTATAACATGGATCCATCTCAAGTGGGTGTACATTCCATCAGCAGTGAGTCAAACTTGGTACTCGAAGGGGTACTATAAGCGATCCTGGGAATACTGTACTTGAGAGACGTCTGAGGGTGGAACTAAGGTCGTCGGCCGGCTGCTCTCTGGCCAGTCTATCCCAGGACAGCAACAACAGCGGTATGTAATATGACTAAGTTGTTGACAGAAGTAGGAAGGGCAAGACAAGAACTGGGGCTGTTTCCTGTAAACTTTACCCCCAAGCAAAGACGTGAATGGAACAATGAATAAAAGCATACAATATTGAGGCCAGTGAAACGTTAAGAAGTTATGAAAATAAAGTTCACCATTAACCAAAATATCAAACTTTTTGGTCTTCATTACATCAGGGCCATTATTTGCCATCACTGTGATCTGCCTGACGATTATTATCACCGCAGCAGTCCCACTTACATAATGCTTCCACTATATAATTAGGATGAGTGATGCTCCATTGCCTCTCTACACAAGGCAGCAACATAGACGTGTGTGTCTCTAGTCTGTAGTTCACGTGGCAGGCAGAGTGACCAATATGGTATCCGGTTATCTGGACATTTTCATATACAGTATTCCGTTTATTGAGTGGGTTTAATTACAAAGAATATCATTTTGATTTACCAGCTAATAAAAGATGAGGATTAGTTCAGATATATAATTATTCCCATGATAAAATATAAGAGAAAAGATGAATGAGCTATTTGTAGTGTGAGTAAGGAAGGTATTCAAGGCAGTGTGTATGTGTGTGTGCTTGAACAGACAGAGGCTGATGTATTGCTTCTTGAGACACCCAACCGCCTCACACTCTTCTCGACTCTTATTTTCGTGCCAAAAAAAAAAAGAGCCTTTCGAGAACACATTCACACACACACACTTACAGTAGTGACTGTGCGTCGTAATATTTCAGAGGCGAATCAGAGAAAAATATAGAATGTGGTGACGATATGGCAGCGTGTGTTGATATCAAGTCAACGGTGCTTATGTCCTGCCTCTGACCTACAGATACTGCTGCTGTCGCTGTTCCCGCCATTACCAGTTGTGTCCACAGCTGTACTGGTGAGGATCATGAGCTGTGTGTTGGTAGCGGTTGTGTGGGTGGTCGCTTGGCAGGGTGTACTTCCCGCCAGCGTTCCCCAGCAGGATGACAGCGACTTACCAGGAAACACCGTGTTCAACCAAATTGCTCTGGCAGAGATACTCGACGAATTCAGGAACTACGCTAAAGGTAATATGAAATGCACTTTCAATAGTTACTTAATGTTCAAATATCTTGGTGAAATTTATAGTGAAAGTGCCAAAGGGAAATTGTGTCACCCCTACGCTTAATCAACAATTTCATAGACGTATGATAAAAAAGTCTCAAGCCATCTTTCAAACAACCAGATTTACTCAAACTGAAACTTTCCGCGCGATTATATATATCCCAGGCGGTGGGTTGGGTTTATTAGTTTTCATGTATAATTTGGAGTCAAACGTACAGGATATACAGTTGATAACTTTCCATATAAGGATGGAGAATGTATTAATAATATAAATCCTGAACCATATGTAATTACCCTACAGTTAAACGACCTTGTCCCTTTCCCTTTCGAGGTTCTCCGGCTATCTCAGTAGTCTGTCTTAGGGGTATGGAATGTTTGGTCAGTACTTATAGAGTTGAACAATGATCATAACAAGCAGTATATTCAACAAAGATTCCTGAGGCAGCCAGATGGTCCTCACACACACAGTCAATGAACAATTACATAATGCAGATAGGCGACGGGAAGCTGAGTTCATCGTACAACTAACGCAGAGAACAGGAATTAGTATTGCTTTCATATGTTTGTAAGACTTTATTCCAATTCCATTTATCGTCAAATTTACGGCTATTTTCTCATTCTTTATCACACTGTCACATGTCGAGTAAGTTTTCGGGCACTATATTGACACAAAGTTTGTTGATTTATCTCGGATTGTTCACCTGCGTCTGACATTTTCAGTAAAGCTCCAACGAGTTCCTGTGAGGTGTTAAGAGAATTTTGCCCCCTTTTTTTTTCTCGCTGCGTCACTCTTGGAAACATCTGGGAGGTGCTCGTTAATAGACAGCAACGAACAGTGCAATATTGTACTGTGAATTGTTTTTAGTAATAGAAAAGATAGAAGGTCAAGTCGCATGAAAAGACCAGACTGAGTCCTGGTATCATATTTACCAATGTCTTATCACAATGCTGATTGTTCTTGTTTCCGATTATGTTCTGCCTAAAGTTTTGGTGAATTATTTTGTAAGAGTATTAGACTCCACACACAATGTATTAAAGGGGATAAAACTAGTTTAACATTTTGAGATGCAGAACCCTGTTGAATTACCGGTATTCAAATTAATATCGGCGCCTCGACCTAACAATTACATTGGTATTAATTAACCCGGAGGCTTATGCTTACAGGCGCCTCCGAGACGAGGAGTAACATGGACGACGTGGTGACGTGGCTGACCACCCACCGTCAGCAGCAGGACGATGTAACTCAAGGTCAGTTTCTGCTTCACCTACTTCTGTTAAACTACTCTTGACAGTGTAAGTTCCCTTCTCTCTCGGTCTCAGCTCCTGGTGAAGAAGGTTGTCAGGTGACCCCAGGTAAGTCTGAGCTGTGTTCACATGAAGCAACACACACCTGTGTCACTTATAGCATCTTCGGTTGTGTCCTGGTGTCATATCGATGTACTGTACTATATCTATGTGTCCATCAACAGAAATAACTGTACCTATGCCTTATTACCTAGGCGATGTGCGCCCATCCCCCCACCATTTAATAACATCATAATTACGTATATTGTTGTATCCTGTCCTTTCCCAGTGTCCAGATTCTAAAAAGTGTGCAAGATAAATATTCCTTGTGAGTGAATATGTAGAAATTAAATGGTTGACTTAATATAAACCACACTGTTGCAGAAATAACATACAGATTACACTGGGACTCTTACCTTAACATAACACCAGGAAGGAGGAGGAGGAGGAGGAGGGATAAACAATTCTTTCCTGGTGATTTTCTTCCATTTTCTACCTTAATTGTTCTTAGGTAATGTGTAATGTTGATGATATTCTTGGATTTTATTTTTGTGTTTTAACTTAAGTCAAACAGTTATGTGCAGATTTTTGTCTACGAGGAAAATTCATCTTACGAACCTTTAAGAATTTGCCCCTTGTACTACATGTGTCTTTACGTTTGCAGAGCTACGACAGGTGTCAGCAGGTGTGAAGAGCCTGAGTCAGCAGATATCCACACACCTGCAGCAATCACATCCAACAGGTACTACTCTCACTGTACTTTTATACACCTGTCCCGTGAGTGTGATTACTATGTTGATATATACCAAAGCAGGTGTATGCTAGCAAGTGTGTGACGACAGGTGTGTGCTTGTAGGTGTGTGACGGCAGGTGTGTGATGGCAGACGTGTGCTTGTAGGTGTGTAATAATAATAATAATAATAATAATAATAATAATAATAATTAACGGTTTATTAAAAAAGTTTGCAGCCCGAAGGCTGAAAATATACATTGGACACAAATGACTTATTACATACATTGGTGGTTTAACAAAAGCCTTCATTAGAGAAAGGTGAAGGAACATACAGTGAACATACAGATTAATGTTTACACACGTAGATCATGTAAGCTGAGGTGTGATGGCAGGTGTGTGCTCGTAGGGGTGTGATGGCAGGTGTGTGCTTGTAGGGGTGTGATGGCAGGTGTGTGCTTGTAGGTGTGTGAGAGCAGGTGTGTGCTTGTAGGTATGTGAGGGCAGCACTCCTGTTTACACCCAACCCCTATTGCTCATATATCCATCCAACCTATGGATGAAGCTATCCAGCGTATTCGAGCTAATGGTGCTGTTTGGTAACTTGTTCCACTCATCCACTACTCTATTTCCAAACCAATGTTTACCTATCTCTCGCCTAAATCTAAATTTGTATAATTTAAAACCATTGCTACGAGTTCGCTCCTGGTTGGATAATTTAAGTACCTTATTTATTTCACTTTTGTTTAACCCTGACTTCCATTTATGCACATCAATCATATCGCCCCTCACTCTACGTCTGTCGAGGGAGTGCAAATTCAGATGGTTTAATCTGTCACTATACTCAAGGTTCCTAATGCCCGGGATTTGCTTTGCCACCCTTCTCTGTATGCTTTCTATTTTAGTGTCGTCAGCAAATTTACTTATGTTGCGCCCATATCTACTGCACACCTAATGAAAGGTGTGCGTTAAAAGGTGCGTGATGACAGGTGTTGATTAAAACGTAATAGGTATGTGTATAATGAAAGGTGCATACAGATACAGGCAGGTGTGTTCAGGCAGGTATATTGAACCTTTATAGTTCACACACACACCTGCAAAACTAAAGATTATAAATACGATAAATATTGCTCAATGCTTTATTATTATTATTATTATTATTATTATTATTATTATTATTATTATTATTATTATTATTATTGTTATTATTGTTGTTGCCTATGTTGTTGTTGTTGTTGTTGTTGTTGCCTTTGTTGTTGTTGCTGTTAATTTCAATAATTATTATGATGGTGTAGTTTGAGCAGCGCCTCTCGTCATGGTGACAATAAGTCGTGTATACTGTTTGTTGTGACTTAGCGCCGAGAGTCTTGTAAGCGTGTAGTGGTGTGGCAGCGTTTAGTGTCACTCCGAGAAGTAGATTTCATAAACGAGAGCTTTTTCTGATCTGTACAGTATTACCAGACTTCTAATTCCTATATACCATAAAAAGAGTTTTAATGATATGTAGAACGAAGGGGACTGAAAGTGGCCGGACAAACTGAAGACACTACATTTATGTTTTGAAAGATATCATGTTTTTTACGAAATACGAACATACAGGTAACACGTACGGTTATGACTCTTCCTGCAGACGTGCTGACCACAAACACCAACACGGAAGACCTACTCCAAGAAGTCACCCTCCGGGAGACTCAGCTCCTCAACCTGGAGACTGAGAACAATCGCTCTAGAGCAGAGATCCAACGGGTGGACGGAGAGATCTCTCAGCTCCAGGTGGAGACCAACGAGATAAAGAACAAGGTCAGCCAAGTAGGGGATGAGGTCAGAGAGATGAACGAAGAGGCCAACCAGGGAGAGACAGAGATCCAGCAGCTGAGTTTCAAGATAGAGGAAGTGAAGGCCAACAACGTGCAGATGAAGGGCGAGTATAACAGAACGGTGCAAGAGACGACCCTCCTGAAGGAGAACAACCAGGTGTTGGGGGAACGCAAGAGAATGATAGAAGAGAAGAACACAGAGCTTCAAGAAGAAAATAAACAGAAAGAAAAAAGAGGCACACAGTTGAGAGAGGAGAATGACTTGGTGGAACAGAGAAAGACTAAAGCCGAAGAGGAGAAGGAAAAATTAAATCAAAGGAAGACAGAGCTGGTGGAAGAGAAGAGACAGCTTGAGATTAAGAATACTCACGACGAAGCACTGAACATAATGTTAGAACAGGAAATAGCACAACTAAAGAGCGAACAAAGAAAACTGGAGGAGAAGAAGGCGGAGGGAGAGAGGGAGAATGAGGTGGTGGAGGGAAGGAGGCAGCAGCTAGAGGTGGAGGCGGAGAGGCTGGAACAGGAGGTAGACGACTTGATGGCCGTCGTGAACGATCTGGCGCCAAGGTCGGGGGAATGTTAGCACCAACCAACACCATATTGGCTGATGCACTTCAGTAGTTGTGTGAAGATGTCCAGTCACTCATAAAAGTCTTCTCGCCTCTCCTCCTGAGTTACGAGTGTCTACTGCTTCGGGTTCACGAGTCTGAATTTCGGGGTTCGTGGAGCAACAGGAGAGGTGACAGGACTTTTGTGGGTGACTGTACACTGTACAGTCCGTAAAAAAAATGTATCTTTCGGGAAGGGTCCAATGAATTTATAACAGAATAATCCTGTTGTCTCGCTAGGGTTGGTAGGCGTGACTGTGAGACATTTCCTACCTATTCTGGTAGGCCTAATTTAGTTACTTCATTTGTAATATACAATTATTTCGTTGCAATATGATTGATCATGACTACCAATAAGCCTCGTGGGCCTTTATCAAAAACGTTCGTTCGTGGTGTCATTTTGTTTCGCACAAAAATTGGAAAGATAGCGTTTCTTTGCCGAGTGTACTGTACCTGTACCATTCTACCGCTGAGTGAGACTGCAAGTGCTACCAGGAATGATGTAATAAAACTGCATATGAGACCAATGCGAGTAGCCATTACTGTGCAGACAAACCCAACCTGGCCAGAATGTCATCCGTGATAATAATAACGATTTTTTGTCGTTGATATGACGGGGATTTTTGTATTGTTTCTGATATCCAATAATGTTAAAGTTTCTCCAGCTTAGATCCAGTTGTCGAAAATCAAGCGTTACATTGAAAAACTGATGAAAAGTGTACCCAGCCTTTGAGTGGTGCACCAAGGAGTGTAAAAAAATAAAACACAAATTTCAAAAGGGCGCTAAATAAGCCTTATTTGTTACATTAAAGTCTGCTATGATTTGTAGGTCCCAAGACTCCCCTCCGTTACCCAGTTAAAGTTGTGTGACAGGTGGGTGTAGAGGTGACGGAGGTGTGTAAGCGAGGCCACAGGACAAACGTGAGACCAAGCACAGCTGAAACTATTTCTATCATTATCAGTTAGTCATTATTTAAATCTTTGCATAGACTTGAATATTAACTAATTGTCATAATTATCATACATTTTTAAATCTTAAATTTCCTTATTAGAAATATTGTTACTAGTATCACCATTCTTTATTTGTTCACAGTAGTTAAAATGTCATCTGTGAATCATTATGCAACACATTGTGAAATATATCTCAAGTTTATTAACAGTTTTAATAATCCCAAACTCCTCTGGTGGTCAGATAGTGAGGCTCCTGGAGGAGAAATGTTACTGTCATCACCGACAGTTTCCAAACCTTGTCAATCTCTCTCTCACACACACACATGTACGGTACTTTAAGTAGGACTTAGGTGCTCAAAACAGGTCCAAACACTAGATTATAACAATCCAAATTTAAAGAAGGTAAATTGTCTCAGTTATATACGGTAAGTGTAAAGGCGTTATTGCTGATGTTATAATGTATTACTGCGCTTCAACAATTAAACAACTATGGTCTTTAAGCTTGTAGTCTAGTAGAGTTCATAAACACTATCAATAGTACAAGATTGTAAGGGGTAGATTTATTTAAAGACATGTTATTACAATGTATTACTGTGCTTCAACTAATCTGGATTAGTAAATACACTAGCCATCAGCAATTAATAATTATGAGAGATGCATATTTCTAATTCATGCCGCTGTTGATCGACATTCAGACACCGTAGTGCTGTACACTGTCCTGCACAGCGACAACACTCGTACAACAATTCGGTTAATCGCGAAGATCGTCCAGAAGGATGCAGTTTAGTTTCGTCTAAAGTGGACAGGTGACCCTCGGTGCCAGTGTTAGTATGGAAGGTCTTTCTTGATTTTTTTTTTAAGTTGTCTGTCGAGGGTATGAAATACGACTCGGGAGGTGGCGCTCCCAGATGCTGACCGCTGAAGCACCTAAATTCATTGACATAACAATTCTGTGTAAACCAAAATAGATTAGTTTATACCATTTGTCATATAGGAGTTCTGTGTTGTAAATAACTTACATATATCTGTTCCTCTCGTATAGCTTACGTCTTATTATTACACCATTGTGCAGTATTTTAGGAGTGGGGGGTGAGGAGACCTACCGCCTCAGACCTAAATACTCGTAGTTACTGGGTTTCATAAGTATTACGCTCACTTATCTCTGTTGGTCAATCCTCCTCCCCCTTCACTCACCTCACCAACTCCCTACGAAAACTCTTACATAGTTTCATGGTAGTGTGTCCCGGTCTCCTTACCCCTCCTCTCTGCCTCTTATCTGTCATTTTACAGAACACAACAGCTGTGGGAACATGGTGGATGTGTTACGGAGAGACATACTCCTCCGTGACTCAGTGATCCGGCGACTCCAGCTTGACAAAACCCTCCTGAACACTCAGTCTGTGGACGCGTTCGAGAAAGCCAGTTACGTGAGGAACGAGAGGCAGCAGGTGCTGGTTAAGTTACAGATGATGGAGGAGATACAGCAACAATTCAAGGTGAAGGTAGAAGAGGTGAGAAATATGATTCTCAGTTTGAGGGTTGAGCTTGAACATGTAGACCTATTAAACGAGCATCTGAAACAGCGGTTGGGGTTGAAGACTCACGAGGCGCTCCTCGAGAAAGGAAGAAGCCTTCATCTAGAGACGGCGGTGGAGCATCTGGAGCACAAGACCAGGGAGCTTGAAGAGGAAAGAGATCAACGTGAACAAGGCAACAGTGACCTGCTTCATGCACAAGGAACGCTGGAGGAAAACGCTAAAAAAATCGAGAAAGAGTCAATGGAGCTGGCAGAGGAATGCACACAGCTGGAGGAAACAATACAACAGCTGAAAATTAAGAGTCAAGAAATAATGGTGAGGAATGAACAGCTGGAGCAAACGCACAGCAACATTACCAAAGAAAACCAAGACTTAATAGAGATTATAAGTAACGTAGAAGCCCAGAGGATGGCGGTGGAGGAGAGGAACGAGGCGCTGTGGACGAATAAGGAGGCGCTGGCACAATACACTGACAAGCTCTCTGGTCAGATCCACTACTACGAGTCTGGGCCGTGTTCCTGAGTGTGAAGCGCGTGTAGAGTGGCTGGTTGGTCTTGTTAAGCGTCGTCAACCAGTGTTTTGAGTCTCCCCCAGACCACTGTGTTGCATGGCATCTGTGTAGGATTACACCTCACTGTGAGAAATACCTCGAGTGTACGATGCCTCACAACTTGTAGTGTAGTAAAGTTCTGTCATTTTTCTATTGAGCTGAAAGGCTGTGTACTATTTTCAACTCACTTATTAGGCTCAAGTGTTCGTGTAGTACAACTTGCAACATCTTTATATTTTGGACTCAAATTTGTTGAGTGTAGATCTGCACAACTTATAATATAATATTCCCAGTTGGCTGTGTATCTCTGTATAGTTGTTGTGTTTGGTACAAGTACCTCTCAGAAAGTCTCAAACTTTCCTCTGTATAAAGTCAGGTCACAACAACTCCGGGAGTCTCGCTGCTTCTCACTAACAGACACAATAAACCTCCACAAGGTTGACTCTTATATCTTGCCCACTGTTTATGTTTAGGTCCGGTTAACAACAATGCTTAGAGTGTTAATGATACCAAAGACGAGGACTTGCATTTATTTACAGATACAATTACCATAAGTATAGTGAGTAGATCATATATACAGTATATATATATATATATATATATATATATATATATATATATATATATATATATATATATATATATATATATATATATATATATATATATACTGTATAACACCTAAAGGCGTAGCCACACGAACGGAAACTTTGTTGGGAGCAATGTTTCAGACAGTTCGGTAGAAGCTGTCAGCATTGTTGGCAACAACTTCAGGCACATGGATGCATCAATGTTTGTATCACTGTTGGCAAATATGTGGGCCTTAGAGGTGGCACCATTGTTGGAAACTATGGTGAAGTAAACAGTCCACACCAGCAGTACCAACATATTGCCTACCAATGTTACCACCATATGCGGGAAGCATCTCTATTGCTCGAAATGTTCCCAACACTATTGTTGCTAACATTAACGTCTACTTGTTCAACAGATGTTACCGTTAGTGTGGCCGTGTGTCTACATAAGAACATAGGAATGGAGGAAATTGCAGCGGGCCTATTGGCCCGTACTGGGCCTATGTTTGAAGCTATCCAGCGTGTTCGAGTTAATGATGATGTTTGGTAACTTGTTCCACTCATCCACCACTCTATTTCCAAACCAGTGTTTACCTATCTCAGTCACAAACCATGTTACCGTTAGTGTGGTCGCATCTTAGTATGAACTTCGTGTACCAAATTTCGAGACCACTTTAAATACTAAATTAAAATGAATTATCAGAAGTAACATCCGTAATAATAATAATAATAATAATAATAATAATAATAATAATAATAATAATAATAATAATCTGAGACCTAATCTACCCTGTATATTATCTTGATAACCATATTAAAAATTATACCCGGAGTAATCTATAGTTGTCTTGAAAGGTATCTTAAGAAGACACCTTAAAAATTAATTTTAGTTTTCTTTAATTCTCGTTGAAATTGTCTCGTAAGTTAGGAGTATATTAAAATTGTCTCCATAAATTATTTTTAAAATGCCCAGCAAACCATCGTAACTGCTATCAATTGAATTAAGTTTTTAGTTGTCGTCTTGATGAGACTACCCTTTGATGTTATAAAGTTTCTTTATAAGTCACCATCAGAAGACATCTCCAGTGGCTGGATGGCGTCACTGGGTCAGGCTAGAACAAGTGCACCAGTTTCTCCACTGCCAAGATAATGGTGCTCACCGCCAGCCCTGTTGAATGTAATAAATATCGTGATACAGTGTTGTATCTCTCAATACGTAGAACTTGTATATATATTTTTTACGGGACTAGCCCACCAGGGCACAGGTAAATTTTCGCCTGGGGGGGGCGAAAATAAAATATTAATAATATTAATAATAATAATAATAATAATAATAATAATAATAATAATAATAATAATAAATTATAAAAAATATTAAATAATATAATATAATAATAATAATAATAATAATAATAATAATAATAATAATAATAATAATAATAATAATAAATTATAAAAAGTATTAAATAATATAATATAATAATAATAATAATAAAGGACGACAGATAAATCAAGAGAAAAAAGATAAATAGTGAGAAACGATATATATATATATATATATATATATATATATATATATATATATATATATATATATATATATATATATATATATATATATATATATTAAAGTATATATATATATATATATATATATATATATATATATATATATATATATATATATATATATATATATATATATATATATATTGTGTTGTCAAAGTATATATATATATATATATATATATATATATATATATATATATATATATATATATATATATATATATATATATTGTGTTGTCAAAGTAAGAGAAACAATTGAAACCCTGTAATTGTGTGTAAATGAGGCAGAATATCTGATCAGCAATCTGGGAGTTGGTCACAATTTTTGTGATGCCAATATGTCAATTGCATTTTATTATTATTATTATTATTATTATTATTATTATTATTATTATTATTATTATTATTATCATTATTATAAACGTATGACTACTTTTAAAAAAAAATTCATTACTTGCCAGACGTAAGATTGAATACGTCAACAAGTATAAAGTTAACACCCTAATATATGAGGCAGCAAACCAGGGCGGAACTGGAATGTGTGCCATGACTTACCATGTGCGGGCTTACAGGAATAAATAGTGTATGGGGTTGGGTACACAAAGGCTCACCTACTACCAGGAGGAGGAAGATGCCAGCGAGGTCAGTGAGAGAGAGGACGAGGGTGATGATGCCGCGCTCCTTCCCCGGGGGCAACATACACAAGGTGGCATTGGAGGTGAGCTCGTCTAGGTAGCGGTTCACCAAGCCAGACTCTCTCATCATCATCAGCCTCCACGAACAATCATGAAATGGAAATAGACGGTAACGATGAAGTTGAAAGATCACGTATAGCACAGCGCCACAACACTCGTTCACTCTCATTTTTCTTAATGTTCACACAAACATCCTTCAGGAAGCTACTGTATTCTCTGTATGGTTACATAATCCTGGTATTTTAATTGTGAACCGTTTTGTATAATTATTAGCCGAGTCAGTCAGGTGTGAGAAAATAGGCCTGTTGATTCATTCGTTTTCCTCTCGTCCCGCGACCATCACCCCACGCTGTCACAGGTTTAAAGTTTAGATCTTTTATAGATGATGTTTGTGAAAGCCAAGTGTAGGGTGACTCACCACTTGTTGAAGTGCTGGACGATGGGGCTGCCCTTGGTGAAAGTGAAGGCCATGGGACAGGCCCAGATCACTTCCGAGGCGATGTAGTAGTTACACGTCCCAGTCGCACTGTAGTCGTCGCTCATCACCTGCCAGGCACCAAGTAATGACACTGAATTTATGTTGTAATGTAATTCATCTTCTTACACACCTGATGTCAAAAACAGAACATATCTCAATGCTTGTATCATGAAATTGATAATAGTAACAGTATATTTATTTCAGTAATAAAATTAATATGAATAGTGATTATTTAGGGTACCGTAGTCTGTTCAGTATTCCGAAGATGAAGATTATTGGGCGTTTCACCTGTAATCTTACACTGACCATCGCCTCACCTGCTTCATGGAGAAGAAGTCACAAAGGAGGGCGAACCTCTCTGTCTTTATCCGCTCCTTCTCCTCGAACAGACTGGTCACCAGGAAAGCGCCTTCGTGGATCTTCTTCTGTATTCCTGATTTGGCGTCCTGCATCGTACCAAGATCATGTTGACGTGTCATAAAGTTGGGAAAACTCTCTCTCTCTCTCTCTACACACACACACACACACATTTATATATATACATATATATATATATATATATATATATATATATATATATATATATATATATATATATATATATATATATATAAATCTTACCCCAAACAGCTGGTGGAGTGCAGTGCCGTATTCTACGGACCACGGGAGCCGGCCGTAGTCAACCAGGTTCTGGAGAGAGTCGACGGGCACGGCGACGCGGGGCACGGCCAGCAAGGAGGTTAACACGCCTTGGTACGCCGAGCCCAGGATGAGACCCGCCACTAGCCACGCCCCCAGCAACACGCGACCCGTCAGCGACGTCGGCAGCCTGTCGACGGCTGTGTGGAGGGTGACATTAGGAGGACAGACGCTCCAGGCCTCAAGGGAAGCTAAAACTTTCTAATTATATCAGCTTGTGGGGGCCTGAATGTTTGTTGCTGTCCATTTTCATTACCGACTTTGTTATTATGGAAAACTCGTCCTGTTGAGTTATAGAGTTAAACTTAGAGTTTGTGCGCATGTGTATGGCTTAGAATAATGAACAAATAATTGAGACTATGAAAGTATTTTTGTGAACATAAAAACAGTGGACAGGGATTAATGAAACAGGAACAAAGTTTTTTTGTCTCTCACGCTTCACGTCAGCGGGTTTATTGATAAATTTAATTCTTTCCTTCTTTTTCCCCCCCTTTCATTTTTAATCTTTTCTATATAATTTACCTTTGTTATATCCATCATTCTCAACAAATTATTAAATTCAAACTCTATTTTCTTCGTACTTCCATGCTAAGTTGTTCTTCGACGAACACAACCTTCCGACGTACACAGCCCTCCAGCGTACACAACCCTCCGACGTACACGAACCAACGTACACGACCCTCAAACGTACAAGACTACCAGGCTTTGAGATGTTGATTTTTTTTTACTCATCATTTGGATCACGTAAAGATTTAATTCACCCAGTTTATTTCACCTGATGATTAACACCCAAGTGCTCTCTGAGGGGATTACGTTAAGTTAGGATAGGTTAAGTTAAGTTAGGTTAGGCTAGGCTAGGTTATATTAGGGTATGTTTGGTTAGGCTAGGTTAGATTAATTTTGTTATGGTGCCTAATGTTCATGTGATCCGTCCATTTACTTCGTGTTGATTCCGTCTTCGTCACTCTATCTCTCAGTGTCTCCTCCTCACCAAAAGTACTCATATTCCCTCTCCGGTAATTAGTACTCAGCCTCCCCCTCTGGCGATATGTACCCACCCTCCCCCTTCTGCAGTAGGTACTTACGCTCCAAAAGCAGAGCCCTCAGGAGCCAGCTGGGACGGAAAACGTAGCCTTCCTTGACGCCTTGAGTACCTGGGAGGCGCCACCTTTCCGTCACCCAGTTGGCGAACACTCCAAGAACCACACTGGCCGCAATTACCAGCAACAGAGTCACCCACACCTGCCAGGCGAAGGAACGGGTGCCTAATAAGAATTCCGTCTGGATGAAATTTCAACGCCATATTCGATACTTTACTGTACGGCTCTTTGAGACTCAGAGTTTAGATAATGGGTTTAATTCCCCACAAAGGTGTTCCTTATTTGTTATTTTCATCCTGACACAACAAGCCGTACAGGTACAGTCTTAGTACAGCTTCAACGCCATATTAAACTGACTTCTGCTGTTTCGTAACTTAAGTGAGCCAACCTAAGCTGGTTCTTACATCTCAAATTAAGAGACAATTTAGCCTTTGAACTTTGGAGAATCTGGAGTCAACTGTGTGGACCTTTAGCACCTGTCTAATGCTGCAACTGAGCACTGTAGCACTTACAGGTCACTGTAGTAATAAGAGGTCACTGTGATGCTAAGAGGTCACTGTAGTAATAAGAATGTCACTGTGATGCTGAGAGGTCACTGTAGCAATAAGAGGTCACTGTGATGCTGAGAGGTCACTGTAGTAATAGAGGTTAATGTAGTAATAGAGGTCACTGTAGTAATAAGAGGTCACTGTGGTAATAAGAGTTCACTAGTAATAAGAGGTCACTGTAGTAATAAGAGGTCACTGTAATGCTGAGACGTCACTGTAGTAATTAGAGGTTACTGTAGTAATAAGAGGTTACTGTAGTAATAAGAGGTTACTGTAGTAATAAGAGGTTACTGTAGTAATAAGAGGTTACTGTAGTAATAAGAGGTCACTGTAGTAATAAGAGGTTACTGTAGTAATAAGAGGTCACTGTAGTAATAAGAGGTCACTGTAGTAATAAGAGGTCACTGTAGTAATAAGAGGTCACTGTAGTAATAAGAGGTCACTGTAGTAATAAGAGGTTACTAGTAATAAGTAATAAGAGGTTGTAGTAATAAGAGGTTACTGTAGTAATAAGAGGTCACTGTAGTAATAAGAGGTTACTGTAGTAATAAGAGGTCACTGTAGTAATAAGAGGTTACTGTAGTAATAAGAGGTCACTGTAGTAATAAGAGGTTACTGTAGTAATAAGAGGTCACTGTAGTAATAAGAGGTTACTGTAGTAATAAGAGGTCACTGTAGTAATAAGAGGTCACTGTAGTAATAAGAGGTCACTGTAGTAATAAGAGGTTACTGTAGTAATAAGAGGTCACTGTAGTAATAAGAGGTTACTGTAGTAATAAGAGGTCACTGTAGTAATAAGAGGTTACTGTAGTAATAAGAGGTCACTGTAGTAATAAGAGGTCACTGTAGTAATAAGAGGTCACTGTAGTAATAAGAGGTCACTGTAGTAATAAGAGGTCACTGTAGTAATAAGAGGTCACTGTAGTAATAAGAGGTCACTGTAGTAATAAGAGGTCACTGTAGTAATAAGAGGTCACTGTAGTAATAAGAGGTCACTGTCGTAATAAGAGGTCACTGTAGTAATAAGAGTTCACTGTAGTAATAAGAGGTCACTGTAGTAATAAGAGGTCACTGTAGTAATAAGAGGTCACTGTAGAACTGAGACGTCACTGTAGTAATAAGAGGTCACTCTAGTGCTGATAGGTCACTGTAGTAACAAGATGTCACTGTAATACTGAGAGGTCAAGCGTCACAGCACCTCCAGGGCGAGAGGTTTAGTGAAGCCAGCTAGATCCCGCTCCTGACGCGGCCGAGGGAGGAAGATGCCGAAATTGTCGATATAGAGTGGCACGGAAAAGTCGATGACCTTTGACCTGATGTAAGTGATGCTGAAAGGTCCCAGTGCCATGTCCACCTCCTGTAGTGAAATTCCTTTATTATTATTATTATTATTATTATTATTATTATTATTATTATTATTATTATTATTATTATTATTATTATTATTATTATTATTATTATTATTATTATTATTATTATTATTATTATTATTATTATTATTATTATTGTTGTTATTGACGCTAATAACGGGCGACTACCTACCTTCCTCTGAATCATGCCGATCATTCCTGTGGTTGAACCATTTGGTAAGAATCGTCCCCATTCTCCATCCACGGACTTGATCACTGAATACCTGCCAGATAACATACGCCTGAGAACACTAACACATTGCTAAGGGTGTCCCAGAAAACTGTATACACACTACTCTACGGATTTTTGTGGATGACGCGTTAATGTTCGTATTTACAGGAGCAACATTGTTCCTCACTTGTAGGAGATCTCGCATATCATCACTGTGGACAATGTTGTTGTAATAGAAGCATTTGTGCGATATCCATTGACTTTTGTAGAGAAAGGTGTATATATATATATTTTTTTTTTTAGACATCTTCTATATTAACACGCGTGCATACACTATTTAATAAAAGAATAGAAATACATACATCTACACTCACATAAACACAGAAATACACACACAGTCACACTCACATAAACACAGAAATACACACACACACACACACACACACACACACACTACATCCTTGACCACCGTAAGGTCAAGACCTATTTGGGCGCTGTTCCTGCTGAGCAGTGGCCCCCTTGGCCACGTCGGTCCATTCCTGAAGTCCCTCTCCCCGACCCATCCTCACCATCGGGATATCAACATAATCAAAAGTGACAATTTCGATTCGGAAAGAAGTGGGATCAGTGTTGAACAGTGATGAACAGTGTTAAGCCAGTGAATTCAGCACTTGACAGTATCAGTGTTAATCCGTCCACCCTGGGTACAACAGTGGGCCGGCTTTACACCTGACTACGAGATAACACAACACCACCAGGCAGAGTGAGGTACTGTGACACCACCCCACACCACACGGTGTCTCCATGGCCATGTGAGGTCCTTCATGTCAACACCCGAGGACGAGTTACTACACCACGTGAACACCACACCACCCGGTGTCTCCATGACCACGTGAGGTCCTTCATGTCAACACCCGAGGACGAGTTACTACACCACGTGAATACCACACCATCTGGTGTTTCAATGACCAACCCAGGCCCGGGCCATCAACTGTAAACAATAATAATTTGTATGTTCAATTCATGTTCCTTCTCCTTTCAGTAATGAAAGCTTTTGTTAAATGACACCACCCACCCCATGTCTTTGTATGCAATAAGTAATTTTTTTTCAATGCATATTTTCAGCCTTCGGGCTGCAGAACTTTTTCAATAAACCGTTAATTATTATTATTATTATTATTATTATTATTATTATTATTATTATTATTATTATTATTATTATTATTATTATTATTATTATTATTATTATTATTATTATTGGCAGAAACGCCGCCCTCCGGGCGGCTCATCCGCTAGGCCACGGTAGGACGCCACCCTCCGGGAGGCTCCACATTGTCTCACTGTTCAGTCCTCAAAAATTCTTCTTCCATCAACAGTTCATTAACGGTGTATGTAAGTTCCACCATGTTTTTCACTACAACGGTACAGCAAAGTATATTTTTTTAGCATTAATTATTATATTATATTTATTGTATAATCATCACTACTATAACACCATCCATCATCACTACATATATATCATCCATCATCACTACATATACAACATCCATCATCACTACATATAACTCTATCCATCATCACTACATATAACACCATCCAGCATCACTACATATAACACCAACCATCATCACTACATATAACATCATTCATCATCACTACATATAACACCATCCATCATCACTACATATAAAACCATCTTATCATCACTACATATAACATCATCCATCATCACTACATATAACGCCATCCATCACTACATATAGAACCATCCTATCATCACTTCATATAATATCATCCATCATCACTACATATAACACCATCCAACATCACTACATATAACACCACCCATCATCACTACATATAACGCATCATCATCATATTATAACACCAACCATCATCACTACATATAACACTCCACATATAACACCACCCATCATCCATCATCACTACATATAACAACATCCATCATTACTACATATAACACCACCCATCATCACCACATATAACATCATCCATCATCACTACATATAACTTCATCCATCATCACCACATATAACATCATCCATCATCACTACATATAACACCATCCATCATCACTACATATAACACCATCCATCATCACTACATATAACACCACCCATCATCACTACATATAACACATCCAGCATCACTACATATAATACACTACATATAACACCACCCATCATCACTACATATAACACCATCCATCATCACTACATATAACACCATCCATCATCACTACATATAACATCATCCATATCACTACATATAACACCATCCATCATCACTACATATAACACCATCCATCATCACTACATATAACATCATCCATCATCACTACATATAACAACATCCATCATCACTACATATAACACCATCCATCATCACTACATATAACACCACCCATCATCACTACATATAACACCATCCATCATCACTACAGATCGGTAAAGTAGTTTCCGAGATTCTCGTGCGGACACACAAACAAACACACAAACAGACATACTTCTTTATTTTATATAGATAGATTATTATTACCCACACACACACCTCATAATCATTTTTTACAGAGATAAATAAATTAACACTCAACTCTCAACTGTCGTACACAAATGCTTACGTGAAATTTAATTTGGAGGCGAAGATATTCATAAATTCGATAAGGATGCCGGAAGAAAGTAGAGTACCATTGTCATCCCGGCGGAGCAACACCCACGGCACCCACACCTCTGCCGCCACCAGTAGATGAGTACCATTAAGCGCCATTACCTTTTTTTTTCTGCCTCTCGTGGGGGATGGAAGGGAGGGGGAGTTATTGCTTCTCATTCGTCTGTTAGTAATGATAATATATACCAGTAAGTCTATTGTTTTTTTTTTATTTATTTGTATTGATTATATCATGATAGCGGCTTCCTACACTTCATCAGAGTTGATATGCAGGTTCCACAAATTTCTAGAAGTCAGGAATGTATTTAAGGTATGTGTGTGTGTGTGTGTGTGTGTGTGTGTGTGTGTGTGTGTGTGTGTGTGTGTGTGTGTGTGTGTGTGTGTGTGTAAGGGGAGGAAGGAAGGATGAAACACTAACCTTACCTTCCAGCGTCGCCAGCGAGAATGAACACTGCTGCCTAGTGCCTCTTCCCCCCTCACCACACCCCCTCTCTGATGACGCCAGTGTCGCTGCGTGGTGACTCGTGGCAGATGATGGTGTCTGGTGAGGGAACTGTGGCAGAAAGTTAGGGTGATCCATGGCAGATGATGGTAGGGACTCATGGCAGACTCTAAGAGTGACTCTGGCAGACGTTTTAGATGACTCATGGTAGACGCTTGGGGTGACCCATGGGAGACGTTTCAAGTGACTCATGGCAGACGTTTGAGGTGACTCATGGCAGACGCTTGGGGTGATCCATGGCAGATTTTGGTTGTGACTCATGGCAAGCGTTTGGGGTGACTCATGGCGACGCATGGCAAACGCTGATAGTGACCGATTGTTTGTCAGGTGCCGAGGAGACCGTTTCCCGGCTTTCCCACGGTATTTACAGGTAAGTCTGGTGGTATTACACACCTGTGGTCATTGTAATTAACCAGTCAACACAAAAAGGTTACCTTGACTGTTCTCCTGTTTTAAAATGGACACGAAAGGTTAAGGTATTTTTTTTTATTCACTACAGCAGCAGGTGTGGAGGTACAAAATAAGACATACTGAAGTCAGCCCGCTACTCACACCAAACCGAAAAGGTGTTTAAGATGATCAGTTGAATCCTGTACTGTAATTTATTTCGTGGCTGTGAATGTTAGATTTGAACTACTGTAGAGAGAGTTAAATTTGGTGTATAAATCAAACATAAGAGCTGTATCCATACACCCTTCTGTGATTAGCAGACTACGTGTTTGACATCAGTGTTTAATGTTCTAAGTTTGATGGTCAGGTGTAGACAATACTGCTAACTCTTCACTTCTCCTGTCACCTCTTCATTCTCCTTCATATAACTCTTCACTTCTCCTGTCACCTCTTCATTCTCCTTCATATACACTAGGAAAGGATGCGACGGCTGGGTGGATACATTACTTTTCTCCTATCCTAAAGTTTATTGGTTCGAGATCGGAGCATTCGAAATTTCCCTGACTTTACAGTTGGGAAAGTGAGGGTGGTAGAGTGCAGTGTCGGCTACGTTGCCGGCAGATCTTTGGAAGACATAACAATTTTGCAGTTGTTGTCGAGATGAATTGTATATTAAAATGATGTATAGACACAGTGGTGATTTTTTTTTATCTTCAATTTCATGGATCCAGTTTGTATGTGAGACAGCATGACTATAGCACTGAGTTGCCTCCATTGATCTAGGTTCTGACCCTTAGAGGTATTCCTGACCGGCTAGTTTACCGCTTTCTTACAAACAAAACATAATTGAAAGATGAAAAAAAAATAGAAAAAGGAATAAAACGACAACTGAACAAGTAGTAAATAATAAATTAACAAATGACATGAAATTAGGTTAAAAAAGACACTCAATGCCAATTCGAGTTATTTAAACATACTGATGGATTAAAAAATGATGTCACACGTAAATGAAATCCCTATATTAGGAAAAAGTTTCAGGTAGACGCTAATTTAACACTGACCTGATGATTTCGGCGAAATTAAAATCCCTAGTTTGTGGGTTTCTTCTATTGAACAGTTTTCCAGTGGGGTAGTCTCATTTGTTCTTCAGTTTTACAGGGTACGTTAAAAAATTTGATAAGTTTTTAGATTAATGAGTTACATTCTCACTAAGGTGGCTACCGTAGATCTTGCTACACATTTCTCTTTTGAAGAATGGCCTTACATAATCTTCTTACTTTCTCGTAAATTTCCTGCCCAAACTCAAAAAAAGGCATGAAATACCACACACACTATCTGAATCGTCATATTCTGTTTTATGTGATTGCATAAGTTTAATTCAATCGGAATTATTATTCTCAAGTCCTTTTATTTATAAATTTTACGTTTTATATTAAAAGAAGGCATGACGGACACATTCGAGGCGTAAACACCAAACACTGTCATCAAGATTTACTGACCAAACGAAGATCCTTGGTGAAGAAGGCTGTAGACAGTGTGTGGTAAAGAGTACACAGTTGGCCCTTTTGTCTGTTGAAGTTTTCCAGTGTCATGCTGACTGAAATACTATACTTTCGTGTTTGGAGAGTCATGCCACAGTCTATTTTATATTATTGGTCATAAAGCAATATAAAAGCGTTGGTATTATTTAACTCTATTCCCATACATAGTGAATAGTGAGCCTCAAATGCACACCGTTCCTAAATATTTTATCTATTTCACCATTCCGTACACAGGTCCACTCAGTTTCATCCTTAGAAACAAACTTAAGAAGCTTTTCAATGAATTCTATCACAAATTTCTCTTAGATTAGTCTTCAAAACCCAGAGTTCAATTAAAAAATTCTTTAAAACTAAAGACACCATACCCACACACACACCTGCAATCCTCATTTGTTTATCAATTTACGTGTGCTAGCTGTAGGGCAGCATATATAAGTACAACAGACATTTGATAACTCGCATCCATGACCACTTGAGCCGTTCTGTTCGAACGGGCCAGTTAATCACACAACCACCACATTCAGCTATTCGTAACCACGCCCTCCAACATGACCATCCGTTTTCGCAGTCTGATTTCTCACTTCATGGCAGGATCAACTGTGAGACGGACCTCCTCATTATGGAAGCCTTGTCTATCTACGGTATATAAAGTAAAGCCAGCCATTTCTGATATGGCTTTCTGTGAATTGTTGTGTTTTTCACACTTAGGCTCGTCTAAATTAAGGTAATACCCCCTGTATATTTTAGTTTGTTCTTTTCTGATTTAAGTTTTGTACGTAGGTCGCTCGTCATTTTTATTGGTTTTGAATTATAATGCTCTTTTTTTTGCGGAAGGTAAATTTTGGAATAATATTGCGTTTTTATTGTACATCACCTGTAATTTTTTAAACGTTTTAAAATTTTTGTTTGCTTTCTAGACTCTGATGATGGAAAATGATTTTCCGAAATGTTAGTGATTAAAGAAACCCAACTTAGTCAAGATGTTTGTGTTTTCCCTGGTTCTCCTCTTCGTTATAATAAAGGTATTCTTACACTTTATTTAATGTGCACACGTTTTATATGCATTTATTGAGAGAAATGGCGTGACTGTAATGGGCAGGAATACATTTTATGTTATATAAAATATGAGATATGATATATGGTTATGTGACTGTGAACGACACCAGGAAAACTTATTATAAGCTCTATGTGACAAAATGTGTGACAACATCTGAAGAGCTGTGGCACCCGTGATAGTTGTAGGTAAAGTTTGAGGGAGATCAGAGAGGGAATTAAAGAGGAGATAAGGGGGAGCATTGGAAACTATCGGGAAGAGATTAGATTATTGTAAGCAAACAAAATATGTGTAGACATGCAGTGGTAAAATAAAAGTAATAAAAATCATACCTTTTATTGTTAAAAAAAATAATACAACAGACAATAAAAATTTGTAATGCTGTGAGATGTTCACCTGGAGGAAGGAGAAAGGTGTCCCTTCTTGGTAACTACTAGTGCACTTAAGACTAGCAGTGCACAGAGGGAAAGGGGCCAGAAGAGACTCCCTTTTCTCAGAATTTTTTTTATTTTAGGGGGGCAAAATTCAGTCGAAGAAAAGGATTCCACTCCTAAGACTTCGGTCGTTGGAGTAGATTCTACCCCTAAGACTTCGGTCGTTGGAGTAGATTCCACTCCTAGGTCTTCGGTCATTGGAGCAGATTCCACCCCCACGACTTCAGTCGTTGGAGTAGATTCCACTCCTAGGTCTTCGGTCATTGGAGCAGATTCCACCCCCACGACTTCAGTCAGTAGATTCTTCCTCTTCGGTCATTGGAGCAGATTCCACCTTCAGTCGTTGGAGTAGATTCCACTCCTAGGTCTTCGGTCATTGGAGCAGATTCCACCCCAACGACTTCAGTCAATTCTTCCTCGTAATCCAAATAAATTTTTCTCAAGAGGGTGTTTACTTCTTTTAGTTGTGGTCTGTCTCCGGGATTTTCCCTTTCCATGTTTTTTTCGAGGTCTTTTAGTGCTGATGGAACCTGGTCGTATCCCATGATTGTGTTGAGAATTACGAGCCCAAAAGAATAAATGTCTGAGGCCTCGGTACACAGACATTCACCCTCGACCACCTCGGGTGCAAGGTTGATGGGTTTTTCCTCATTTTCACGTAGTTCTTCATAAACCTCGGATCCAAATTTTGCAGCACTGCCGAAGTCTATGAAATGAATGACGAAATCTTCCGGACCATCACCAACCGTCTCCACGATGATGTTGTCGGCCTTCACATCATTGTGAAGAATGTCTTTTTTGTGTATTTCTTCTAAACCTTTCCCAATTAGACATAAAACAAATAAGCAAGCATTGAGCGGGGGCCTCTCTGCTACAAAGCTTCTGAAAGTTTGGGACCCACAAAAACTCATTAAAATACCCGCCCTCCGCTCCTTACACAGAGCAAGTAACTTTGGTGCACCTCCAGCACCATCCAACTCAACAAGCATATCTGCTTCATCGAGGAGATAATCTTCATCATGTTCTGGAAGGCCGATCTTTGCGACACAGTTTTGTTCACCACTATTTACTAAGTACGCTGTACCTTCTGCTCCACGTCCAAGTTCACCTTGAACATTTTTCTTATATACATCACAAAAATCTATATAAGACATATAATATTTTTTCAGCGAAGTATAGACGTCGTCTTCTTCCTCAGAGGAGGAGGATGACCAGACAGGGGAGTTGTCGCGATGATTCATTTTGATTTACTAGATTTGACCGTCGCTGGCAGCTCATCGAGTTGAAATTACGGCACCAACTGCAAAAAAATGGATATTTAAGGAAGGTTGGAACTTTTCACACATATTATAGTGCTGTACTACAACTGTGGTGTAGATGTTATAGGGAACATATAATACTAGTGTTGAGGTTAACATGTAGAACTAGTGTTGTAGTGAACATGCAGCACTAGTGTTGTAGTGAACATTATAGTGCTGGTGTTGTAGTGAACATGTAGTACTAGTGTTGTAGTGAACATGTAGTACTAGTGTTGTAGTGAACATGTAGTACTAGTGTTGTAGTGAACATGTGGTACTAGTGTTGTAGTGAACATGTGGTACTAGTGTTGTAGTGAACATGTAGTACTAGTGTTGTAGTGAACATGTGGTACTAGTGTTGTAGTGAACATGTGGTACTAGTGTTGTAGTGAACATGTGGTACTAGTGTTGTAGTGAACATGTAGTACTAGTGTTGTAGTGAACATGTAGTACTAGTGTTGTAGTGAACATGTAGTACTAATGTTGTAGTGAACATGTAGTACTAGTGTTGTAGTGAACATGTAGTACTAGTGTTGTAGTGAAAATGTAGTACTAGTGTTGTAGTGAACATGTAGTACTGCTGTAGTACATGTAGTTTACTGCTGTTTATTAGGACTGATAAAAATTGACCAAAAATTAATCAACAAGAATATACCACATGGTAATCACCAGTGAGTGGGGACCATTTATGAGAATTTACATGTGATTTGGTGTGTTCACTTGTGTTCTCGGTTTTCCGTTTGGTCAGAACGCACGAAACAGCTCCACTTTACACAAATATCTTCGGAAGTGTCCATATGGTTCTTGGGATATTGGCGGCACAAATTACTTAGGTTTTTTTTTTTTTATTAATCTACCTAGATGTTATTTGTCCGGTCCGGTCATGGATCTTTACATATTTACGCTATTTATGGACAAACAGCTGAAATAATGAAGGTTCAGTGACCATACAATTAACCACTGCGTTTAATGATAATTTCTATCACTTATCTTCGGTTTGTTGTTTGTTATGACCTTCAGTGTCCAGTGTTGGCATAGGAAGAAATCGGAGTACTGTATCCTACGACGTTTGATGAGGTTACGCTGGACAACACCCGTCTCGTGCCCGGGGACTTCAACTCGCGACCTCAGGGTGAGAGGCAACTGTGCTTACTCTTACAGTTCAGTGCCACCAACAGGTTCTTGAAATAACGGCAATATTCCGATGATGTTGGTTTACATTACAATATTCACTACCAGAGAGATATATAAATATAAATAAAGATATAAAAATTTGAGGAAAAAGAATAGTGAGAAACGAAAAATTTCGCGTAACAGCGGTAACGCGCGTATCTCACCTTTATGTCCTACTTGGCTTGGAGACCAGTGAGAAAGGTGTTATGCAGTGTGACCCTCACTATCAAACATCACATGTTTCCCAGACTTTGGTTTCCTCCTGTACTAACACTGGATAGACCAACCACCCGAATGGCTAGTAAGCTCATAAAAGGTGAAATGATAAAACAAGACGACATCCTTCAATACTGTTGATTTTATAATGTCATTACTGCGCTTCAACAACTAAGCTCTTTAAGCGCGTAACAAGGTAAGTAATTACACTATTACATCAACAATTAAAGATGATGAAAGATAACTGGTATTTTTCAATACCAACTTAAGGGATTAAGTGTCCATACATTCTACGTTGTTAACTAACTGCACCATAACGTTATCATAATCACTGTACTTATTTGTAAATCAAACTATCATAGTACCAAGAGGGACTGGCTCGCACGCTTGTTAAGTACTGTAATATTTTTCACATTTCCAGTTGCATTCCTCACCGACAGCACCGTCAGTCTCCGGCCGTGACACCTTTCCCTGGCGACCAATATTGCTGGCGCCCGCCTCACTCACTAGCCGCCTCACCGACGTTCATCTGACCTCTATTAGAAGCGGTCCTGATACATTCCTGGGTGGATGCTGGTGTGCTGACTGGCTCTCTCAGCAGACGTTAATTGGTGCGCTGTTCTCCTCTGAGGGGTTGATATGCATCATTAATTCTCATAGGCCTAAAGTGTATTCTGTTTTATTGATCTGTTTGTTTGTCTTCGTTTACGTAAATCTTGGAAGCACGATAAGTTCTCTGCATTAAAATTCAAGTGTCAGGCTTAGGGTGATATGGACTTTCTCAGCCTCTGTGGATACGTGTATAATTTATTAGTTCAGGATAGGATCAACGTGGCTTTGATCCCATAAACCAATTCTAAAACTTCTTCTTCACACACACACACACACACACACACACACACACACACACACACACGCACACACACACACACAGATCACAACACTCAGATGATAACCAGTCCACGTAATGTGTATGTCTGGCTGGTGATAAATATTCATATATGTGTGTTAGCTTTCAGCCTTCCCTGTGTGTGTGTGTGTGTGTGTGTGTGTGTGTGTGTGTGTGTGTCTGTGTCACTTGCTCTTCATTCACATGTACATACACCTTACATACTCGATGGATGTCGTGTACATATTCCTTACACACTCACACACACAGTATAAACAAGGACCTCACTCCCTCTCGCGAAAATAACAACAGTTGCTCACAATAACAACAGTTCACAAACCCAACACACCGTACTGTGCCGGCAAGCGTGAATAAGGTCGACACTAACTGGTGGAAACTGAAGAATCGGGTCGGACGTGTGTGTGTGACGGGACCCTGACAACGCCGCATTGCCCCTCGCCTGGAGACTATCCCTCGGTCCATCACCACCTTCTGCTGCCTCCCCTCGCGGTAGGAGCGGGCTCGTGGATGGTCGTGTCGCCTCTAAGTCACGTGGGTTTAGAACTGTGTGAAGAACAGTGTTGTATCACGTGTGTTTAGAAGAGCGTGAAGAACAGTGTTGTGTCACGTGTGTTTATAACAGCGTGAAGAACAGTGTTGTGTCACGTGTGTTTATAACAGCGTGAAGAACAGTAATTTAGCATTTTGTTTGCGTATGAGGACTGTATTAACAAGGTATAGGGGGTCCAAGTCTGGGAGTAAGTTTTTCCTTCTGTGAAAGATCGTGTAATGGGTTTTCTCAAGGTTTAAGGTCAGTTTATTATGTATTACCCAGGTCTTGACTTTAGTCAATTTAGTGTTCATAGTTCTCATCAAAAAATGGAGGTCTGAGTTGCTGGCATAGAGATACTATCGCCTGCAAATAAGTTGTATTTTATGAGTGGGCTGGCGTGGACTATGTCGTTTAAGTACATCAATAACAGTACTGGACCGAGAATGGAACCTTGGGGACGCCATACAAGATTGGCGAGGAGTCAGATTGGTGATTATTATAGCAGACATACTGCATCCTGTTGGACAGATATGAGGTAAGCCAATTGTGGGACAGGCCCCTAACGCCGTAATGTTCAAGCTTTGAAAGGAGGATGGTATGGTCGACAGTATCGAAGGCTTTAGAGAGGTCCAAGACTATACCGACTGTGAACTGACTGTTATTGGCATTTCAGAAAGAATATAGTCTATTACATGCTAGCTTCTCCAGTATCTTACTCAAGGCTGGGAGGACTGATATGGGGCGGTGATTCTTGAGGAGACCTTTGTCCCCAGATTTTTTATATGCTGGGTGAACTTTAGCAATTTTCAATTTATCCAGAAAGACACCACTAGTGAAGGAGGAGTTACAAATGTGGAGGAGAACAGGTAGTAATAAGTGGGCCACTTTCGTAATGATGCTCATTGGTATATTGTCTTCGCCTGCTGCTGCATCTTTGGACATTTTTATGATGGTCAATAATTCATCTGCTGTGACAGGGGATAAGAACAGCTCATTTTGCTGTCTGTTTTGCAGGTAGGCTCTAAATTCTTCATAGTGATCAGGGATGCGCTCTGCAAGATTTTTGCCAACATAAATAAAATATTCATTGAAGTGGTTGGCAATGAGGGAAGGTTCCGTTACAACTGAATCATTTATCATAAAAGCTGAGTGGGGAGCTGAAGGCTGAGTGTTTCTGTTCTGGTAGGTATGAACACCATGCAGTACAGTAGTCCCATACAATACCCCTGTTAGTGTACTGTAGTTTTAGTAAGGTTTGAGTGTTCCCGCTACACAAGAGTACTTTACTAAGTGTCCTCGTGTGTGAGGGACACGCTAGTGAGAAAGTTAACTGGACTTACGTTTCTTCTTCCTCCTTCACACATTTTTTTTTTGAAGACTCGGTCATTTAGATCTTCTTTTAACATTTGTAGTCATCTAGTTCGAAAATTATGTAATACAATTTTTTCCACCTTTTCCTCGATCAAGTTTGCTCTCGCTGGCAGTGGCTTTACATAATTGATATGAAGAAGGATAAAATAATTCCTTTTTTTGGCAATGGTTTTCTGCCATTGTTTTGGTCGAGAATTATTAACCTCTAAACCAAACCAGTCACTCACGATTGTATTAATTCACCTTGTAATATTGTTCTTAGGTATTACTTGTTCAAAAAATTATTGTGTACTGGAGATGAAGTGCGAGTCCGTACATTGAATCTGGTGACCTGTGAGGCGTGAGGAGTGTTCTTGTCAGTCTGTGAAGAGCCTGAGTAATTTCCAGGGGTGGGGGTGGCAGGGGCGAACCCAGAGCAAAAATAAGGAATTGCCTTAACAGGTTTGTGTATGTCCTTATTTGGATTTCGTGGGGGGGGGGGGTCTGGCTCCCCACAGATACTTCAAAATGTCGTAAATGGAAACTACGTCAATCAAAATGTAAAATTCCACTAAAAGTGACTGAATTAAGGTAATAATAATGTCGGGAAGTGTACGATAATTTGATGAAGAAACGACAATTTTGAGGCTCCAGTACGATAATTCACATTTGAAAGTTTGTCAACACAGAGTGCCACGGTCTCAAGTGCCAGCCGCCCGCGACATCCACCTGTGACAACTTTCTACCTCTCACACTCACGCATTTCTTTTTTCAATTAAGGTATGTTGTAACGTAAACTTTTTATGAACGAAACAACAATGATAATTACTTATATCAATTGAAAAGAATGCTAACTGTTTCGTTTTTACAATGAGAATGAAATTTGACAACTGAAAAATTTATTGCAAACACGCGGTCTACTTTGAGTGATGTTTATGGCCATGTGGTGGTGTTTATGAGCATGGTTTTAGAATTTATAGATTTAAAATTTTATATGAAGGGAGGAGGGGGCCTTGGATATCTGAGGACCAACTGCGTGACCCTAAAAAGGTTAAGAACCACTGGTGTAGAGTGTACAGTAGTGCGAGTCTACTCCAGTGGCTGTATAACGGTGTATAGTGCTACGAGAAGTTACTTTTATCACCGAAAGTAGTTTGTGTTTCGTGGTGACGTAGATATATAAATGGGATATATACATGGGTAGTTTGTACGCAAATGAGGCGTGGGTGACGCACTGGGGTGTTGCACTCTTGCGTGGTCGTTTAAACAGTATGGTGTGACGCGTAATACTGTTATGTGTATTTTGCTGTGAATATACACATAGCAATTATTATATGCATATGCTATAATCAATATACGCGCATATACTATAATCTATATACGCACACAGGCGCACCGAGTGCATGCGCAGGGAGGTGGCGGGAAGGGGCGAGTAGTGGAGGGAGAGCTCCGAGCTGAGAGGACAGGAGCGACAGTCAGCGTATAGACGTCGGCTTGTATACACCGCCAGCAACCCGCGCTGCCTGAGAGCTGCTTCACGCGTATGCTGCACCCGCGAACCCACATGGCCTGCCCCGCCACCTTCCCTCCGCCCTAGTTCCTGCTACTGCCGCAGTGCTATCCAGGATAATGCCCACTTCTCGTGACCTTATTTCTGAGATATGTTACCCACTTGGGGCCGCTGTGAACGGAAAATAGTGATACGAGTAATCTGTGAGGGCATCGTCACCTCCCATTAACCATGACGAGGAGGCTTGTGGTCAAGGCGTGTGGCAGCGCCCTCCTGAGCACATGTCTGCTGCTATGGGTTGCCAGGGGCACCTCGGGCATGGCTTCAGAGGGTACCGTGGTGCTCGACACCCCAAGCGGTAAAATCCGAGGGGAACGGTACGTGCTGGCCGATGGCTCGCGGGGCATGAGGTTCTTGGGCATCCCTTATGCTCGCCCCCCCGTCGGTGCTCTGCGTTTTGCCGTAAGTTTTAACCTTTATTTGTTGTGTTGTGTCTTTCAGGCTTTTACACATTTTCGCGTTGGATTTTTTTTTACACGTGGCAGCGCGACAACTTACAGTTATAATAATTGTAACTGAAGATTTTGTGTGCTGTGAAGACGCCCACCTGTGGCCCAGGTGAGATCCATCACACGGCCTGGTCACACACACACACACACACATGTGGGTCATCTTTTACCAGCTAGTTTTGGTTGAAGGTGGGTGTGAGGGAGGGCATCACCCAGGATGAATTACATTGATCAAATAGTTGAAAGAATTTCCTTCATATGAACACAATTATTAACCTAGACTCTGACTACGTCATTTGAACCAACCAAAAGTGGACCTTCCCGTTGAGCACGTGTTGTAAAGGCCACAGTAATCAATGACTTTAATTAACACGGTAATTCAATAATTGGTCGTGGACGTGCCAGGGGCAACACATGTGCTTGACACAGCAGCGGTTGGTTGACAATTTTCTCAACATTTCATGACACTGATTCCGTTTCCACGAACTCCATTCAACAGCTTCATTTGTGTTTTGTTAATCCCTAGTTTGTAGTGGGGTCGGCCGCCCTTAGTCTCCCTTCTCTACGAGTGTTTGTCCTGTGAACGTGTTTGTTAGTTTCATCTGTGTTATCCCTACGGTAATAGAAATCCACTTCACGAGAGGAAGTCATCTACAGTATAGTGAAGGTAAAAGATGCAGTCGATGAAAGAATGATAAACGGAGAGAATAAGATGTTTGATGTGAGGTTTGAATGAGAAGGAGACGGAGGATAGGAGGGACGAAGGTATGTAGGTATTAGGAACAGTAGTAGGCAGCTATCAAACAGGGAGGTACTGCTGCCTGGGGAGATATAGGAAGCATAATGTGTTGTTTAAGGGTAGACCCTGCTGCCATATGTGATGACTTTCTGCCTCATTTACACACAATTGCAGGGTCTCAATTGTTTCTCTTACTTTGACAACACAATATATATATATATATATATATATATATATATATATATATATATATATATATATATATATATATATATATATATATATATATATATATATATATATATATATACAGGGTGATTCATAAGTTAGTTACCACTGGTATAATTTGGGGCTTAGAAAACCCTCATTATGTACAGGATCAGGAAAGAGCCTCGCTAATGCTAATGGAGGCCACATTGAGCAGTGGCACTTTATTTCCTGTGTAATTGTGTAAACCTATCTTCAAGGAAAAACAAGACAGGGACGCTTGCTTGTGCTTTGGGTATCCTTAACAAAAGCATGTGCCGTAGAGTGTTTTATACAGTACAGTATTTGCCCCGCGGGCTGTTGTGAACTGCTAATCAAGAGGAGGGAGCGACGCGTCCCGGCATTAAGACCCAGAGTGCCTGAGCCCTGATGGTTTGCAAGTTCACAAGTGCTCGTTGAGTCATTGAGTAACTTTTCCTGTTGTAAAATAAGTTAGTGGGTTAGCTTAAAAACATGGAAAATCAGATGGGTCACTAAGATAAAATAAACTAAATAATTGTGCATGAGTAACACTGCGTGATCCATTATTAAGTGGCATAAGTACACTGTTTACCACACGGTGTGGCATTAACACATTGTTCGTCTTACTGATTATTACTGATGGTCTTAAACTCTGTGCTCATGTACTTTATTAATTGCTTACCAACATATAATTATTAACTGCGTACACTCCGGGAAATGATATAATGCTGATGTAGAGGGCAACTTGAGGGCCGCTTGATCGCCTGTTTGTGCTGGTGCAAAGTCTGGCAACAGTCTAGTAAACCTTACCTGAGGAACCCTTCTTTTATCACGGCAGACGGCACCTATTTGCTCTATCATTCCTCGGACTGAATGACCTTGCGGGAGTTAAAACATCATCATCAACTGCTACCACACAACAGGAAGGACGTGGTTGTTCTCAAGCTAACCTACAGAGTACTAACAACGTGTGCCGCCAGAACCATCACCACTGTCGGCGTCCTACTGTGGTTTGTCATTACTGGTCGCTGGTGTAAGTCAGGGTCAGCTGTGGCGGCCTGAGGAATATTTCGCTAACTTCAATGACGCTGGCCAGGGTCTGGTTGTCAACTCTCCCCCCCCCCCACACCACCCCCACCTACACCCCGTCGAGAACTTTCCCCTTCCCCATCCAAACCTTCTCTCCTCCGGCAAACCCTCCCCCTCAGCCGAGAAATTCCACTCCTATGGCAAAAACCTCTCTTCCTTTTAGCCAAAGAAGCAGCCTCCCCCAGTCAAAAACCTCCCCTCCCTCCAGCGAAACATACCTCCTCAGCGAGAAACCTCTCCCTCCCAGCCGAAACCTCCCCTCCTCAGCGAGGCACTCACCTCCCTCAGCCGGCTCTCCCTCCCAGCAAAAGCCTCACCTCCCCTTAGCAAAACCTCTCCCTCCCAGCAGAAACACCCCCCTCACTGGCAGCCACCCCCCTCCCTCAGCCAAAAGCCTCCCCCTCCCCTCAGCCGAGAAACCTCCCCCTCCCCTCAGCCAGCCTCCCCTCCCTCAGCCAAAAGCCTCTCCCTCCCCAGCCGGCAGCCTCCCTCCCAGCCGGCCTCCCCCAAGCAAGAAAACCTCCCCCTCCCCCAAGCCGACAAACCAACCCCCTCCCCTCAGCGAAACCTCTGCTCCTCAGCCGAGAACCTCCCTCCCCAACAAGCCTCCCCCTCCTCAGCCGAGAAACCTCCACCTCCCCAGCCGTCAAACTTGCCTTTCCATCCCCCAGATGAAAGCCTCCTTCTCCCCCAGTCGATAAACCTCCCTCAGCCAAGAACCCCCCCCCCTGTTAGGCGTGAGGAGACAGAAGTTACTGAGGCTTTATGTTCCATGTTAATTGTGACTCTTGGGATATGCCTGACGTGTCTGTCTGATAGTGGACAGACATTTGATGGGCTGGTCTGATGGGGTCGTGTGAAAGTCAGTTAAGGAGGTCGTTTGATGGGCTGGTCTGATGGGGTCGTGTGAAAGTCAGTTAAGTTTTTTTTTACGGGAATAGCCCTCCCGGACACAGGTCACTGACCCACAGCGGGGCCTGGGTGGCGAAAAAATAAGAGTAAAAGAAATTAGAAATTGAAAAGAAAAAGATTATATTAATCTACACCACAAAGATGCCGGAAAACCAGCTTTTTAAAGTGAGACAGATTGTAAGAGCATGGAAACACAGAAGAAAGCAAAGCATTCCACAGTTTGGCTGTGTGAGGAAAGAAGGAGGTACTATAACGGGTTATTCTCGTGTGACTGATATCCACAGAGAAATGGTGGCCACCGCGGGCAAGACGTGTGTTACGAACCCACGGCCTTACCGGCGGTACACAGGATGCCAAATCCCCTGAACATTGCCCGTTAAAGTATCTGTAAAAGAGAGAGAGTGAAGCAACATTGCGGCGAAGAGAAAGGGGAGAGAGATTGTCGACTAAAGGAGGAGAGTTAATAAGACGAAATGCCTTTGATTCCACCCTATCTAATAGTTGGACAGAAGAAGAGCCACCCCAGATATGAGAGCAGTACTCCAAGTTAGGACGAATTAATCCCTTATATACTTGGAGCAACTGCTCAGGAGTGAAGTAGCTACGGCATCTATACAGCATTCCCAGCTTTCGGGAGGCAGCTTTAGCAATGTTGTGGATGTGTGGCTTCCATGACGTAACAGAGGAAATGGTGAGGCCTAGCATATCTATTTTAGAACTCGGCAGAATGATTGTGTCCTGAAATGTGATTGGTGGGAGATCATCTAATTTGGAAAGTGTAATTGGTAAATACTGAGTTTTATTACTATTGAATTTAACCAATTTTCTACCTCCTGTTACGAACCCCGCCACCAATTGTCATGATCTACCTACCCAGCACTACGAACCACGCCATCTATTGTCCTGATCTACCTACCCAGCACCACGAGCAACGCCATCTAGGGACGAAACACGAGTATGACTCGTCTTAGTTACCACTCCGGGGTTTCCCTTCTCCATATCCTGGTTGTTGCGTCACCTCCTCCAAGTCTTCTTCATCATCTCCAGTTTGATGAGAGTTCAGTTTACTCTGGGAAGTGACCACAGGATCACCTATCCTGGAAACCTACGGCACAGTGACTACCTACCGTCTTCTACAATACTCAGCCTTACTCGTCAGCCATCTCAGCTCCGCACGTAAGTATTTGTAATCTTATATTGCCTCCCCCACCTCCACCTTGCTTCAAATTATTGTATGTTGTATAAATATGTATATACTGTTAATGTTTAGGTTAAGTATGGTTAAGGGTAAATTATAGAAAGCTGAATATTTTGTTAAGGGATTTATGGTACTTTATTATACACAACAAAAACTCGCATCCTTTGTCTACCCTTTTATAGTCCGATTATCTTTGTTTTTTTTATTGTTGTTGCCTGTTGGGATCTGGGTAGACTTTTAACTATATTCTAAATCCCCAACTCGTAACACTCCCCATTCAGAGATGCTGCACAGATCTGCATTGATAGATGTAATGATATCAAATCTAGAAACAGACCTAGTTTGATGGAGTTACCCGAAGGACGTCTGATGGGAACAACAGTATTGAACTTATTTTTTGATGGGAACTGATGGGAACTATAGGATGGACTTTCAGGGGTGATATTCATGGAGGGGGTGAAGGGAAGTGTTTGTGATGAAGGGATATGATGGGATGGGAAACAGCTGACCATCCTCAAGGGCCTAGACCCATTAAGAGCTGTGTTCGCCAGATTGGGTGCCATAGTCTACTGCCTTCTTCATTCAATCATTCATGTGTGTGTGTGTGTGTGTGTGTGTGTGTGTGTGTGTGTGTGTGTGAGTTATCTTGAAGACACCACCAACACCGTCGCCGCTCGCTCCTCCTCCAGGTCCTAGTAAACCTCATCAGCCATTCTCACCGTATCTCTCTCTCTCTCTCTACACGTTTCATCTTATTTAGACAGTGACAAGTCTTCATTACTAAGTC